GATTTGTGGATTTGACTTAGAGTCGTCAAGACACTGATGTATTGCGTCTGGAGTATCCGTCACAGATCTTTGCGGGGGTGCTTGCCGCGGGGCGCTAGTGTTATTTTGGGTATCACTTTATTATTCAAAAATATTAAATGAAATAAAAATAAATAAACAATACTTATTGATAAATACGTCATTGCGGTTTTTTTTTTTATATAATACATGCCTCACTATTAAGCCGTTATTGAGACATTTAAAATTTATCTTAAATGAAACTACAAAAAAACGTTTAAAGAAATAGAAATACACGCTTTAATAGCAATCGAACTAAAAAGTAGAAAAGCGTTCTGCGGGTGTTATACGCTTAACCCGCTCACTAATCTAAATATATATTTTTTTATCCTGATGATCCTATAATCAGGACTTTAAACAAAGTTATGAGATTATTGTATTGTCATCGGCCCTTGGCACTTTTGCAAATTTTCAAGTTAATCAGACTCCTAGAAGTAGGCAAAAATGAAGTTACAATATTCCGTTACATACATACCTACATACAGATCAAGCTAATAAAAGCGTGTTAAAAAGAGCCTATTTACTTCGATTGTTTTTCAAAATTTGGCCTTTTTTCAAATTTTAAACAATTTATTTGTGTTAATATTAAGCTAAACACATATTTTTATGAGGCACAGGCACAAAGAGATTCACATACAAACTTCTTTAAACATAGGGTGTTTTTGGGGTTTGAGCGATCGGATGTCAAAAATACATTGCGGAATGTTAATTAAGTTACTTAGGTGAAGTACCTATTCTGGCTATGATCGACTGACCATATTTTCGCACCTATGTGAGTTCTGCGATGGCCAACGCATGCAAATTGCAATCATTCATCGGGAATCGCGATGCTTGGCTCGGAAGAAACAACCAATAAACTTGAAATACCATTCCTAACAGAGATGTGATCGTATTCTTCTTGGTTAAAACCGTGTTAGTAAATAAAGTTTTAGTTTCAGTATTTTGTGTTATTATCAATGATTTCAAAAGGAAGGATAGGCCCATCTAAATATTTTACTCATAACATTTTCATACAAGAAAAAGTAGCGCATCTGTCATAATGCAAACGTCATATCAAAACACGACGTAACCAGGGTCGGATTTCGTAGTATAATTATCCTATTTGTACATTTTTTTATTACATTATTTCGTAGTTTGTAGTACATAGTATCGTAATAATACTAAGCGAAAATACCATAATTTTACCTAAAGGTCGACTTGTATTATTATTGGGTCCTTTTACATTTTAATATTAACCCCACGATATAGAGAATTTCTGTATTGTACATGAGTACCGCGTTTTTTTAATAAAATTTGAATTAGTCAATTCTGGTCAATTGATGCTCGATCGATCCTTTACTTTTGTACTCATTTCGTTTACCCTTATTGAATATAAAATATATTAGGTACCAATATTCAAAATTTAACTTACACTAAGTTCTTCAGACAAAAATTAAAAAGTAATAAAAATAAACCCGTCAAAAAACGAAACGTATAGATAAACTAGACGCGTGACGCCAAAATTCCAGCACATGGGAAAAAAGAAACATGAAACGTCAAACGTGATATTTTTTTTAAATAGTATAATTTTATTTTCCATGTACAATATTTTGAGGGTCTGAATCCAACCCTGGCCTAATCTTGGTAACGTAACTAAACTAACTGTAAAATAAAACTTTAAGAATGCGTTTATATAATAATTTAATTGTAACAAAATTAATATAAGGTTATTTACCGATGATACGATATCCCATGTTTTTTTTTATCTTTGTATCGTAATTTTTGCATTCTTTTACCACGCAACTAGAAATACTCGTATTTGTGACAGGCAAATCTGTCCTGCGCGCGCACTACTGTCAACCGATTCGCGTTGGCCCTAAACTGTAATTTTAGGGCCAACGCATTGGTCCGTTTTAGTTGTTCGGTCGGCCCGGTCCTTTCGCTAGTAATATATAAGTCAATGGTTATTATTAACTTAAAATACTTTAATTACAAAAGACAGGTATCGGTATGTAAGTAGATACTTGAATAGTGAAGTAAATTTCAACTAAGTTTTGTAATAAAGTACTTAAGTATTACTTCTGTAGACAAATTATTACCAATTCTTTTTTGCTATAATGATCTATCTAACAAAAAATGAAATAAATTCACCTTTCATAACTTCCTACTAAAATCCTTCGGTAACTTAAAGAATGTTATATCTGAAACCTTTGGTCATTTAACAGCCATCCACGCAACAATTATAGTAGGAACCATAGAATACTATAATACATTAGTATTCTATGGTAGGAACGACGTTTTGCCATTATAATTTATCAAATAGGTAATATACATAATATATATTATTATGTATATTCTATATGCTGTACACCTTGTTTAATTTATGTTGGGAATTAAAACGGGTATAGGATGACTGGTGTAAAGCAGTTATAGTACCAATATCTAAAGGAAAAGGGTCACAGCAGGACTGCAAAAACTACCGTGGTATCAGCTTGCTTAGTATTGTGGGTAAACTGTATGCTAAGATGTTAATTGAAAGAGTTATGAAAGAAACTGATGGAAAAATTTGGGATGTACAAGCGACATTTAAAAAGGGAATGGGGTGTACAGATCAAGTCTTTTCCATGAGCATGATTGCGAAGTTTTTGGCCGAAAACCAGATAGTTTTTTGTGCGTTCATGGACTTGGAAAAAGCTTATGACAGAGTGGACAGGACTGTGTAACGGCAAACACTGAACTCATATGGGTTGAGCGCTGGTATGATACAGGCATTAAGGTCTCTTTATAGGGACTCTAGTGCTTGTGTCAGGATCAACGGGGTCTACTCTGACTGGTTTGGCATCCAATAAGGTGTCAGACAGGGCTGTGTAGCTTCCCCTCGGCTGTTCAACCTATTTATGGACAGGTGTTTGCAAACTTTGAAAGACGAAGAATGTGGGTTAAAAATGGGCATGATAACCGTCAAATGCCTTTTGTACGCCGATGGTCAAGTCATATTTGCGTCGTTGGCGGTTGAGTTGCAAATGATGGTTACATTAAGGAACTGGGCATTAAAAGAAAGGGGAATGAAAGTGAACGCAAATAAGACGAAAGTGATGGTTTTTGAAAGAGAAGAAAGCAAAACGGTATGTGAAATAAGAATAGCAGGAGAGTTAATTAAGCAAGTGGATGAGTTCGTGTATTTGGGATCTGTATTTAGCAGGGAATAGAGTGAATGGGGCACTACACTCTGTTCTGAAGAATCAGAATGTGTCAAAAAAGGCACGTATGCTAATTCATAATGATGTGTTAGTCCCTACTTTAATGTATGGTAGTGAAAGTTGGGTGTGGCAGAAGCAGCACGAAAGTAGAATAAATTCTGTAGAAATGCGGTCTTTAAGGAGTATGCTAGGGTTGAATCTGAATGACAGGGTGAGAAATTGCGTGATAAGAGATAAATGTTTGCCTACGCGGATTCCAGATGTGGAATATCATATAAAAATTAATTTAAAATTATAAATTAAAAATGTGCTTACAACTTAGACGCCCTTTTCAGGCACTGCAAATTTGACAACTACTTACCTGACGCCCCTCTCGGCTCTTCGGATCATTGTCTGATCCGGATTGTGGTGTCACGCTCCCTTCGCAGTTGCGTTCTGCAGGTTGCCACCGTGTTTAGTATTACAGGTCGGCGGATTGGGACGGAATACAATCTTTCTTTGCTTCCTACCCATGGGGGCGAGTTTGCTTCTCGCCGGATGATCCCAGCGCTGTAGTTGACTCTGTCACTGATATGGTGCTACAGGGAATGGAACTATTTATTCCATCATCTGTGATACCCAGCGGAAGCAGATCAGTAAAATGCATTACGCATTAAGCAGGAATGTTATCAGGCCTGGGCTGACGATTCGGCGGCTCGGGGTGTAAATACCAAGAAACCTTAAAAGAAGTATGAATTCGCCTCTAGGTCCTTCAAAAGAGTTATTGCCAAGGTAGTAAAAATGTGAGCATATTGGAGAGAAATTAGTTCACCTTCCTTCGGGAACCCGTGCATTCTGGTCACTGGCCAAGGCTGTTCAAGGTAATTTCTGTAAGCCATCACTACCATCTCTGCACCGGGAGGCCGACAGACTGGCCCACGCCGCAAAAGAGAAAGCCGATCTTTTAGGCTCCCTTTTTGCGTCCAACTACTCTCAATGACGGTGGGGGGGACACCGCTGCCCATCCCTCGGAGTGAGTGCTCTGTGTCTGATGTGCGCTTCACACAGCACTCAGTATGTAAAGCTCTCCTCTCCTTGAACATACACAAATCGAGTGGGCCTGACGGTCTGTGCTCCAGAGTTGGCACCGATTTTGACGCGTCTTTTCCGGTACTCTTTCTCCCTAAACACCGTTCGTGCACCCAATCCCTAACAAAGGTAACCGCTCTGATCCGTCCAACTACAGGCCTATCGCCATCACCTCCTTGTTCTTCAAAATAATGTACTCCATTATATATTATTCTTATACGACTGGGCGGCGGTAGTCACATACCATAAGGTGAACCGCATGCTCGTTTGCCCCCTCTCATATAAAAAGAAAGTTATATTAGACCCTTTATTCAAGGTCCTCTTTACATCTTCTGTTACAAGTTGCGGTGGTGATTTTAATATGCTCCTTTTTTGACATAAAATAATGCAAGGAGAATAAATAAAACAACAGGAATGAAAGCAGAAAATAATTATTATTAAATGAGAGGAACACTAAGTGATTACAATTCAAACATCAAATTTCGATACAGGATTACATGAATAAAATATGTGTTACATAAGCGACTGAACTATTAAATATCACGACACCAGGGGTCAAGTTCGTAAGTGAAAGCGATGTGCAGTGGATTTGATACAATTTTTTTGAAAATCTTCTGTATGGAGTAGGGTGTAAGGTTCGTTTTAGCATGCCATGCATCCGTTGTAACTGAGGCAGTAGGGCACGAAAGGCCTTCCTCAAGGTTGTTCTTCTAAGAGCACCTGGAGGAAGGCGTCGGGGCTAGGGATGTCCTCGAGGAGGCCCGCCGCGTCGCAGAACTCCGCAAATGAGGCGCACGGCAGTAGTTCGTCGGTCAGCGTGGTGACAATGCGCTCAGCGGCCTTCGCGTTCGCTTCATCGTTATGGCGAATATACTCTGCCAGCTTGATCGGCCATTGCTCAACCGTTGTTGCAGCGACATTCTATAAAAGAAATATTTTATTGCATTTTTTTTCTGATTTAATATTACATTTTTACGTAGTAGGCCCACGCTGCAGCCACACTACGGTTGTAGAACGAATGAGTCGGCTCGAACGACGTAGTACCATGCTCTCATATAATACCACTCGCATAGGACCCCCTTTACTAGAAACGGGACATTTCATCTTGGTCCTCGGGGGTCACAATGCATCCATATTTTAATTCTTAACGAGGATAGCTCTACATGTCTATGGGCTGCAGTATCCACTTACCATCAGGTATACTCTATGTCGCAGTCAAAACTCATAACCGGTCAAAACCACCTTTGACTGAGAAAACAACAAAATGATTCCTTATATTTACGCGAACACTACACATTTAAATAATACTAGTTTTTAAGGATTTTATCGCATATATATTTAGGTAGGCAAAATGGTTTTGACCAACATCCTCATTCAAAAATTTTTTTGCCTGATTTAAAGTTCAGGCTATTTCTCGCAATATCAGTAGATTTGGCGCACTTAAAGCGGTACATAATGATATAAAATATTATTGAAAATTGATTATAATCTTAATCATTCATAAAGCCAAGTCGAAAGTAGTTTTGACTAAGATTCTTGGTGCAAAATCACTTTTAACCGATATAATTCGGTCAAAATCACTATTAGCTAATATATTTGCAACTTAAAGTGGTATTGACCAACGTCCATAGTCACTTTCTTTTGCCTGATTTTTGCTGTCAAAAGTAGTTTTGACCGGTTATAAGTTTTGACTGTAACATATGTACGCTTGTCAATCTCTACAAAAAAAAAACTATTTTTTTTTAATTATTATAACCCTGTGGTTGACTACAATTTCACAAAGTGGTAATGAAGGCCTGATTGGTAAATCGCGTTATCTTAAAATAGTAATAGCGTATTCACTCTTGTCTTCAAGATTGTAATCGGACAGAATGACAGACGCCGGCAAATTATTCCACCCCTTTGCTGTAAGCATTAGGAAAGACGAGGGCCAATAGTTTGCGTTTAACGCGTTAAAAATCAACAGCAAAAGGCTGAAGGCCCGCTGACCGCCGAGTTGTCTGATGGTAAAATAAGAGAGAATTTTTTTAAATTGGCAAACTACCAATACATTTAATTTCTCCTAAAATCTTTCCTTTTAATAATTTAAGATTTGCACGTACGTTTTTTAATAATATTTGTTATAGAAATCATATAATAATAAATCAAAATATTTGAGAGATTATTAAACAAATATATATTTTTTAATTTTTCAATTATTTTAGTCAGAACAGCAACTGCTGTGTATTTATTACAAAATATAAAATTGACATAGCCTATTAAAAGATCCGCTTATGGAAATTAAAATTTACATAGACCACAAATACCTTTCCTCAAAACACAAGTCGATCAACTAAAAATATATAATATAGAGAGGGAGCGAGAGGGAAAGGGAACAGTGGGAGAATGGGGGGAGAGCGAGGGAGAGAGGGGGAGAGCGAGGGAGAGGGGGAGGGGGGAGAGTGACCTAAGAATTTGTGCTACTCATGGACTGGGGATCAAAAAATCTCAAAATAAACAACTGACATTTGGTATGACATTGGTAAAATATATATTTTTGGTATATTGTATTCATGGCTTTATTAAGTAGATTAAGAAATATTTTAACCCCAAACATGTTATGCATAAACGCATAAGCACACGTCACGCACCCAAGCACGCACGTTTAAATTAAGAAAATATTAGTCACGCTGCCACAATGCGTCTTGTTGGCCTTTACAGGTCTTTGAAATATTAAACATGTCTATTCACAATGTGTTCCTTCGACTCGGCGGTGAAACGTGATGAATCAGAAATTAAAATTGCAATTAACTAAGTCAAAAACTGTATTCAAGATTTGTGGTAGCTCAGGTGCTTAGCGATCGCTCTAAATTTTATAAAACCCAAGCAACCAGAGTTCGATAACTGCTGTCATTAACGTAGTTACGGATTTAATCGCGTATAATTTGTTCTTTAAATTTATGAAGTTTCGGGTGTTTTACAGCATCCATAGTTCGTTACTATGGAGACACGGGAGGTGGACTAGTTTTTTTGAACGTCCTAATAGCAAAAATAGTGATAAAATCCATAAAACTAACTTTATTCAATGAGTAGTACTTGTGGAAATATAGGAATATAGACATAAAGATAAGAAATAATAGTATAGGCGAACCGCTAAAGTCGGTTTTGATTTGGCGAGGGCTGGTAAATATGTAATGTGTTGTTGTTGTTAAATGTGTATATGTATCTTAAAATAGCGACTGTCGTTCTCTCGTCTAAATATCTGCAATTTGTTTCTCAGGCGTAGCTTACTACTGCAAGTAATAAATTATTTCATATTATGATTTGTCAGTTTTCGCGAAATTTTTCATGACTACATTATACTGGATGGCTTTTTTTACCGTCTGTAAAAAATAGGGTGTAACATGTAAACGGAGTAGAAGGCTACCCTGTGACTCTGCGAAGTGACAAGGTCATAGACGCCTACTAAATTTATTGTTTTATTGCCGTTTATAAAATGGGGTGGTTATGATTTGAATTTCGATAGATTTTAATTAATTTATTTATTTCATACAAAATTTTTATTTTTATTTTTTGCAAAATATCAGTGCTATTATAGGCTTCTACTCCATTCGCATCTTACCCAATTTTTTTCCAGGTGGTAAAAATGATCATCCAGTATGTGAGTGGCGTACCTTAAACATGACAGAGTAGAGCAGGTCGATGAGCGCGACGAAGAGTGCGTAGGGCTTGTAGTCCGGCCAAGGGCGCGGCTCGCGATGGTCAGGCGGCAGCGCACGCAGCGGCGGCCCGCCCGGCGCCACGCCGCGCGCCTGCGCCACCAGCAGCGCGCGCTTCAGCGTGCTCACGCGCACCGCGCGCCATCTGCACCACGCACGCACACGCACACAATTATTTACATTCATCAAGCCTAACGTCTATACTACTAGACGGACACTACGCCTCGTTGCTCTAAGCGGTTATAGTACTGCAACTGCTGATCATGAGGACCTGGGTTCGAATCCCGGGTCGAGTCAAAAAATCAATTTATTGAGTTTTTCCATCAAGAAATTCTCAGTAGCTGCCCGGAGCCAGGAAGTTGGCGGTGTTTCACCCCAATGCCTCGGAAAGCACGTAAAGCCTTTAGTCCTGCCCCTATACATTTTATAAACAAACCTTTAGGAATCTGGATATCATGAAAAATCTATTGAATGTATCTGTTCAAAATAAAATTATTTTCACTTTTGAACACCTAATCTATCCCTATATCATAACCGTTTTACAATTTTCGTTTTTCTTATGGTATTTATTGCCGCCCAAACACGTGTTAAAATTAGTTCTTTTAAATATATATATATATATATTTTACTTTTTTGTTTCCATACAGGGCTAGATAATGATGGGACAAACTGAAATCATTTTTATTTTAAACGTACACCATCAAACAGTGGAATAATGGCCACACTGCGTTTATATGGAAGAATGAGTGGCTAGTGTAACCTTAAGCAAGAAATTGAGAAAAAAAAAACAGCCGAAATTGATCAACAGAAAAGCAGTGTTTCGGTCTCTAGAATTCTTTGGGTAGTTTTAGGTTAACATCAAGAGAGAGCTGTCAAAACTAACTGTCGCATTTTTTTGATCAAAAATCTCAAGATTCGTACCATCTCAACAATCTTACCAACGTCACAATCGTAACAAAATGACACATATATATTATAATTAAATGTAATTAAAGTTAGAAAAAAAGTCTTGAATTTGTACATAAAATACGAAGAAACTTTTTCCCCGACCTTATACGTAGGGCACACTCAACATGCCTAATAAAACAAAAAAATGGTTTGTATGAATGGAAGTGATTAAAATTAAATTAAGAATATATTCTAATAAGAATATATTGTTTTACTTATGGGTCATGTAAAACTTTCAGTGTACTCCACATACAAGTATATTATGGTTGTAACACGAATGGGTTGTAGACTATTTGTGGGCTTTCTCTCACAAAATATCAGCGTGAAAAATCAACTTATAGATGCTATGTTTCGTATGCGTAGTGAAGAGAACCGCACACCTTTTTATTTGAAACAAGACATTCCATCTTATTCCTCCTGGGGCAAAAAAAGTCGATTCATAGTCGTTCATATTACTGTCACCTCCGGCGTATGAGATTCTGTAAGTTCTAAGCACTAACACGTTTATTAAAAAGGAAGATATGCGTGATTCTCACATCAAACTATAAAGCACATTAACAACATTAGCCTTATAATTTACGGACTGCAAACTTAATATATTGTCAGTTCCTTTGTGTCGTGAATCACTCGTAACATAAGTAGCTTAAGCTAACTGGGAGTGGTTAAGTATAATAATAATAAATTATAATGACATAGATTTAACAAATGTGAGTAAGAACAGTGAGCTAAACATCTAAACAATGTTCAAGATATACAAATATTTTTCAATGAACCCCAAAGTAGGATAATCCTGTATTTGGGGTATGAGAGCGCAACTAAAATATTAGTAACGTAATTAGTATTTTAAAAACATCTTACTTGGCGTGTGGGTAGAGAAGAAGTGTGAGCGTAGCAAAGTACAACGGTCCGTCAGCGTCGTGCGCAGACTCGAGCAGTCGCGCCGGCGCCCAGTTTAGCGAAGTCTCCAGCGCGGTCAACTCACGTCCCGCCACACGCGTTCTGTATATAAACCAAAATATTTACATACGAATGTTCCTACGCGGGCCCCGTTTTTGCCCACTCCAACCCTAAAATTTTTAATGAACTCCAAATAGTTCAAAACCTTTTCTGTCGTCGAGCTGCGAACGCACCTTGGTAAGTCCGTAATGCTGACCTTCATCGGGACCTAGAGCTCCCCACAATTCAACAATTTCTCCAAAAACTCTCTGAGAACTTCTTCAAAGCCTCAGATTCACTCAAATCATTTAATTCGGGAGGCAGCTACTTATGCAGCCCCACCCTCCTCTCGCTATCGAGTCCGCAGGCCGAGAAACTCTCTCTCGGACCCGCCTAATAAACTAACAAACAAACGACCTGAACTGCCTCGTGGCGGCTCAGGCTAACTCTAATTAAATTAAATTATTACTCACTCATAATTAATTTGCCTTCGTAGGCACTCACTCAGCGGCTCGTAGCCGCCTGCGCCCTCTTTTCCCAAAAGAGGGTCGCTCACGATAAGGCACAATAAAGCTTAATCAGCCAGTTGCCTGTCCCTAAAGGCAGTTTTTAGAGCGTATCACTTAGGTTCCCCGGTTGTATGTGAGTCCCTCATAACCACGATAGACCGGTTATCGTGGTACGCGTAATGCATTTTCCGCCTCCCTACGTATAGGGTAGCCCTTTATTTGCTTCGGGCGCAAAAAAACAACATACGAATGTTTACAAAATAATTGTTTAAATACGAAAACCGATTCTAAATTTTTTTTACAGTTCTAATACAGGTCAAAATCTACATTCATTTAAAAGTTATTTTGCTCGTAGACCACACATTTATATTTAGGTTTTAGTTCAGTTCTATTTTTATCGCCATAACTGCGACACATGAAACCGGTTCCTTATCAATATCATTTAAATTATAAATATAATCCCACTCAACCCCCACCTACCTATCCACAAGCGGGCAGCCCCTCCTACTTCCTCATGTCTTACCAGGTGTACTCCTCTAGGGGGTCACCCTACACTACGCCTACCGGTACGAGGCTGCCACTCGAGAACCTTTCTCTGTGATATACGTACAATTAAATGTAGTACACAGACTAACGGCGGTGCCCACTCGCATTGCTAATCCGTCAGCAGTGGCTACTGGACGTTGTCTTTGTGCTGTGTATCTTCTTACCGATAGTTGGTTGTTTTACTAAAACCCTACACTTTAATTAGTGAGCACCAAATCCCTAAACATTATCTCCATACATTAAAATTCTAAGGTTTTCTATACAGGTATTTGTTTTTTGGGCTAGTCACGTCGTTCAAAGCTACTGCTAAAACGTCGAGATCGTGGTGGGTCGTTATGTCTATTTACGAAATGCACATTTACACGTGGTAGAGCCATGCTGCAATTATTAGTAGTATAGTTATAGCACGAATGGGTCGGCTCGACCGGGGAAGGACCACGCTCTCACAGAATACCATCGTAAAATAGTAGCTTAATGCTGTTGTGTTTCGTATGGTGAGTGTAGAGAACCGGAGAACCTTTTTACTAGAAACGAGGCATTCCATCTTAGTCCTCAGGGCTGACAATGCATCTGCATTTTGATTCGTAATCGAGTACAAATGTAAATGTTTATGAGCCACAGCAACCACTTACAATCAGGCGGACTGTGTGCTCGTTTGTCACACTATCCTATAAACCTGCAAGTCATCTTAATTCTTTTGAAACAAACATTTCACACACAAGCATTTAAGAATTAAATGTGCATACTATTACGCGTACGCGTGTGATTATGCGTGCGTGTGCATGCGTGTGTGTGCGTACGTGGGTGCGTGTACAACTTGCAGACTTACGTGTTGATAACGTAGAGCGCCATGTGCACGAGCGCGGGCACCAGCTGCATGTTGGAGAGCGGGCCGCCGCCGCCCGTGTCGTCGTGGAAAGTGCGCCCGCGCGCGAACCGCAGCAGCAGCAGCTTCAGGTCGTGGATTGTGCACGTGTGCCCGATGTCACGGTGCCCTGTGCACTCCTGACCACATACATGCATATACATATAAATTATACATTTGAAACAACACAGATTTATAGCTAATAATAAACTTAATCAATAAATATTTAAATCAAGGTCAATTTTTACCCCTTCGTATACCGTCTTTCTGTCACGGTTTACGACTTAATCATCACTATATTATTATTTTTATGGTTAGTCAATTAAGTAATAATACTACATATTTCACTCCAAGCCGCTATTTTATCTTATTTTGTTTCTTACTGACATAAAAAATCGTAGGATTTTGTGATTTTTCTATTTATATAAAATATAAAATATTTAGAAAAACATTTAAACACAAACCTGTAAGTACGTTGTGTGTCTAGCAAGGCAACTTGCAAATGCAGATTCTGGTACGTGTGGCCCCCACAGAGGCAATAGACCGTTGCACCGCGTCGACGCGTTTTGTAGGGCCGCGCTTTCCCATTCATCTCTATAAAATTAGTGAAATTTAGTTAAAATCAACTACGCCTTTGTATCTATACATGAGGTACACTTATAGATTATCTATGTACTTAATTGTGAGAATCCTATTTTCAGAAAGTGGCATTATCAAAAACATTTAACTGGATGGGAATACCAAAGGCATTATGTCTGTTATTTTGTAATCCTTTTTATTAACGTAATTTACAAGAAGTTTTAATAAATAAATATGACAGTTGGTAGGGCTGATTTGTTTTGTAATTACCCCTTGGTAGTATATCCTTTTCACACTTCCGAAATTAGATGTTTGATCGAAGTCATACAGTATAGTTTTTAAATCTTTATCACATTCTACTACAGTATAGGGTACAAAGGACGGACTTAATGCCCACAGGATTCTCAACCAGTCAATGGGTTGACTGAAATGTGGGCATTTTTATAATTTTACAAGGAAATTCTCTTGCCCAGCGGGCAATTATGGCAAATATCCCCCCTATAAGGGAATCTATGGAGGAAGTCTATGTTCACAATGGACTTGAATAGGCTGTAACGATGATAGTACAATTTCACATTAAATTTTTTTAAGTTTATATGTAATAAATCTGAAAAATTTAACTTCTTCCGAGTGTGAGGCCAGATGAGACTTAGTGGCAGTTTAGTTCAGTTCGTTTTAAGTCAATTTGGCCTTGCAAGCTGTTAATATGATTTCATTTTAAGCAAATACATCAATACATCAAATTTTATACTTATAAATAACTATAGGAGTAAAAGGAGTAGGTACCTGGCGCGGGCGAGGCGCACAGCGGCCATGTGGCACTCGACGTGCACGATGTTGTAGTGCGACACCGTGCTGTAGCCCAGCGTCTTGCGCGCGCGCACCTCGAACTCCTCCACCGGGCACCGCTTCGTGAACGTGTAGATGCCCAGCACCTGTACAAACAGACATATTACTACATACTCATAGTTCAAACAAAACAATGTCGCTTCTTAAAGATAACACAGTAAAAACAGTTTTTTCACCTTAAGTAGGAATGGTTTCATTAATTAAATTAATTTCAAAACAGTTATTAATAAGTATGTACTGCAAATGTTGTTAGTTCTATAGTAAGCTACTGAAAACATTATTACTCCAACATTTTCCTATTCATGATCTCTTTAAATAATGTCTTAAGTTGCATCCAACGGATCAAATTTTCTCACTCTATTAAAGTAACTCTTTATATTTAGCCAGTTAGCCATCAGTTCTAAGGTACAGACAAAGTACAGTTCTGAGAATGTTTCACAAAATGTAATAGAACTTGTGTATTACATTATGGTGCAATTTGCATTTATACATATAATAGATACATACACACCTACGTACATACACACCTACGTACATACAAACTAATGTAACGACGCTGTCGTTGCACCACCAGCAAAACGAACCGAAGTGTTACTCATGCATGTTTCTGAACAACTTCAGCATATACAGAACAACTCTACAAAGCCTTGAATGCTCCGGGCTGAATACCTTGCCTGGCATTAGATCTATTCCTGTGCTTCCACGAACAAACATGTTTGATAGTGGAACGACAGTGGTAGGACGAATTAAGTTTGAATGTGGTTTAGGATTCTTAGTTAAGACGCAAAATGGTGTCAATAACGTGTGAGCTACGGACCACGTATCTGAAGTGAACACTACGTCACGTGACAGCCACAGAGCTTTGATTTCATTTATTTTTATATTTTTCTATAGAGTTAACGCGATCGTTACGCATAGCATGTCATCTTAGTTAACTTCGCAGTGCTGTACTTGAGAATCGCCATTAAGTTGAAGTCTTTGAAGAAACTTGTTTTTTAGCACCGCACACATTCAGGTTAAGCTACTAAGTTTTGCATGTGTTGCAAGAGGTGTGTGCGCGCATACCTTGGTGGGCTGGTACTTGTAGCCCTCGCGGCAAATGCAGCAGACGGCGCCGGCCTCCTCGGCCAGGTCGGCCAGCTGCTGCGTTAGCGAGCACTGCGCCGTCACCTGGCCGCGCTCGTTGCTGCGCATGCCCAGCGCGCCCAGCTGCCGCTCGCGCACCGCCATCGCCAGACGCTTCTTCTCCTGACAACGCATAACGGCAACCACAGCGTTTACATATTTGTTTTTTTTTTCTACTGTCATTCGACAAATTTTGACTATGGTTTGTACCTTCTAGATCCAGAGTCACACAAAATAGCTACGTATCCTAACCTCTACCCCAGGCGACCGCAGACCGTCATGATATTCATATTTTGCACTCAGCAAAAACAAAAGAATAACAATGGAAATTGGAAACATCACAAAATTGGCATATAGGCGCTGCTCTTTTGGCCTGAGTTCTGAAATAGAACTCAACTACGATCGCAGTTTTTGATCGTTGGAAGTATTTACTTTCGTACAGTATATTTCAATTAGTATAAAGTTCGCACATAATTATTATACCAGATAGTTAACTTAATATGGTTATTTTGACTGTAGCTGAGCTTTCTTACCAGTCGGAATGGGGCAAATAAATACAAGTGTCAATGTGTAACTAAACGTAAAAAAGAAATATCCCATCTCTGGAGAAATAATAATGGAGAATAAAAATGTCTGCATGCTTGCCAAATGGACTTTGGATTATGGAGTAAAGGTTCTAAAAATCTACAAAGACGACAAATTTTGAATTTTGAATATGTCACCCAAGTTACAAGCGTTTTATATAAAGGGTGTACGTGTGTACTGCCTGAAATTATTGGCTCGAGACAAGCTCGGTCAATGCTGTTGTGGCAAATATTTTTATAATGAAAAATATGGTAATTGACTGTATGTACCAATAAAAAAATATTAGTTGCAGTTGGTTGTTTTATTTATTAAAACAGGTTGCAACCGTACCATTTATTTATTTATACCACTATTCTACCGTTAGTAGATATAATCGATTATTAACCAACATTAGTTAACAGTCTATTACCGTAAAACAATTAAAATATTTACATGTAATTATTTCAATATTAAGGTTCATAAATAATGAAAAATACATCAAATAGATTATAATAAATTAATTAGATAACATAAAAATGACACACCAAAAATTTTCCATCCACTGAACTCCATTCATAAAAAACTTGTATAATGGAAGATCAAGAAGGTTTGGTCGCTATACTTACAGTATCATAGTGCAAGCGAGTGAATGAAATTAAGTATCGTTCGCGTAGGTCGTCGCCCAGTAGATGCGTAAAGTATGTACTTTAGCGTAACGCCGAAATGTAAGAGGACTCTTAATAATATAAACACAGTATTGGAAATAGAAGGTACTTAAATAATTTTAAAATGTCTTTTATTGAGAGACGAGTTTATACATGGTATACAATTACGTCTACTTAATAATGAAATTAATGTTGGTCATTTCCTGGACATATTGCAGAATTTATAAATTATTTATTATTATTTAAAATAAGGAAGTTTTATTTGGATTAAATGCAATACGTAATGTTTTTGTTTAAATTTGTGGTTATTAAAAATTAATCAATAATATGTTAAAGTAAGAATATATTTTCTGTTGAACTGTACTTGGGTGGAAAGGCGGAACAACAACCAAAAAGTGAATTCCGATTATCCACCCCGTCTAGGGTGGATAAACGAACACGCGTTTCCGAGTATCCACCCTAGGATGGATTTCTTAGGGCAAATAAACAGAATAATCTTCAAAAATTACTAAAATTGCCCAGTCATACCGCCATTATTAGACATCCAGCAAACAAATTTAAAGAACAAAAAAATCCCTCTTATATTATTCTTGAAAAAATTAAAATCAGTCTCGTTTTGGTGCAGAGTGTGGTCAGAAATGATGATTTCGTTAATTTTTCAAATGTAAAATCAGTCCGAGCTGCAACTGTCTCTTTCGGTTGTCCAGATCGGTCATTCGGATACAACTCGACAGCAATAGTGAAAACTTATTCTTCGAATGTCCTGCAACCCAAATATGGAGGATATAAAATGAACGAGATAGAGAGTTCTCCATATTTTATTACTAAGCTGGCTCTATTACTTTCAAAATAACAATAAAGGCCCTGCTGATTACGACAAAAAACCCTACAAATACGACCAAAATGAAGTGGAGTCATATTCTTTTCAATATTAAATTAGCTAACCTGTCGTGTAAAGTCCCGCACTTGCTGCACTTTAGCGGCGCACTGCGGTTGAGACCGCAGCGCTTCTAACAGATTCTCAGCGAGAGAGCCCACATGCTCGCCTGATGACACTTGCTCCAAACGGTGCACGATCGGTATCACCTTCTCGCACACTAACATCTAAAAACAAGGTATTTTAAATTATTTTGTGAATCCCTAAAACCATTAAATAAATAATAAAAAGTATACTAATTTTTATCTTATGGTACACAAGTTAAGACGGACAATAAGATAAGAAGGCGAGTCTGTGTTACCTGTGTTGGTTCATGGTCCGTGGCGAGTCCAGTGAGGAAGCGCAGAATATACTTCAATGCAGGTCGGCTAATAAACTCTTTCAACTCGTCCGAGTCCGTGCATACGAGCGTTGGTTTTACGCACGGTGCATGTTTCTAACAAGAAAACGTTCAATTATTTACTTTATATCGTACTTTATATACTCCAAGTAAAGTTAAAAGGCTACTATCGCTTAATATTCTTCAAACAATAACTTACCACTATATATTCCAATGCATCCCGGACCACGCCTAACGATATGAGATAATCTTTGAGCGTTCCGCCGATAGAATTCCTTTCGATATTAGCGCAGAGAACGCAGAATAGTTCCATACGGAACTCCTCTTCTGTCCATTGCTCAGAGTCAAGCTTGTCGAAATCCAGTACCGGTTTAAAGTGGTCAACTAACATCGCCATTTTGAGATCATTACCATACACCAGAGCCGCCAACACGCGGGTCAAGTGGCCAAGTGCAACAGAGTTGTTTCGTATACCTGCAAGACATTATTAGTCAAAATTCTTTTTAAAAAAAATTATTACAGCCTATTTACAGTTAATTTCCGTTATATTTTTAGCATAATTAGAGGTTAGAAAATGAACGAGAATCAAGAATCATCAATTAAGAATCTATATGAAGGGGTGTGGTACCCCTGGTACCCCTGATGTTTAGGATGAAATGCCTTATATTATCCTCAGTCTCCAATTCTTTCCACTCGTCATACAAAATACAGCAGCATTATGCAACTATTTTACGCTGGTATTCTGTGCAAGCAAGGCTCTTTCTCTGTCGAGCCATTTCATTGGTGCTGCAGTCCCAACACGGATGCAGCATAGTAGTATCTCGTGAATATATGTATGGGTATGATTATTGAACCTAATCCAAAGAGTGCAAAATAATGTATTATTTGCTAACACCAACTTTTTATTCAAAAATATTACTTACACATAATTAAAGTACAGTAAATATTATGATGAAAATAAGAATTCATACTATTTAAACGCTAAAGTAGTAATAACGTAAAATAGTAATTATAACGTAATGTTATATTAGCGGTACCAAAATGAGAACTAATTTATACAAATATTATTTCTAATAGATACCCTTTAGAATAAGGAACTTTCAATTTAATACAAAATATACTATTGCTTTTATACACTTTCATTAGATATAGTGACAACCTGGTAAAGTGTGCGGGAAGATGTCCGATTCAGGTAGCTCAGAACCATTTTGTGGTATTCTTTGGGGGAGGCCATGTTCAGCAGAGGACTTGTGAAAGTTGATACTCAAATTCATTTTCAGGATATTACAATTGTTACCTGGACACTCAGTGCAATTGAGCAGAGCCTGTACATATTCCGGTCCTCCAAAAGTGAGTGAGAACTGCAAAAATGACTCGAGGCTTTCACTAGCTGCCACTGATAGAATGCGCTCCATTATCTGAAATAAAAAATCTGTAATTAACTTTTGTCTTTTAGCAAACTCTAAGAAGCAGAAACTTACACAAAAAAAAAAGAAAATTAACGTCATTTTTCTATTCCTCGTTGTCCTATGTTCTTTTGTGTACTTTTAAGGTTCTAATAATTAGTTCCATTTTTTATAAAATCAATGATAATCAATAGCAAGCGAGTTATGAAAATGTATATTTTTCTTATATATTTCATATCTTTGGTTATACATTTCAGTCAGAGAGTATTTGCTAGATTAAATTAAACCGAGTATATTTGCAGTGAATAGAAAGAGAGTAGCGGAGAAACTACACAGACTAGATCAGCGACGGGCAGCATCGTCACGATTTTAAGGCGTAACGATTACAGCAAATCCTCCATAAAACAGGATAGACCCATGTCTAGCTGTGGACTTTTATGAAACGAGGGATTAAGAATTATCGCGACACGTTTGCGGTTTACAAAACAAAGAACTACTGTTCTCGTCCGCTCGAAGTTGACTTAAGGGGTTATGGAGATTCGAGCATAACTTAGCGCGCAATGTACTAAGGGCGCAGAGACCCTTCCTAGTAGTAGTATGTGTGTGTGTTGTGCGCTCACCTCGAGCAGCTGGTAGACGAGGTGCGCGCGCGGCATGTCGCGCTCCTCGTCGGCCGCCAGCTGCAGCGCGCGCAGCAGCACGGGTAGCGCGCGCGTGTTGGCGCGCGTGAGCACGCGCACGCAGCGCCGCACGCGCGCGCACAGTGCCAGCAGCCGCAGCAGCGTCGAGCACAGCGCGCGCGCTCCACCCACGCGCTTGATCGCTGCCAGGCGTGCCAGCATCACTTCCAGCCCGCCTGCACACACCCCAATTATCATTCTACTTCATTTTTCCACAACATATTTTGTTATATACATAGGTTATTATAAGTGGTAAAGCCACGCTGCAGCTATATTATGGTTGTAGCACGAATGGGTCGACTCGACCGGGGAAGAACCACGCTCTCACAGAATACCAGCGTAAAATAGCAACTTAATACTGCTGTGTTTCGTATGGTGAGTGTAGAGACCCGGAGACACTTTTTTACTGGAAACGAGGTATTCCATCTTAGTCCTCAGGGGGACAACGCATCTGCGTTTTGATTCTTAATCGAGAATAAATGTAGATGTCTATGGTCCACAGCATCCACTTACCATCAGGTGGACTGTGTGCTCGTTTGTCACCCTTATTCTATAAAAGAAAAGGTTACCTTATCAGTATTTTTGCAGTGAACTCATTACTTTTACCTAATATCACGTGTGCACATCCTTTGAAATACCACACAGATCGTAATTTTGCACATATTATGTTCATGTTGTTTGTGTTTTATGTACCTAAATAAATAAAATTAATGCTCGCAGCTCATAATAACACCTCCCCATAGATTATCCTCGTAAAGGAATATTAAATATTCCTACAACAACTATATCAAATTTTGATATAGTTGTCACACATGGCGGACGAGTTAAAGAACCACAGTATTTTTTCTTTAATTATTCCTAGGAAGACGCTTCTGCCAATCTTCTGCTTTATTTACCTCTATCGCCTCTAACGACCACGAGATTAGCAAGAAACCAACCAAAATCTTTTTTCAAAAATATTAATGCACAATACACAGTGCAGTAACGATATATTACCCATGGCAATTCTTTAATGACAAAATAATTAATCATAAAATAACTATCTGTATATAACTTTTATTCAATAAAAAATTTAACTTTATATAAAATTCTTGTTGCAACATATTGCTAATTCACATTATGAAATCTTATCATGATCATTTGACTAGACTTTAATTTCGGCTTTCCCCATCTTACAAAGAAGGTGTGAAATTTGCTATCAGTAAAAGCATTTGATCACATGTGATTGCCAAACCCGTATAACAACAATACATGTTAAGCTGTGCCCGAATGACCGCGCTAGGCAACCAAGAGAGTCACCTGCTGCTTAGATTGGCTATATCTATGAAAAATTGACGTAAACGTGAGAAATATGGGATATCCCCGTTTTCTCCTCCAAAATTGGATCGATATTATTTTTTGAAGAAAAATATTAGTAAGAAGGATTATGACTACGTAAGCTTTTCTTTTATTTTTATGTTCATTGAATGTCTCGTAAACTAGGCAGTTATAGTAATTTTATAAGATTCCTAGTAATTAAAATAACTAATTTGTGGAAATAATTAAAATTAAAAAAATTGTTAAACATATGGAAAACAAATAGTATACGTTGTCACCATTGAGGACTAAGATGGAATGCCTCGTTTCCAGTAAAAAGGGTCTCCGGTCCTCTACACTCACCATACGAAATACAGCAGCATTAAGTTACTATTTCACGCTGGTATTCTGTGAGAGCGTGGTCCTTACCCGGTCGAGCCGACCCATTCGTGCTACAACTATACTACTAATATAACTGCAGCACAGCTCTACCACGTAAAAGTCTGCATTTTGATTCGTAATCGAGGATAGATGTAGATGTCTACGGGCCACTGCAACCACTTTTCATCAGGTTGACTGTGTGCTCGTTTGTCACCCTATCCTATAAAAAAATCATACCCCGATACGTATAATGCAGAGGCTTATTTTATTTATATACGATTTTGCTCTCTATTCCCTTGTAGGTAAGTACTAAGTAATTCGAATTATCTAAATGGCTAAGTTGCTTGAATCATACTGAATCTAGGTAGGCAGGTAATGTTCTTTATAATTAACTACAGACATACGTGACACTAAAATGCTATTAAAATATTTACAATGATATTATTTACCTTGACTTGTTCGTCTCCGTCATTCTAAGAACATTTTTTTTTTTCAAATTGCTCTTTCCTTTTTCTCCTATATATTTTTTTCTTAGTATTTCCCATTACCACAAACAAATTATTTAAGTACCTACTTATACCAATAATAATTTCCTATTATAATAATAAACCTATTCTACAACTATAGCTATTTATAATAATAAAGATATATCTATAAGAATAAAGAGTACAAGCGAACGACTTGCGTAGGTCCTACGTTGTGGCGGTCTCTCGCCGGACTGGCCCGCGTGAGTATATAATTTCTATAAAACTTTAAAACGCCGTCATAAGGTCTAAAATTGCGTAGCGTCCGCGACGATTTACACGCTTAGAAATTGTCAGAATCTTAAAATATTTAAAAAAAAATTAATGAATTAAGTAATCATAATAATGCGCAACTAAATTATAAATATTGACGTTACGAATACATTTGAGTGATTCCCAAACATATAGATTAAGTAATTTTGTTGTAATTTCAACTATAGTGATTTTTTAGAGGTGTTTTCGCAAATAATTATGATCGAGTCAAAATTATACAATCGTGTTTTTGAGCAAGCAAATTCAAGATAAAGACATGAATTTACTTATATCAAAATTTCAGTTTCGTTAGTCGTGTCATAGACCCATACTATTCGATGCAAGGAGGTGCATTTTATCAAGGTGTCGTCTTAAACATAAATTACAAATTATGATATCATCAACATTCGATATTATTTTATATAAATTAATTTAATTTGAAATACAATGTACCTAGTCTAAGTATTCTTACTTTGTCGTTATTTATCGTCATGGCACGGCAGGATATCATCTTAACGCAAATCCTTCCTACAAGAGGAAGAGGACTTTATAGATCTGGTGATGACATTTGTAACTTCTTAAAATAAACTAAGTGAATATAGCATGCTTATTTCAAGACTACAAAAGTATGTGATACTGTCACTCACCGCAATCAGCCAGGACATTGGCCATGCGATACAGCTGCTCATCGTCCACAGCCTCGGCATTGGTCTGGCTCAGCGTTTCCACGAACTCCTCTGTAGCGTCGCCGAGCAGTCCACGCATACGATACACTACACGCATAGCGTCTACACCCTCGCCCGATGTGCACCATACCTGTTTTATTTATGAAACGTAAATTTTTAATTCTACTATACATACAACTTATGAAATAAAAATTTCATAACTAACAAAAAAATTTTGTTAAAAATATACATCATATATTTAAATTATAAAATTTGAGCTAGAAACAGTTATTTATAATACAATAAGATAACCCGTTGTCAAAACGTAGATAAGATTTAAAGGGTTAACAACGTAGACAGAGAATGCTATAGACAAAGTGATATCTTTTATCGCAGTCACACAAGAGAAAGAGCAACTTACGTCGATGTCGTGTAAAGAAATGAGAAAGAACGATGAGATTTTTTGTTTCGCTTAGCGTGTCGCCATTTTAATATTTAGCAAACCACTTTGCTAAATAAAGTTTGACAGCTAACGTGTAGCGTTATAAATTCTTTGCATAAAATACTGTTTTATGTGTTTTATGATAAGTATTTCATATTATATTTTGTTGTGAACAATTAAGACGTAGTATTCCAACCATTTTTATTTAAAACATGGTGCGGTGTAGTGTATTAGGGTGTAAAAGTGATAGTGAAAGGAAAATGGCGGGGTTGTCTTTTCATTCGTAAGTATACCATACTATCGGTTACTAGGCAGTCTGTAACATTTAATAAAATACATACATTGTGTATAATGTACTCTAGACGTAAATTTATCGCTAAAAAGTACAAAAATAACAATTGCAAATTTTAACCTAAAGTCTTCGGTGTGGCCAACTTTTCTATAAGTTATTACCCACTATTATAGGAAATAATAATATCTGCGTACCGAAGGTGTATTATCCTAAGTCCATTTTTTTCGACATTCACTTTGTAATGTCATTGAAACAAAAAAATAACGATCTACTTGGTGGTAAAGTATTTTAAGTCCAACTAAAAAAACTACATGCTTTCGAACTCGTTAACATGTTTTAAGTCCAGGTTAATTCAAAGGTATACAATCTGATCTGGATTTATGCTTTTGTTCCGCTCAATTATCAAAAACAAAAGCATCCTAAGTCCAAATAAGATGAGAAGTTTGTTTTTGAACGTAAGTTGCACTTTATTATTTGTATTTATTTATTGTATTATGTAAATTGTGCCTTTGGCTGCGCTTGAAGAGGGTGTTCCAAGCACATCTCAAGATGTACCAAATTCTATATGCCAGAATAATTTACAACAAATTCATACTTAATAATCTACCAAAAAATAAAAGATCGGAATAGAAGTACAATAGAGCAGACAGGAAAAAAGCGAATAAGAAATGATCTTAAGCTTACATGAACAAAAATGCTGCATGTAGCACGAATTTCCGCATGAAATGCAGTACTAAAATATCCCAGCAGAATAAGAAAGAGATATTTACTTTTTATTGGGATCCAGAAAAAGACTACAATGTTAAGAGGTAATTCATAGTATCATGTGTCCAGTCAAAATCTACAACTAGACAAAGACTGAGATCAGGAGATGAATCTAAGTTAGAATCAAATACTTTAGTGTATTCTTTGTTGTTAATGGTATAACAACAGCAATCTGTAAGACAATGTTTCTAAATTTCCTAACAAGTGGTTAAGACTGAGATAAGAGGGATGTATTGTTGAATGATGATACGATTGGCATAAGCAGATCGGGCTCGTCCCTCCCGCGTCTCACCCCACACACCCCGCACGATTGCCCCGTCTAGACGTCTTAGTCGGACGACTGTATGGATTTATAGACTGTGTTATTACTTAATTCTTTTTTTACTATCAGTACCTATCTAACAAAAAAAAAAGAAATAAATTCACCTTTCATAACTTGCTTCTAAAATCCTTCGGTAATTTTAAAGAATGATATATCTGTAACCTTTTTTTGGGCATTTGGCATCCATCCACGCAACAATTATAGTAGGAGCGACGTTTTTCCATTAAAAATTATCAAATAGGTAAAATAATATAAATAACACTAAACAAAGACTATTTCAACAAATATTTACAAAAAAAAAAACTAATTACGTAAACACCGTTAAAAAAAAGTTTATCGACCAAATTGGCGATATTTTGAAAATGGGCCACGTTAGAAGTACCCTTAACCGACAAGCATGTATGCGTAGATATATGGATGTAAAGGAGGCGAAAGAGGTATGTAAGGATCGTGCCAAATGGAAGTCCGTAGTCTCTGCCTACCCCTCTGGGTGACAGGCGTGAGTGTTTATGTTACGTTATAAAACTCAAAAACATTCAATCGCCTACAACGCGCTAGCCCCGACTGCGTATGTTACCCTGGGTGCCCAGCGATTGTAGGTAATTATTTCACGCAGGTAGCAAGAGTGACAGAGGGCTGGTAACAGTTAGTTCAGTATCTTCTTTCTTCAATATTAAAACACAACCTACATAAATACAGCCCACTAAGCTCTCATTCATTACACAATAGTTTCTTTAAGTTTATTAGTCAGACAGATATCACAATTTTTTAGTTTCTTCTTTCTTCACCATAGTAAATTATAATAAATAATTAGTCAAATACAGTCCACTTAGCTCTCCATCTACAATACATATCAATGATAATCGTTAATAGCAGTGTTCCATTTCAGGCTTACTTCACGTACTAATTTCTAATTTTATAGCTAGTTGTGGGGTAAATTTTTCCTCACACTTGTAACCCTAAATATAGTGACGTATTTTCTTTTGTCCCTTTCTGCGACACGCTATGGCGGAGTCTATAGGATTCTCTGTCTACGGTTAACAATAAATTTGTTCTCTCACTTTATCATAAGCGCCTCATAAGCGAAGCGTTGAGATTATGCTCTACTCTCAAGTAATGGAAATCCAGTAGTTTTTTGAGCATAAAATGTTCTTTATTTTTTCACTATTGCACTTTTAGAATAATAAAAATACACATATATCAAGAAAAATCACTCGTTTTCATGTTTCTATTATTTTTAAAAGTAATTTTCTGTATTTTGTGTAAAAACAAACTGATTGAAAAAAAATTCGAGGGTGTCCGGATGTCTGTATGTGTGGACTGTGGATGAAGCACGATTACGGTCGTTAGAATTAATGTATCAAAATACTGCTTTTTTATTATGTTTAGAATCTCAACGCACAGGTTCCTCTTAAAAATCATGGAGTAATTTGGTCTCGTTTAATTATAATTAATGAAAATGTAAAAAACAACTGGTACTTTTCTACAAAAAAATATTCTCATGAATCTCTTCGTTCGTCTCAAATACGAAAAAAGAGATATTTTTCTTTTATATAATCAAATGAGATTATGAGGCGTACACTTTTGGATTTTCCAAACTTTTTAATAATTACAATAGGGGCATATTATTCATACCTTCTTGTAGACTTCCTTAACCGGCAGATCAAGTGACATAATCTTATTGCAAACAAGAAGCTCCATGCCGTTATCGTCTTCCAATAGAGCCACCAATTCGCAGTCTGTACATATCTTGTTCTTCACGTCTCTCATCAATGGACCCATGCCGGGTTCCAGTGAAGAATATGGATTCCCTAACATGCGACCCTGTGGAAAATTGATCGTATTAAAAACTGTTCTTTATTAATGTAAAAATTAAAGGTCTTAGTAAATAGTTAAATTTTATTATATATAAGTTCAAATATTAATAGTTTATACATTTTATTTTATAAAAGAATATAAGAGCTTAATATTATAAACATAAAATGTTATGTTTACCTGCAAAAAGTCTTCCTGTTGCGGATCTTTTTCAAGCGTGAGGAAGAACTCTCCAACATCATTTTCTTCTGGATAGATAATAGAACACAAACGCTCGAATATAAAGACAGGCGTGCGATAGTCATGTAGTGGATACTTTTGTACCGTCTCTATGCAAACTGCCATAAACTCCGCAGTTTCTGTTTCGGTTCCTGAAAATATAGACATTATTAATTTTTATTCAAAAAGTATGCATGAGCAGCATTTGTATTTGACTTTATTCATTTTATCCCATACATTAACTTATTTTATATTTCAAATGTTTAAAATTATTCGGCGAGATGAGAGTTTTACTCTATTTAAGCAGTAAATCTTTTTTTAGTTATTTTCTTACATGCGAACAACTTTTCTTCATTTACATTCTGTTCTAGCAGTACTAGATAATAATTTTTAACATTCGAATTTACTCACACAAAAACAATATGCATGCGCACCTACAAGTCTTTTTTATTCTCACGATGGTGGTAAGACTAACCCACCATAAAATAAATAATAATAAATGTAAGGCGATGGGGACAGCATGGGCAGCCGGCAGTCGGCACATACCGGTGGTCATCTCCTCGAGCAGCTCGAGCAGCTTCTCCTGCGTGTCGTCGGTGAGGCGCGTGCGCTGCACGACGAGGCGGCGCAGCGACAGGTAGCCGCCCAGCACGGCGCCCACCAGCCGCCCCTTGTACACGCGCCGCGCGCCGCCCTCTTCCAGAAACATCGCCAGCAGCTCCGTCAGCCGCTTCAGCGCGTACCCTGCAAGGCGCATAGGCACATTTATTTATGAATACAACATAGTACTTGACCACACACCACCACCACATTATTGACTGCCTCGTTGTATTAAAGCTCCGGCTCTTGGTCGTGGTTGGTAAACGCGATTGCTGATTATAATATCCCGGGTTAGAAACCTGGGTCGGGCTGAAATTGGTTCCTAGTTTTTGGGTTTTTCTCTCAATAAATTCTTAGTAGCAGCCCGGCGTCAAGAATTTGGCAGTGTTTCACCTCCGTGTCTTGGAAAGCACGTACGTTCGTTGATCCTGTTCATGATTCCTCTCCAAATGTATCGAATTACCGTCCTATTGAACTACGACTACTGCACTGACTCGGGCAATATAATCCTGTATTGAGCAGATAACTAGTCTCCATATTGATTTATTTGATTTGTACGAAAATATTATTTTAATAATTAATGCAAAATAATTTTCGCATGCTAGATGTGGTGAACATGTGACCTATGTACCAGTGGCGAAGCCTCTATACAAGCCCAGAAGCCCGGCTTGCCTAATTAAGATGAATCAATCAATTATATCAAGTAATAAAATAACTCGTAAACTGTTTCAAACTATTTCAAATTTCCCGCGCGCTCTGTTCGACGTGCCTTACGAATACTGCTGTCATACATATAAGTAGAGTTGAATTGAGCGATTGGTTTTCTCCCTCGCACGCGTGAGCTTTTTACCGGGCTTTCGAGAAGGCGATCGCTTCCTTCCTAACCTGTGGCAAAATGTTCTCTAATGAAATATAACTACGAAATGTTTATATAGCAATTACTATTAAGCCACAAGCCTGGCTTTGCCCTGAAGTTGTTTAGGAGTGCGTTAGCGACTAGCGAATGGGGGCCATTCGTATGCAAGTTCACTTCACATTTCAATGTTTATGTTTGTTTTTGTTGTGTTTGTTAAAAATTTATGCTTTTTCAAAGATTTTCATTGAAAATGGGAGGATAATAGTGTTCATTGTGATGAATATAAGTGTGTTGAAGTGCTAATCGGCGATGAAAAGGTAAAATCTTTAAAAATACATATAAACACTCACGCCTGTCACCCAGAGGGGTAGGCAGAGACTACAGACTTCCATTTGGCACGATCCTGACACACCTCTCTCGCCGCCTTCACATCCATATACCTACGCATACAAGCTCGTCGGTTAAGGGTACTCCTAATTTGGCCCGTTTTCAATAAATCGCCAATTTGGTCGATAAATTTTCGCCTAGGACGTCCTTTTCCGACTCTGCCATTCACTTCTGCAACATAAATTTTCTTTGTCACTCTTTCCTCATTCATTCTTTCCACATGACCAAACCACCGCAGCATTCCTTTCTTAATGCTGGTCACAACATGATCTTGCAAACCACACTTTTCTCTTATCACACAATTTCTCACCCTGTCATTCAGATTCAGCCCTAACACACTTCTTAACGACCGCATTTCTACTGCGTTCATTTTACTCTCGTGCTTCTTCTGCCACACCCAACTTTCACTACCATACGTTAAAGTAGGGACCAGTACATCATTGTGAATTGCCATACGTGCCTTTTTCGACACATTTTGACTCTTCACAATAGAATGCAGAGCCCCATTTACTCTATTTCCCGCATTCACTCGTCGTTCTATATCCTTATCATATCTCCCATCCCTGCTAAATACGCAATCCAAATATACAAACTCATCTACTTGCTCGATCAACTCCCCTTCTATTCTTATTTCACAAATCGTTTTACTTCTCTCTTTCAAAAACCATAACCTTAGTCTTACTTGCTTTCACTTTCACACCCCTTTCTTTAAATGATCTGTTCATTAATGTAACCATCATTTGCAACTCGGCCGCCGACGACGCAAGACTTGATCATCGGCGTACAAAAAGCATTTGACGGTTAATTCACCCATTCTTAATCCGCATTCTTCAACTTTCAAATTTTGCACAACTCTAAATTCACCACAGCCCTGTCTGACACCTTTATGGATGTCAAACCAGTCCGAGTAGACCCCGTTGATCCTAACACAAGCACTAGAGTCCCTATAAAGGGACTCCAATGCCTGTATCAAGCCAGCGCTCAACCCAGATGAGTTCAGTGTTCGCCATAGCACCTCCCTATCCACTCTGTCATAGGCCTTTTCCAACTCCATGAACGCGCAAAAACCTTTTGGTTTTTGGCCAAAAACTTCTCCGCGATCATGCGCATGGAAAAGACTTGATCTGTACATCCCATTTCCTTTCTAAATCCCGCTTGCACATCCCAAATTTTTCCATCAGTTTCTTTCATGACACTTTCAACCTGTACCTTAGCATACAGTTTTCCCACAATGCTAAGAAGCGCTGATGCCACGGTAGTTTTTACAGTCCTGCTGAGACCCTTTTCCTTTATATACTGGGACTATCACGGCTTTACACCAGTCTACCGGTACCCGCTTCAGTTCCCAGAATAAATTAAACAAGGTGTGCAGCAGGCATGCCACCACTTCCTCTCCTGCCCTTAGCATTTCGAGTGTAACTCTTCTCGTATATATCCTCTCTATCGTATCCGGCAGCCTTACCTGCTTTCATGCTTTTCATTGCTTTCATTACTTCATACTTATCTCGCTACCTCTTTCCTCTTTTTTCGGAGTTTCTACTTCATTTAGTTCACACGTTGTCTCTTCACTCATAAAGACGCTTTCAAAATATTCCTTCCATCTCTTTAAACTCAAAACTTCATCATTCAGAATATAGCCATTCTCGTCTCTTATAGCATTCTTTAAAAATGAAATTTAATATTCAATAAACATTTCTTCATACTTTAAATATAAGTACAGGACTCTTTAGTATTAAAGTTTAATTGAGTTAGGCGTATTTAAAGGTTTAATAACTCAATATTTATATTACCATATAAATTAAAAATATCATTTTGAACGGCAGCATAAAATATGAGACACCTAGGTTTAATTTTATAGGAAATAAGTGTTACAATCTTTTTTTAACGGGAAGCCCAAATTTTAATGTAATAAATCAAAAGAATACAGAAGAATGTATTGAGGTTTTTAAAGAATACTCCCTTTAGTAGTTTGCAGTATATAAAATTTTAATAGCGCCTCTCTATTTCTATATATCTATAATCTACTTAATTCTATAGGCAAAGTCATTTTATCGAACGAAAATTGGTTGATTCTCACGATGGTACCGAAAGATTACGCTAGATGGCACAAATACGCTATCGGCTAATATTTATATTACCATATGAGTTTAAAAATATCATTTTGTACGGTATATTATGAATTTAATATCATTTTGTACGGTTTATTATAAATTGAAAATGAATAATCATATAATAAATAGTCATTATTTTATGGTAATAAATTAGCAAAGCTGTATCTTCTCATTATAACTATCTAATTCCTGTCGTAATCTGTTCTTTTATGCATATAACTTAAACAAAATTATTTCGAGGTTTCACATCTGCCAGGCGTCCCTTTTTTTAACATTGTACATAGTTTGTACTTTGTTCAAGCTTTTCTTTTGTTCATGTATTGTATTGTTTGTAAATACCTCAAGCAAACCCAAACGGCTCTTTTCAAAACCACCGAAGGTGTGCAATTGCATATATGTCATACAATCTATCTAGCGGTAGTATACTTTCTGTGTGCTTTATTAAACACGTCCTTGACAGCACTGAATATGAAACTAAAGAGTGGAGACAGCTCAAGATTGGTGAATTTTTATTAAACTGCTAAAAACAAAAAACCATATATTGGGCTTGCCCTAGTTTGGAGCCCTAGCTTCGCCACTGCTATGTACATGATATTCATAACTATTCTTCATCTTTAACATTCCTCTACTCGCGCGTTGGTCTGTGAGACCGACAAAACACATTTTCGTTATTATTTTTACGAACGAAAATCCTGGGAAGTTGAGTTCCTTGCTAGCTGCCGGATTTGTTGCTTACTTCATATTAGTGCACGCCGCGCGTTTGTGTGAAACACAAGTATTGTAGCATTTGGCGCCAATAGGTCCGTGACACCGACGCTAGTATAGGTGTAACTTTTTGTGTAAGTGTTAATGTAATATATTTAGTGCATTTATATATATTTTACAAACTTTGAATACTTTTCGAAGTATTTATAGTAAAATGTATGAGATATATATACATTTTACTTTACATATGTACGTCACATCATATGTTGCTTTATATTATGTTTTGACCAATTTTGTTATTCTTTTTAAATTATACTTTCTTTCTTTTCATTTTTCGTTAGTATTCCATTACCAGATGAGCTTGAGTCTCAACACAAATTGACAGTTATTGGGACGATTCGTAAAGACAAAAGGGAATTGCCTAAACAATTCACGGAAATACGAGGAAGAGCTGAAAAGTCCAGTTTATTCGGGCACCGAGGCAATTGCAGTCTTATGTCCTATGTACCGCAAAAAGGCAAAAATGTCCTTCTTGTATCCAACATGCACGATGATGCACAGATCAATGAAGACACAGGTAAACCGGAAATGATAATGGACTACAATAGAACCAAAGGTGGAGTTGACACCATGGACAAAATGTGTGAGACTTACAACGTTGGACGTGATACAAATAAATGGCCAATGGTGGAATTTTTTAGCCTGATGAATGAAGCGGGTATAAATACATTTATAATAATACCTGCACAACATCCCTACCAAGAATATTAGCCATAGGATCTTTCTTAAAGCCTTAGCATATGATCTGATCAATCCGCAACTTAGACGTCGGGCTATCACTACATCCTTGCTGAGAACCATAAGGCTCAGACTCGCCGAAATATGTAAATTAGATGGAACCGATTCTTCAGCAACTTCTAAAAATAAATAGGTCGATGTGGACACTGCTCATTGAAAAAAACCGCAAGACACGTTTCAACTGTGCCACTTGCAAAAAATACTTTTGTTTGGAACATGCTGTAACCGTATGCCCTGATTGTTATGGTGAGGGTCAAAACTAAGCCAAATATAGATAATTATGTCCTTTCATGTGTTGTTTATTACTATTTAGAAGTTTATTTGGTTTTTAAAAAGAAGTACCGATTTTATTTAGGTTTTCCTAGTATGTAAGGAAAAAATCTTATATTCGAAGACTGATTTGTGATAGATTGAAAGTTAGTAAAATAATTAATAAATTAATATTCATACTATTAAATTATTATTCATACTGTTTTGTTTCACTATGTCCTAAACTTTGAAATGATAATAATATTTTTTGGGATTCACAGTAAAAAAGTATTTTATAGGGGTACGAACCACCGGTCTGTGAGACCGTGCGCGAGTATAGGTGTTACAAAAATTGGCGCAAGTATAGGAGTGTTAACATACTATGTTTAAGTGAATAAATAATATTATCACAAAAAAATGACATATCAATAACTACCAATTGAATAATTAAAAAATACCTTGAGACAGATCTGATGTGAGAGTGGTCTCTTCCAATCGGTGCAAGTGTTCAATCTCCTTTGTCATTAAATCGGCTATCTGTTGTAATACACCACGGAGTGCAAGGAATTGCTTCCACGGGGTTTCAGATGCCAAACCTAAATAAACATATAATTTTAGCAACTCTGATACGAATATTATGTTTAAAAAATATTAAAATATATTTAGGTAGGTAACTTACTTTGATAGAGCTGTAAAAATTGTTCACTAGCCTCGCCTGCTGCGCCTACTTCAGGCAAGAAACTTGTTAATAAAATCAGCACCTAAACAATAAAAATAATGCATTAATAAATTTTGTTCCCTAGAGCAAGCAAAAGTTATATTTACTTCTATCATGCGCATACTCACTGCTTTTGTTCGTTCATAAGAATCGCAAAGCGATTTAACCATTTGACAAGCCGTATCCCTGGCTATGCGAGAGCTTGGATCAAACATGACCGGTCGGAGCCAGCCACCGTCTTCGAGAGCGAGAGGCCGCATGCCATGAGATAATAGTACCTGCATAAATTATAGTGATATGTTATTTGTTTATTGTTCGTTTGAAGATTTCTTAACTATCACACACTGAATAATGTTTTTTCAAATTTAAATAAAGAAGAAATAAATGTGACAAATTTATTAAGTCTAATTCTAATCTAATGTGTTATTATGTTGGATATCAATTTCTAGTAAACAATAAGACCAAGTATTCAGGATTAACAAAATATTATTGCGATATTTCACGTTTTAAACAATACCAATCGCAATATTATAGCTTCCGGAATAGCACGCATGTGTAAAATTAAACTTATGATATATTACTAGATCGACAATTTAGAACAAAACCAAGACAGGTTGGGTAACCGGCATGGTAAATATGCCACGCAGTTGTATTTTTATTTACGTCATTAATTTTTAGTTGAATACGAAATTAAATTACATACTTATCTGTAATAAACTTTAAATCACATTTGAAAAGTGCATTCACAATGCTGTGTTGGTCCCTACTTTAACGTATGGTAGTGAAAGTTGGGTGTGGCAGAAGAAGCACGAGAGTAGAATGAACGCAGTAGAAATGCGGTCGTTAAGAGTATGTTAGGGTTGAATCTGAATGACAGGGTGAAAAATTGTGTGATAAGAGAAGAGTGTGATTTGCTAGATGGTGTTGTGACAAGGATTAAGAAAGGAATGCTTCGGTGGTTTGGTCATATGGAAAGAATGAATAAGGAAAGAGTGACAAAGAAAATTTATGTTGCAGAAGTAAATGGCAGAGTCGGAAAGGGAGTGGCCGCCGACGACCATGTATGCGTAAGTGTATGGATGTGAAGGAGGCGAGAGACGTGTGTCAAGATCGTGCCAAATGGAAGTCTGTAGTCTCTGCCTACCCCTCTGGGTGATAGGCGTGAGTTTTTATGTATGTATGTATTGAAAAGTGCCTACGTAAATAATGATAGCGTTTTTATAGTCATATAAGACAATGATAGACTGTCCAAAATAACGTTCGCGGATTACAAAACAAGGAACTAATGTGTTCTCGTCCGCTCGTAGTCGACTAAAGGAGTTACGGAGAATGGAGCGAACTTAAGTGCGCAATTGGTATAAGAAGCGCACAAAAGTTTAGCGGTGATTAGCTCGTGTGTACCGTTCGCACACGCTGATTAGCTCTCTAGTCGCATTCATGCAATTTAATTCGTGCGCGTCCCCTCCACGTTTCGTTCAGCGCTAGACTTACGTGCCGCGATGGATATCGTAGTGGCCGCGTTTATGTACAAGAGTAGGTGCGTACCCGGTCGCGCCACTTGGCGAGGTACTTGCGCGCGAGACGCACGTCGCGCGGCGGCAGCGCGGCGTCGTCAGGCAACGGCGCGGTGCGCGCCGACAGCTGGCGCCACTGGCGGTGCGCCACGCGCCCCGCCAGCCACGATGCCAGGTCCACCACCAGCTTGCCGGACTGGCTTAGCGGAGCCGCCGCCTCGGTGCTCGCCGGTGCGCTCTCCTGCTGTTAACGAACAAACGCTTGCTGAGATTTAGACAGAATTGATACCTAAGCGATGCAAATTCGTGTATTAAACGCCTGAGCTCGTGAATCATTAGTGTTTATTGTGTTTGCTTAAACGCTTATATTTGAGATACTATCGTCATCGGCTTGCTGACCTAAGCTGCCGTCAAAATCTCCGAAAACTTCACTGGCAAAAGGACAACCATATGAACTCGTACAGTTGTCCCTAGCTAAGAAAAAATATATTCGCTTGCTTTTCGGCACACTATAGAGATGCCATGTTGTATCATTGTTTTTCATTAGCACTGTGATAAATCAAAACAACAAAATTCAAAAATTTTAAATATGAAGAAAAAACCTTGGAGTCTTTATTTTGTTCTTCTGTTGCTGTAGTAGCAGCTGTGGCCGGAGTTGCGGGCGTCATCAACTGTTGCATGTAACCGAGGCAGGGCAGAGCGACTTGTTGCAGTGCAAACTGATGGGCTGTGAATCAAATTTTAGGTTATTTCTATTGTAAGCTCTTATTTCTCATCACTATTCTAAAATATACCTATAACGAAACATTACTACATAGGGCACGACTAACTGTCGGACAGCCTGCATGTGTTGTTCGGCTGCATGGCAACGTCACGTTACACAATATCGTAGGCGTATTTTAAAAATAATCAAAAGCGCATTCATACAAATGCATACATTTTGCTTTCCTATTAGAAGCGCCTACCTATATCTTAAAAAAACTAATGTAATCTTGATTAACTTTTATTACATAGACTTACAGTTTGGTGAAGAGTTGTTAATGCCAGGAATGCCAGCCAGAGCTTCAGTTTTAAGTAAAGTGCTGGCCGCTGGAGCGATTCCAGCAACTTCGGTCAATTGCGGACTACACCTATTAAATAAGTTCTATTTAGGAAATAATTTCACAAAATAAACATAAATTTAAAAAAAAGTTAACGAAATTACTTACCACACCCAGAGTTTAACAATACAGCGAAGTCTAGCTTCCCAGCATTCAACAGAATCTTGAACCTTCACCAGTGATCCCAACAGCAGTACCAAAGGACGTACCTGCATAATTTATATTATTTAAATTAAAGAAATGAAATTAAGGAAAACATTCTATTAAAACATAAAACACATTTTACAAATATGTACAAGTACACATTAAAAAGGATTATCCACTAAAACAATAATTTAAATACTTTTATTATTATCATTTGTTCACTTACGGAGTTGTTATGATCTTGAGAAGCCGCATGTCCCATTAGAGATAGTGTGATTCGCTGAGATAGCAAGTTACAGAGCTGTTCTGTCGCTGGTAAATTGTCGCGCGTTACGAGGCATATCAATGCACGAACTTCTTCTTGACTCTAAAAATCAATTATTAAATAAACTTAAGCTTTCTTTATTTCACCAAATTAAATATTTTTTTTTTTTGTTTTATTAAGAACAACAAACAGTTGTATAATAAAAATTACAATTAAAATCCTATGTAAATAGATAAACTAATTACACAACTAACACCGTTATCCAAAAAATTACCTACCGTACTAATTAGTTATAAGGCACAGAGAACACAAATATAAAATAAAATAACTAAAAAAAAATAAAAACTAAAATCCAGAGACAACAATGCATACTTAGCCATTATCAGCAAAATCGTGAATATTACTCATTTATTATAAAAAATAAAACAATTTAGAATTATAATATATATTAAGTTTAAATTATAAAAAAATTTATGATTACGAATATATTAAGTTTAAATTATAAAAAAATTTAAGACTAAATTTAATTAAAATTATATATTTATCATATAGGGATAGCCATTGGCTACCTAGGGTTATACAGTATATAATTATGTGCCCATCACCACAGATTCCTCTCATTCCTTCAACTTTTTGACCTCTCTTTTTCATTATATCCTTTTTTTATTCAGTTCTCTTCAAAATAAGTCTAAATATCAAATCCAAGTTATGAGCAGTAGTAAAACCCGAGTTAAATACTGAACCACTGTGATTAATATCCCAGTAGTCAAAAGCAGGAACGTTCCATACGTCACGCAAAAAACATCACGCGTTGTAACCGCGTATGTTCACCGCTGCTCATAGTAACAGCAATTATTGCTAGTTCTCTTACAGGTTAACTTTTTAATAGACGCCATATAGATGTTTCAATAGAAAACATTAAATTGACAACAACAACAATAATATCGTTCTGAAGTGGCTTTCTGCACAAAATGAGCTGTCACTGATAGGACGGGCATCATAACCATCACTATTATAGCCTACTAAGATCCTAAATATATCGCCCACACTCCCCATAGTGGCTATGGGTTGATTATGCTGTTATCAGAAACATACTGTAGCCCATCTCCTGGTTTGCTTCGCTCTGTCGACTATTACGACATACAAGGGATGATCTGGGGTAATGGATATTCATACACTGCCACAACACAGTTATCGAATGGGCATCTTAGTTGTACACACATTGAACGGTTTGTTACTGACCGCGTTGTAAACGAGTATACGATGTTGTTAGTACATTCTGTTAGGTATAATAATGACTGCCATGTTTTTACGGTCGTAGCACTTAGTATGAATGTAAAATGTAGCCGGGCGGGAGCCTTTATTAGATTTGTGAGTAATGTATAGTATAATGTGTGTAGTGGGGTGGTGTGTACCTGTGGCGTGGCGCTGTGCAGGTTGTGGTGCACGAGCTCGTGCACGAGGCCGAAGCGGCACAGGCGCTCGCGGTGCTCGGGCTGCGAGGCCAGCGCGCGCAGCAGCGTCAGGCACTGCTCCGCGCTCGCCAGCGAGCACCCGTAGCACCCGCCGCCAGACTCTGCACGTCACCTCACCGTTATTGCATTCCACTCCACAATATGTATTGATACTTAATAACATATATTTGTTTTAGGTTGCTCTAAGACTTATAAATCCCATATTTATGTTGGACTTATAAGAAACCTAATGGTTAAACCAGAAATTTAAAAAACCTAACTGAGTAATAAAGTTTACTGAAAAACATAAGAAAATCAAATATACCCTATGTCACTTCCAAAACTAAGACGAATCTCCTAATAATATATGAAACCCAATATATTAAAATCCATCAAACCATTTAGGCTACAGGCGTGCCAAAGTAAAAGGCATACAAACAAACGCTACAGAACACAGAATTACACATTACTTTATATTATAGGCTGTCTGGTCAAAATAATGTGCTAATTGTGTTGCCTTATTATGTTATTAATGTGCTAATTGTGTTACATATAAAAGGCGACTAATGGGATATTTGGTTTGTGAATTTACAAGCGATGGGCTCACCACCACCTACCACTTTCACTATTTTCCATATTAATCCATAATGTATGTCAACTATAAGAACTCATAGTAATAAATAACACGACAAAATTTTAATTAAAAATTCTCTACTTAACTTCATTGAAATCTACAACCACCAAACAACCAAATAAAGTCTTTTTAACTAAAAAACAATTAATTTTTGTAAAAAGTTCAGTACCATTCAAAAACACAACTACAAACATCTCTCAATACTGTCTCGAACTAATTATTTTACCATAATAAATATTACAATACCTTTAGTAAGTTCTCCATCATAATTCTGAACCAGTCCGGCATACACGGGTAGAGTTTCACCTTTCAATTGTTCACTTTGTGATTTGTCATAGGACACTAATTCTTTTCTGTAATAATAAAAAATATCATCCAATAAGAGGCTAGTATACAGCAATAAAAATGCTCATTACAACTCTACTTTTAATATAGTCAAACATATTTGATTTTCTTTGTGCTTTCATTTAATTATAGCAAACACACACTCAAGGTTCCATTTATCAAGTCGCAGCAAAACTTTCTTTTATTTGTATTTTTTTATTAAATACAGGAAATAAATTAAAATTATAAAACAATTTCAATCACATAATTATTAACTTGGCAACTTTTTATTTATTTTATTTTACACAAAAAGCGCATTCTCAATACAAACATCTTGTGCATACATTTCTAAATAATATGTAAATAAATAGTGACATCAGCTATATCATCATAATCATTACAATCTTACTAAACTCCATTGCTGAATGTAGGCCCTCTCAAAGGAATAACACAAATTAGATATATATTAAAGATATTAAAAACATATTCTAATTAAACAAATGTGCAGTTCACACGATATAGAAATGAAACCTTGAAATGAAATTAAATATAAAATAAAAATATTTCACGGCCAAATATTCATTTATTATGATCATTTTCAACCACATATAGGGCATAAAATATAATGTAAAGTTCTATAGTAAATAAATCTTACAATCCTTATTTTTAGACCTTAGAATAGTAGACTTAATAATAGAAGAATATTTTCCTTCGAGTAAAGTTGCTTTGTAATAGCGCTATCTACTTCATTCTATAGGGGAAGTCGCCTTATCGAACTTCACTATCAAGGTGGTACTTATAATAAACGCTAAATGGCATGAATTTATGAAATCGTCGACTGGTTTAAATTGATTGGTATATATTAAGATAATTTTATTCAATAATATTAATTTTATTTTTTTCATTTATTTCTTAAAGATTAAAAAAAGACTTTTCAAATGGCGGATACGAACCCACTACTCTTCGAGTTCAAACATATAGTATGTTTTTGTCAGTTTTTTAGTGTCGCTTTTTTGTTTCACCAAGTTATCAAATTACAACGATTTTAAAGAAGTTTTCACTTCAAAAAATATAGATTGTTCTAAGACTGACCTGCACGCCAGCACCTTCTGTATGATCTTGGAGAGGTCCTCGAAGTAGCCCTTGCTGTCGACGCAGTACTTGTGCGCGAGCGTCTGTATGACGCGGTTGATCTGCGCGCCGCTGAAGCCCGCGCCCACCGCGTTGCTGTTCTCGTCCGCGCGCGTCTCCAGCCTGTGCTCGCTGATCTTGTGCACCAGCGACTGACACGCAAACATTTACGTTTATTTAGTTAAAATTTAATATTTTCCTAATAACAACGCAAGCCTGCCAAGGGTGGCAATAATGTATAAATATTTCCCTATATAACCGTGTAGTGGTGGTTTAAGAATACCTACCACCCCTCTATTGTCCCGTGTGTGTCGTAAAATGCGACAGAGAGAAAACTGAAACAAGAGATGGTGTAGTAAAGTGTAGCTTCTACGACAATATGCATAATATACAAGGTGTAAGGTAAGGTGTAAGGCTTTAATATAAAAATATTTATCCGAATTTTAAAAAAACGCTATTTAATTTCATAAAATTTAAAGTTTCTGTCCGACACCGTCCGTAAATTCATGGATACCCTATGCGCCCGAGTGACGTAATCACTGTAAAGATCACCGCCCGCGCTAGCTACCTACACAACATTCCAATAAAAACACAATAGGTACACATAACTTTTCCTTCATACTTTCATCCTGGCTTAGGACAGGCAAAAATTGAGGAATTAATAAAAAATTGAGATTTTACTTTAAAAAAATGTTGTTATTTTTCATTGAATTTACGTTATATAAATGAAACTGACATGACATGACACTGGTTCAAGGATAATGGTGTTAACACTAACATCCTGTATTAGAGTTAAGTTTATAATAAAGTGTATTCTAATTAAAGTCATAACAAGAGTAACACGTCTCTTCTCATTGACAGTTTCCAACATTACAATGGGCAGCAGTGTCTTCCTGATAACAACCAAAAAAAACTGCGGTGACCAACCTGCCTGCCAAGCTTGGCTACTATGGCAGATATTCTATCCTCCCATAGATTGACTATGGGACAATCTATGGGAGGCCTGTGTTCAGCAGGGGACTTTCGACACTGTATTGTAACAACAGTTATGGATTGCAACAAGTTGCGTAAGAACGTTCACGAAAGTAAGGGTCAATGGCCTAAAATAGACAACGCTCAAACTAACGTAAGTAAGACACAACCTTGTGTCTACGTCTATAAAGCTGATCCTCTTTTGGACATATTGTGAATAGTTTAAATGACCCGGATTGACCTAGCCTGGAATGTTCTATATCTCTCTTATGGGGTTTTAAAGTGTGCGCCAGCGAACGAGAACGTGAACAAACTCCACCTCGAAAAACAACTACGACCAAACAACCTAAATCTTCCATTATTATAGCAATTGTTGTATACCTGCAGTGTGTGGGGGAAACTACATCCATTTGAAGTATGAATGAACGAATTTATATGAATTATATTCTATTTGTAACAAAAGGGGTTTATTCCAACTTATAAAATTGACTAATAAACTATTAAAATAATTTGTAATTTTATTAGTTTAAATTAGTTTAATTGTATTTAAATAGTTTGTAACAATTTATAGATGAATTATTAGAGTAATAAATATATTTGAGACTATATGTCGAAATTCATTTCTTGGGTTAATTTTTTTTTGCGCAGAACACTAATTCTTTTTCCAAAATATAAGTAGTCTAACCTACTCTTTATAACATCAGCTACCTGCCAGTGAAAATGCCATCAAAATCGGTCCAGCTAATTCGGAGATTAGCCGGAACAAATAAACAGACAGAAAGATAAACACAAAAATTTAAAAATTGTTTGTTTGTTATAAGTCTCGTATACACTTCTATATGCACGTAGTTAAAAGCTGTTATTTTGATATTACAGACACTTCAATTTTATTTATTTGTATAGATATAGATAATTGTAGTAAAATACACAACTAAGAAAAATCTCGTTGTTATTTTGGAGATGTATTATTTTTTGTATAGATTTAGATTCATATGACAGTACAATCAGATAAAAATACATAACCATAGCTTTTGGTTACGCAAACTAATGAAGAGCACAAGATCATAAGTTTCGTGGACTGTAATCACCAATCACAATCCCAAGTGTAATCATTGAAATTATTTTCCCAACTTGGAAAAACCTGACAGCAGTGAATTGTCCCCGGCCAATAATTATTATAACAGATTGCACACGTGCAGTCACCTCGAGCACGGGTTTGTTGGCGACGAGCTGCCGGTAGACGCGGTCCGCCTTGTCGAGCAGCGCGCCGATGGTCTGCACCATCTTCTTGCGCTCCTCGTCGTTCTCGATGGTGTCCACCGCACAGCACGGCCGCGCCGTCAGCGTGTAGTCGAACTTCGCATACTTGCAGAAACCACACGCGTGGCACAGGAACGGGTCCTTCTCGTCGTAGTTTATGGCCCTAGGAAAATATAGTCATTAATATTTTCTTAATTTTAGTAAAATATAAAAAGAAGATATTAATAGTTATTTTGCAATCATCCGCTAAATTAAATAAAATGATGTGTCTTCCCTAGTTTGAAGAGCACCTCCCGCCCTCCCTCAATTGCGTGCACTAACCCCGTCACCACCAATCCCAGCAACACTACTCCCAACAACCCTCTTCTAGGAAAAACACCATCGACGATAATACGACACGTGTTCGCATGTGTCGTCTCTACACGAAGCATCTTCAGGCTGACTAATTTAGCGGATGGTTGCAAAATAACTATGAATATCTTTATTATAATGGATTTCCGCAAAGTAACGCCTGATGCTATCAATTATCCTAAAGTATAAATTTTTTTTGGATCTCACGTTATCATTAAATTTAGTGTAATTTAGAAAATTATTGTTTTCTCTCTAACAATATAATGTAACTAAAAAAAATATTAAAAAAACTAGATAGAGTTGTAGAAAATGTTAAATTTGTAATAAATACATAATTTACACAATGTAACTTACCGACACTTGTGGCACTGGAACACGTTTTCACCACAGTTGGAACAAACGCCGGGATTCGCCGGTACGGATTGTGAGCACCGCGGGCATTGTAATGATTCACCTGTAACAAATGTACCAATAAAATTAAGTGTTTTCGCTGGTTTAGTAGTTCAAATAAATACTCGTTAAAAGTAAATTCTACATGAAATCCTGATGCTGATTACACTCTACGACGGGCAACAGCGTCGAAAGTGGGCGACTTCTGTTATTGCAATCATGAATCTGTCTGCCAAGTGTTCTTAAATGTACAACAGAGAAGTTTAATGGGCAATGGTGGTAACGAATATGCTTTACAAATTACAGTAAACGTTTGAATTAAAAAAAAATACATTGTGAACAGACTTACCGGTTGCTTGTTGGTTCTCATAAAAGTCGGCATATTCCATCATTAGATTGCAGGCAACAATAGGAAGCGGGAAGTCCACTCGCACTTCGGACTGTCCAGACTGCAGTTGGACGCGTTTCGCTTTATGCCACATTCCTGCAGAATCATTTATTGTTAATATAAACCTTTATTTTGACTGTGCAGAAATGCTTCAACCCACAAAAACAATGTTATTCAGATTCGAAAGTAACCGCATTTCTCTTGAGACGAAACCCCTATTATATATATCACTTACATATATATATTTAAAGAAAATTTCTCAAGTCTTTCATACTTGGAAATAAAGTGAAAAAAAATAGCATCTCGATCACTATTTTACCTGTTTGTGGGTTAAATCATTTCGAAACAATACGGTTCAATTAACATTACAAAAAATAGCAGACAATGATAAATGAAAATGTACGAAATCAATTTATAAAAACAGCTCACCGGGTTTATTCTTCAGCTCCTGCACGGCCTGTACGGTGCGGTTGTTATAGTAGAAGTTGATGGTGCGCACCATCTTGCCTCTCTTGATGTCGCCGATGCGCAGTGCGATGCGGCTGATCATGTGGCTGTTCACCAGCTTCACGATCTGCGTCGTCGTCGTGAACTTCGAGTCGATCTGTGCCAGGTTACGCGATTAGCTCTTATATGATCGGCTCAAGGGCTCGAATCCTAATTAATATTTTTATATAAATTAAACAGAACGAATTTATCGTTTCGCAATTTTTGGTTTTATATTTTAGATTTCTCATTAATAAATTTGTAACAAATAATACGGGATGTATAACAAATAATACATCCCACAAGCATTAATGATTACGTTGGCATTATTTTTAACTACAGATACTATTAAATTATCATTTAAAACATTATCAGTAAAAATTATATTACTACGTGAGATAATTAAATAATTATTAGGATATTTATTTACACTATATATATATATATATATATATATATATATATATATATATATATATATATATATATATATATATATATATATATATTTATTATTAGATTATTATAAGAACACAACCAAACACATATATTACCAGCCTATAATAATAGAAATAATATAAACACAAACACAAAACAAAACAAAAACATCTCCAAAGTGCGTAATAACTACTTCAATATTGGCAACAAGTCTACTCACAAAGTAGTTGGCAGGAGGACGACAGTACCAACCTTAATGGTGGGGAGCTTGATGGTGGCCATGGGCACCTCGGGGTTGTTGCAGACGAGACAGGGCTCGGACTCCAAGTAGTAGCCGTCGAGCTCCACGTAGGCGCCGAGCGCCGCGTACAGCGCTGCGTTGCCGTGCGACGACAGCAACTCGTTCTGCCGCCGCAGCAACTCTACTGCGCTGCCCAGATACTTCTGCACACAATATTTGCTACTCAAGTCACCGTCCCGACTTTTGTTGCAAGCACTTTAGGAATACATATATATCTTTCTACTTATGAACTCGTTGTTTCAATTGTTTGAATTGAGTGACAAATAACGTTCAAGTTTCAGAACCACATATACTTAAAAAATTTAAGAAATTCAAACTAAAATGCATACCTCAGTTTCAATATTGGGAGTCTTCAACGTAAAGTATCCCAGAAGATCGACAAACTGAGCTGATTTGCGGCCATATTGAGGCAATGTGGGCCAAATACTCCACAACAATGAAACGAGTGACGCTTGCTCTTGTTGCGGGGAGTTACTACATAAAAAAAAACAGAAACATTTGATGCTTATAATATGTAACAATAAACTATTTAGTCATGATGTTGCAAAATCAATATGAATTTTCTTGATAATAAGTTTAATACTCACTTGTAAATTGCAAGAAGAAGCGCATGCGCCTGCCAACGGACTGCCGTAGAATTTGTTTCCAGAAGGAATACCTTGACGAACATCTTTAATTCCTCTTGAGACACCTTTAATATAAAAATTAAAATAGTTTATTTGATGCATTACAAATAATTTTAATTAAATTCATATTTGACCATTCCATACCTGTTTTAAAATTTGTTGTACAAGTATTGGTACTTTTTGTTCTTGGAACTTAGATCCGTCGGACACAAACGCGTCACTGTCCGCACTGCGCTCACGTTCTGGCCAGTCCGAAGATGGCTGGAAAAGGATAAAAATATTTAGATAATTTCCATGATGCGTAGTTTTGCGGCTACTTGACCGTCGACGAACTGGTGCTCTTGTTTTATCGTTTTAATAAGACGTAAAAGTGTTGCGTTTTTGTGTGTGAAATATCTATTTATTAGCGAAAACGACGTAACACGTGCTACAATGGCGACGTAAATCTCAAATTTGTTACCCGTTTAAGCATCTTAAAACAATAAACTAACATCATAACTGTCCGCTTGATTCATCATCATTGGTATCTGTCGTGAAAATCTACTAAAACTTACGCATAGACAAATATTTCTGTTTTACCTTTGCCTGCCTTGATTGGCAAATCATTTCCAAGGCTCTGTATATTAGTTAAGCGCCTATACCACCTCAAATGGCTCAGCAAGATCCTCCGTTATGGCGAAAATATTGCAGCATTAATTTTGAAATAGATATATGGTAAAGTTGAGGATTAATGTTAAAAAAAAGTACTACGTTAGACTAAAACACGATTCCGTAAAATTTTCTCGATAGAAAAAAATCCAAAATTACCTCCAAACCGAAAAATAAACCGCTGGTATTCAAAATACTTTAAATTAGATCATGAAACTTTGTATGCTAACTGAACTAACTATAAAGCAAGGCTTGTTTTTTATTTTCTTTAACTATCATTATTTTCAGAATGATTTCTTATATTTACGCGGACACTACACATTGATTAAAACTACTTTTACTGATTTTATCGCGTTTAATTTTAATTATTCTTATTATTAATTCCCGACGTTTCGGGTGATCAGTTCATTTTGCATAGATCGGACCATAAACAATAATTCTTTTTTTATTTCTTTCTTTTAAAAAAAACGTTACCTCCACACTAGGATTTTCTCCTGTGTCGTGGGGGCAGTTTACAAACATACATTTCACATGGACAAACATCCAGACCAGGAACAATTACTTGTAGGCCGTACAAATACTTGCTCCGTGCAGGATTCGAACCCGCGACCCCCAGCGCTGTAACCCATTGCTAAACCACTACGCCACGGAGCCGTCGAACCATAAATAATAATGAAAAAAGCTGAAGGTACTCCGGGTTTAACAATGACATCTGGACGTCAGTCACCTCAGTCCCCCGTGACCATGGGTGCTGGAAAGCACCCGAAACATCGAGAATTAAAAATAAAAATAATTAAAATTAAAATTAAACGCGGTAAAATCCGTAAAAGTAGTTTTAATCAATATCATTATTTTCACTGTAAAAAAAAATTACCTAAACTATATGCGTCCTGAAGCTTGTTCCTTGCCGCCCTACACCCCCGCTCAGTCTCGCTTCGGCTTTCAAACGGGAAAGCTGTGTCGCTTACGATCAGAATACAAATTACGCAAAAAATTAAAATGGGAAATAACCGTAATAAAAATAAGAAGCAACTGGGTTGACGTAAAGAAACAGGCATAAATATGATAAACCTAGTGAAATAAGTATCTAACGACCTATCTACTTTCAGTATTAATGATTAACGAACATGTCGGTAGATAGCATACGACGCGCGTGGAAGTGAGGGGCGAAATTAGAATTTGAGCTGAGAATAGGCTCTTCCACCAACCATAATTGAGGCTTAGGGGGCGGATACGGGGGTTCTCCGTCACCTCTTATGTAGAGCCTCGAGGTGGCACGTACGGTGTGATTGTACGCCCCTACAAGAAGTCATCGACCCTATGAGGGCTCTCGCCGTCGGGACTGCGGTAGTGTGCGAAAGCGTTCCTGTAGCCCTGACTAATGGTGAAGAGATGAACACAGTGGGGTTTTGGCCGGTAGGAGTCCGGCATAACCTGTCTGACGCTTACGCGACAGACGGGTATCCATGAGGATTTCCCCACGTAAAAAAAGGTTCTTAAATAGGAGTGAAAATTGTACCAACATTATTTCACATACTTGATCTATTTTGCAAATGTTCTAATAATATATACCGCATATAATTATGCGCATTCTGCGTTGTACGAGTATGTACATAGAGCGTTTTAGGGCAAATAAATATCTGCCGCACTACCAAAGTGCGTATTGGCGGACTTCACGTCTTCGAATTAGTCTATTTATTTCTCAGGCACGCTGTTTTTTTCAAGTAGTTTTCCCCTCACCACTAAATTTGTACTTAAAACTACAAAAATAATATCATTGGTGCCAGCGGATTGCTTACGTATGATATATCTGCAATAGCTGCAGCATGGTGCGTGAGTGTGAGCGCGCGTGTGTGCGGGCACGTACCTTGGCGTCGTGTCGCTGGTGGGGCGGCGCGCAGAGCGCGGCCTGCAGCAGCTGCAGCACGGTGGGCGCCACGTGCGGGTGCACTCGCCGCGCCACCGACACCAGCCACGGGAGCGCCGAGCGCCGCTCCGTCGCACACGTGTGCTGCCAGTTGCCTGTGCGCGCGTTCACTATCTCCGCGCACGCCTGCAACATTCCAATAATTTATACCTCTTATTTCAACTATTTACCCATTCGAATTCCATACACGTCATCTCCTCGATAATAAACCACAATAGTCTGTAACTCCTTGCAACAATGTCCACTGTGGGACATTGTTGTAAGGAGTTACGTTAATCGCCACGCTTGTTAGGGGGATTAGCCATTGTTGTACTAGATATTTCACACCTTTTAGGCTGCTTTCGTCGCCGCTCTTGGTATATAATATATTACATCTAGTATATAAGAAATATTATCCCAATTCGTATGATAATGCGATCTTTCAACCTTTCATAGTGCCCCTTGTGATACCCACAAATAAAAAGCAAATAGATGATGGATTCTCTTAATTCACCAAAACACAGCTAGCATGCATTATATATCATAAAGTCATAAACCATTGTTATTAATTTAACCTTAAATATATAAATCCAATATTGAGTTCAAGAACTTCCAATATTTATTATTTGTCCATTAAAATTAACCGTTAAACATAATATAATTCAATTATTGGTATATCACAATCTGATTCCTCCTGCTCAAACTAATAAGAATCCAAAAATGTTTATTTTATAACCAAGTATAATGTAATAAAATAAAATGTAGTGTACCTTGAGATGATCCATAAGTTGCACTAGTTTGTCATATGCCGGTTCGGGCGTGTCGACCAGCTCACGTGCAGCATTCAAATGCGTGTCTAAAGCATGCACGTCACGCAACAGTCGGTAGCGTTCGCGTGTACCGCACAACAAGAGAAGCAATTTGCGCACTTGTTTTCTGATAAAAACAAAAACACATTTAAAACATTTTTTAATTCTTCTATTTTAAGGATTATCCATAGTATGGTTTATCCACTTCTAGTCTTATTGATACAATTTTCAATAATAAGACTTTCAGAAACACTTTTCTAAGGGTTTAACTCCGCCATGAGATCTGTCAGTTACTCCTTTCCAGAATGACGTCGCCTTGGTGGCAAAAAATGAAGTAGAAGCCGTTACTGCACAAACGCAGAACTATTGCTATAATTCTTACCTCAGTGGTGTTTGCGGGTTCATCATATACTCGCAGAGGAGGGTGCGCCAACGCGCATCAAAGTGTGCCGGGTCACAATGTTTGTGTATCTGACACGGGAGCCGTAGCGCCATTTCCATCAGCAGTTGAGGATAATTATCGAAGACATCGAGAGCATGACCTGTAAAAGAGAAATCCAGATGTTAATGTGTTTTAAAGATCACCATTAAATTTTGAAAAACTCCATCATTATTTAAATATATATCAATATTTAAGATTAAGGTATAATTGTAGTTACTTTTAACATATTCTTTGACGAAGAATGGCTGCATGTCTGGTAGCGGTTGTGGCGGTTGCGGCTTGAGAAGTTGTTGTCCAGGCGTAGTGGTAGTAGTAGTGGTACCTGTAATAAAGATGACATACAATGGTAGAATTTTTTATATGGGAGGGGGCAAACGAGCATGCGGCTCACCTGATGGTAAGTGACTACCGCCGCCCGTGACCAACTGCAACACCAGCGGAATTGCTTATGCGTTTGCCGGCTTTTTAAAAAAGAGCTCATTTCGTGAAGGTCCCTAAGTCGTATCGGTCCGAAAAAATCGCTGGTGGTAGTCGATTCCACAAAGCAGTTGTGCGAGAAAGAAAATTTCTTGTAGCCTCAAAGTAGTGAACCGCCAATCAACCGTGGTAAGAATGGTATCTCGAGTCCTGGCGCGATGTACGATGGTGAAATTGAGCGGTTGGAATTAATCCCAACAATTCCTCTGAGCACTCCCTGTGGTAAATATGATCGAATACGTAAAGAGATGCAACGTCTCTTCGAAGTGTCAATGAGTCAAGCCGGATCAGAAGGTGCTCGGTCGCCGACGATTTGAGTTTAATAATAATAAAGCAGACTCGAGTTTAATCTGTTATTTATTTTATATTTATTTTATTACCATTTGATTACAAAATTATGTCTCAAATTTTGATTTAATTATACCTAGATGTTTTAAATCCAGGCAATGTTAGTATACTGGCAACCATTCACTGCTGACTGTATGAGACAGTTCAAGGTTCGAGCCACGAAGATGGCTCGGATATGCAGAAAGTTTATCTGTGAGGATATCCGCAGTAGAACCAGAGTAACCGACACAGCATATGGATCAGTAAGCTGAAGAGTCAATGGGCCGGCCAATTAACTCGAAGAACTAATGGACAAAATACGTACTCGAATGTTAGCCTCACACCGGGAACCAAAGTGTAGGGTAGCTAGCAAGAAGTCGATGGATGTAGGGGACTCAGAACCGTGTTCTGTACCATTCCTTGGAGGAGGCCTATGATTAGTAGTGGACTTGTGAAGGGTTGTAGTGATGATATTTATGAACCTATAACATTCACTCAATGTTAAATTTATGGGGTTATATCGTGTATTTATATATTTGGCATTCTAATTATTATAATTTAGTATATTAGATGATACATAATTAATGTTGTTTTAATTATGGTCCACTGATGCAAGCACCGAAATTTGCGTGGCAGTATTTTATAATTCTTCTAAGCAGCTATTTTTCATGTTGGAGAACGAAATCAAGGAGTTTGCAGTGTTTTGGAAGGGAAAGGAAATGGATATAGTTCACAAGAAAAGAAACGTGATTTAAAGTATAAGTAAAATTAGTCTTCTCACGTTAGCGGAACACCGAGATCTTAGACATGGGTTTTTTGTTCGATATTTTACACGCTCAACTTGATGGTCCTGCTCTGCTTTCACAAATATCCTTTAAAGTGCCCCGACGTAGGACTAGACATACACCTTTATTCGGTGTTCCCTTACATCATACTAATTATGGCAAGAATTGTTTCCTCACCAGAATGGTTAGAATTTTTAATAGCAAATTTTCTCATATTGACCCATTTATCCATTCAAAAAATTTATTTAAGCGAAAGGTAGTACATGCATTGACAGGAGCAGACAATTAACCCTTATTATTTATGTTGGTAGCCTCTGTAGTTTTGTAAATCCGTAGTAACATCTCAAGTTATATGTCTTCAATTCGCTAATTGACACAAAAAGAATTTAATATAATGTATGTATGTGAATGTGTACATGAGTATATTGTATGTATGTATATTTATTTAAATGTTATTGTATGTATATACTTGCCTATATGTATAAGTGTTTAATAATAATATGGTTATATGTATATGTGTATATATGTATGCTTACATATGTTAATATTATCCCATTGAAGCATAAATAATTTTCTAGGTTAGCCATGACAAACATTTTAATTAAGTATTGTTTTTGATTAAAGGTTTTGTAATTTTTTTTCAACTTATCATACTTCTGATTTGTGCTAAATTGTGAAAAGTGGATGACTATTATTGGCCCTATGTAAAACATATTATAACAGATTTTTTTCACAGAATGGAGGCTGTTGTTATCCCTAATAAATAAATAAATAAGTGCATAATATTATATCTTTCCTAAGGGAACGCAAATGGTTCTATTACAGTGTCTATAAAGTAGGCATGAAAAAGTACCAAATTATAACTTTTATGTTTTTTAATTAATTTTGACAGTGACATTGATAAACTGTCAGTATTAATGTGCTAATAGTAGAAAATGTAAACTATATAGGCATAGGTGAACATACTGGATGTCTTCTCCTTCCAGTATGGTAGCAGCGCAGCGAGCACGTTGTAGCAGTGGCGCGGCGCGCCGGCACGCACGAGCGCAGCGGCCGCCAGGCGCGACACGTGCGCGGCGCACGCGGCGCCCGTCGCCTCTGCGCGCGTCCCCGCCCCCGCCCCCGCACCCCCGCCAGCCCCAGCGCCAGCGCTGCCGCCGCACGTCTTCCAACGAGCCATTAGCACACCTGACGCACCATCAAATTATGTTACATTGTCTCCAGGTGATTTTCGGTTTCCACTATTGTTATATTATGGTATACATATATAATATTATCATACTCATTACATCCCATGGTGCGCTTAGAGGCATCGGAAAGAAATGAACAAGAGATAGACGTCTACATTTTTAATCAAAATAATGAAAAAATGCGGTTGCTAACCCGTTTGCTTAGCGTGCCACGCTATGGCAAATATGAGGGATCATCTATGACGCAATCTCTGCAGGAAATTTAATTCTGCATATCTTATTCAACACAATATATTAATATAACAGCACGACATTAGTATATTATTATAAAGGTATAAAAATAAGTTTTTTTGCTATTGTCGTTAAAAATGAATGCCTTGATCACTTTACCGTCTCCTTCTGTTAGCATCTTTTAAATGACGTCGTTTTTATGAGTAAACGTAGTTTTTTATGACTAAGGGCGTAATTGTTTCTCACAATTGTTTTTAGTATGTGTGAAATGTATCACAAGCATTATAGTAAATCTTTAAAAAAAGTATAAAGCGGCTTCAAAAACTTTAATGGATAAAATAATTTCCTCATAACAACTATTAAACTCGGTGCCAAGACATATTGTATCGAAGAATTAAAGCATCAACTTTAGATACTATAAATATAGACTTAAGATTGTTTGGTTTTATTCTTGTGTTTACGAAATTCCCGTCAAGTTGTTATAGTGATAAAGTAAGGAAGACAAAAACAAAAAGCACAGCACATAGCAAGTAAAGGCTTGCATCGCAACTCACTGAGCAGACGCATGATGACGAGCTGCAGCTCGCGCCTGTTGGTGCGCTCGTGCACGGGCGGGCCGGCCTGCTCGCGCGGCACGTCCAGCTCCGACACCAGCATCTCCAGCCGCATGACAGCCAGCTGCAGCTCGCCGCGCTCCCGCTCGCCGCCCTCCTCCCGCGGGATGTCCAGCTCCGACACCAGCAGCTCCAGCAGACGGTCCAGCACCGCGCGATCGCCTTCCACGCTCGAGTCTACGTCTCCGGCCAACATTAGGACCACCTGCATATAGACAATAGTTGTAACTGGGCCAAGTGAAAACAGCTGATAATATACAAACCCTTATCATTGTTATTTTTTATTAAAAGTATATACAAACCTGAACAAAAGGTATAGCCCGCACTCCTGGTAAATTGCGAAGAGTCGGCAATGCATCCAATGCAGCTGACAGCAGAGAAAGTCGAAGGGCGTGTAATTTTCGCGTTTCGCTTTCCGCTTCGATGGTGCGAGATGATGACGGCACGGGTTGAGTAAACGACGTTGATGGTCCTGCTGGTCGAAAAAAGCAAAATCACTAAAAATCTTCAAATTAAATATTGCATTTAAATAATGTCCCACGTTTATGAAATCATTAAATAAAGTACGTATGAAATATTGATAAAAATAGTTACAGAGCAGCCCCTATAAGTACGCATTACATAATAGAAATACTTTGTTTCTTTTAAATCTAATCACAATGTAAAAAAAATAGTGTTGAGGTTTGGAAAAATTTTACATGGCACAGAATTACCCAGTAGCACAGTACACTGTGTAGTGGTGGTATAAGGATATACTACGTCATACCGTTCCGTAGGTGTCGTAAGAGGCGACAAATGGAAACAAACAAGGAGTTGTGCAGCAACGTCTCCCTAATGACAACTCAAAAATAAAGAATTGCGTTCTAAGCGCGGTTAATACAAGTATTCCCCACATGAGGCAATCAATCTTTAGGAAGGCCTATGTTCAACAGTGGAGTTTAAACCTACACATTACTATTCAAACATGTAACAAGGAGTGTGGTGGGTCACCGTAAGCGCTGGAGCGTCCGGAGACGGCGCCGATGCTGTCGGCGGCAGAGCCGCCGCTGTCGGAGGCGGCTGAGCCCGCGGAGCCGGGCGGCTCGGCGGGTGACGTACGCAGTGTGCTGCCGTCCGTCGCCGCCGTGCTGCCCTCGTCGTCCGAACTGCACGCACACCAAGTTCCTCCTTTATTATCTCGGTCGATCACTTAATTTTGATTTGAGTAATTTAAGTGGCATTTTTGAAAAATTACTAAACTTTTATCTCGCACAGCATGATATGGAATGCACTGAATACTAATGGCGTAAAACGTGGGCGCAACTCTTTTATCTGCAATAATATTAAGCCGAGAGGATAAGGAACCGGGCCGTTGCTATCTCTCTCTCTCTCTCTCTCTCTGTCTCTCTTTCTCTTTTTCTTTTTAGCGAGAGGGGCAGTGTGCAACCTAAGTTTCATTCATTTTTATATTAAAAAGATTGCCATTCTCAGAATTTACTGCTCGAGTCGAAATTGGGCCATGAGGTTGGGGGCAGCGACGCGAACGGTGGTCTATAGTGTTCTAGAGGCCATTCGTTTACCTGCGTTTGTGCCTTACGATACGTTGTGGACGATCGTATGATGTATCAGGATCATTTATTTAAATTAAAATATCAACGAGACAACAAAAAAAGAACGTTTTATAGAAATAATAATTCTATTAAAATCCTTAGGGATGCCAATGTCAACATTAGGTGTAATAATATCATTAGATGGCCGTGGACTCCTAGCTCATTTTTCACGGTAAATAAAATAAAAATGTTCGCGCGTTAGAAGCAAACGTCATAAATATTAACTAATAGATACTAAAATGTATTCAGTATTCTTGTATTAGGTGATATAAAATTGCTATGATATGATATGATATTAGAATAATAAAGGAAACGACAACTTAATATGAATATGCCTGTAACTCAGTATTGTGCACAAAAGTGCATGAAATTGTACATAATTGTACATAAAAGACAAACAGTGTAAAAGCGACTCCGAGAGAAGAGAAAGCGTTATAGAAGCTTCTGATCAAAAACAATTGAAGGTTTCGCTCCAAAAATAAAGAAAGAGTGTAGGTACCCGTTAGGCGAGGCGGTGACGTCGTTTGCGTCGCTGAAAGCGGGCGCAGGCGCGGCGGCAGACACTTGCGCTGGCGCAGGTGGCGGCGGCGCGGACGGCGCGGCTGGCGCGCGGCGCGGCTGCTCCTGCAGCGACAGCGCGATCGCCAGCTGCACCATGGTCTCGTCGTCCGCGTCCGCCGGGATGTCCAGCAGCGCCTCCAGACCTGCGCCGCCGGGTCACGAGTCACACAACAATATGCATTACTACCAAACACTTCTACGTATACCACAATACGCCCACCACGGTACTAATAATACATTACGCAATATTTTACGCTCAATTATCCCTAACTTCTTTAGTCGGCTGCGTGCAGACGACAACACTATTTACAGGACAGATGCTTACTTTATATAAAGTCCAAGTCCGGTCGTGCATCGAGCATTGCTGCCATATATGGGCCGGTGCTGCAAAATGCCACCTAGCGGTCTCGGAATCTTGAAAAGGCGTGCTAAGAGGCTTATTGGCGAATTTGGTTGAAACCAATCTTACCAGCCTCGAACACCAGCGTAAAGTAGCCAGCCTTTCGGTCTTCTACAGGATGCATTTCGGAGAGTGTGCGCAGGAATTGCATAATTTAATTCCTCCCTCTCCCTTCCACCAGACAAACAGAAGTTCGGCCAGTCTCCACCCTTTCGTTGTTGACTTACCACGCATTCGAACAAAACGGTTTGCTACGTCGTTCGTCATGCGTACAGCAAAGGAGTGGAATAAGTTGCCAGCATTTGTCTTTCCATCCGATTACAATGTGGGTGTCTTCAAGGCAATAGTAAATAGGTTTTTGTTAAGTCAGTGCGCTTTATCACCTCAAGCTACATCACAACTTACCATCAGGTGGGATTGTAGCTAAGTACTAGCTTAGAAAAGTTTAAAAAAATTATGTTAGTGAGCAGTGTTGCTATTGAAATTCATTCTGATTTATCCGATAGTGATACTGATGACGATAATTTAGTGCTTGGCTGTTTAAAAATTGTTTTAATATGGCCTGCTATCCGACACAATATGGCGGCGGCACGCAAGTACTATATGGCGTCAATAATTGACGTAATTTGCATTCGCCAGTATATTCTGTTCTACTTCGGAACACAGAATTTGATTACTACAAACTTCATACGTTGGTGTGGTCTCAGTAGATGGCGGTAAAACCATTTCGTTTAAAGGTCTTTCATATCCAAACCAGCAACTGGGATCAGGGTCATTAGGAACAGGGTGCTAAACGTTTAGTACTGTAAACATCAATCCGCTTGCTAAACATAAAAATTATGGCAATATTCCTCCCGAAAAATGGGAGTTCCATATCAATAAATTAAGAATTCAAATATAACAAAATTAAAAGTATGAATTATGTTATTCAGGTGATCTAAATTATGGTGATATAATTATGAAAAATACGCAAATAACATAATTTGGTTTAATTATAAACGGTATCAATATTACCTCCATCCGGAGCAAGTAAAACCATGGGTTCGAGTGCATCATCAACATCCATGAATTGATGCTCTTGGTTCTCTTCTCGGTTTGCAGTTACATCAGATTCTAAGGCTGCAGCCTCAGTGGTTGAACTTGCCGGTGGAGCCATTGTTGCTGACGATACCGCACCTAAGAATTAAAAGTATGTGAATAAAAAGTAAAATAAGAGATTAATTTCAATATGACAATTTTAGCATTTAAGGTACTATTGCTTCTACTACTACTACTTTTACTTTACTTTAGTTGTAGTACTACTTAGTACTACTTTTTCTTTAGTTGAATTACCTGGCGTATTGGGTGGTGAAGGTATGTATACACGTCGCCTTTTAACGCGTGGTCGTAAGACTCTCATCATAGCTGCTTTGGCACCGAAACTTATGCTTTGATCTTCAGCCAAGAGAAGTGATAAGTAGATTTGATTTCCAAAGTCAATCTAAAAAAATAAATAAAATTGAAGTAAATGAGATGTGAAAAAAAAATTTTTATAACGTAAATGTTTTAATTATATTATATTATGTTCAAAAATACTTATATATTTACAACAAATTATTACATAATAAAAACAGGCGTAAAATAGCAGCTTAATGATACTGTTTTTTCTTTTTTGTGGTGAGTGTAGAGAACCGAAGACTCCTTTTTACTGGAAATATTCCATATATATTCCATCTTAGTCCTTGGGGTGGCAATGTATCTTTTATTTATAGCATTGGGTGACAAACGAGCACACAGTACACCTGATAGTAAGTGGAGGCTGAGACCCATAGACATCCACATTTTCCTCAATTAAGTATCAAAATGCAAATGCGTTGTCGTCCCTGAGGACTAAGATGGAATGCATAACAACAGTAGTGGAGCCACGCGGCAGCCTTTGCTGCTGCACGATGGGCCGGCTCGAGCCGGGGGTACCACGACCTCACACAATACCGGCGTGAAGTATAAGCTCCGCTTCCGTATCTCGTTAGGTGAGTGCAGGCGACCCGAGGCCCAATCCCCCCCCCCATCAACATGGTAGCGAAATTAAATATAAAACTACCCCAGGAGGGTACCAGCACCCCTGGAGAATACCTCGCTGAGCATCCACGTCCAAACTACTCTACTCCTGCCCCGCGTATTTGGGGGTGGGGGGCAAAATTCCACTCAAGACAATAGCTGCTCGGGGCAAGCTGAGCAACAAGACCAAGGCGACCCCTGACACGATATCTGTGAATTTCTGCAATATCAGGGAACTTCACTCGAACCTAAACGCCATCCACTACTATCTCGAGACGGCGACGCCGGGTCTGCTCTTTCTGACCGAGACGCAGGTGTCCTCTCCGGTTGTATAAAGGGTTACAAGAAAAAATCGTGCCAGATCCCATCATTTCTGACTTATTTCACTATGAAACCCCCTACCCTAAACTTCTTAGAAAATCTGGGTCTTCTACATCAGCATTTAGCATAAATCTGCCAAAGTCCAATCTTCTCGCGGGAATATATTTCAATAAGAAAAAGTTGTGTGAAAACCTTTAATAAATGAAATTTCATGTTTAACTATTGTTTTATTTTACTTTTTTGGGCTAAGTATAAATTTTCTTCTCCACTGTCGCCTATGTAACTAGTTTTTTCAATGCATTTGAATAGAACATTAGATTATTATACCTCGTTATGAACGCTGATGAAACGTAGATATTTAAAAAAACATCTGCCGAACAATTGCCGTAATATTTTTTCTTATCTCTTAGATTCTTTATTATCTCTTAGACAAAAATAAACTCTCTAATATTTTTTTTTATTTCTTTACTTTCACTTGTCTACTACGGTCTATTCACTATTAACTTATGCACTATTTTAATGATTGACGTTCTAAAGCACATGTAAAAATGCAATAATAATAATATTAAGATGCACAAAATAAACAAAATCAAATGTAGTAGTCCAAAAATCGACAATTTTCAATAAAAAATTTAAAAGTCGAATATCTCGAAAAGGGTTAAGTTTAGGGTAGGGTGTTTCATAGTGAAATAAGTCAGAAATGATGGGTAATCCACGCCCTTAACGGATCTAGCACGATTTTTCTTGTAACCCTGTATATATCGTAGGTGTATCTCTTTTACCGGCTCCTACGTGCCTCGGGCTGGAGTTTGCGTATACGTCAGAGAGGACATCTGTTCTCGACGACTCGGCAGTCTTGAAGGTCATGTCCATCCTTTAGCTACGCGTAGACAGCTACGACTATCCCCGTGTCTACGGGTGATTCTATAGGTCCCGTAGCGGTAATACCGAAACAGACCGACTCTTCGACCACGTCCAACTGGCTACAGATTCGTTGATACAGTAGTTCGTGATCCTTGGCGATTGTAACGCCCACCACGCCGAATGGCTTGGGTCACGTATAACCGATCATGCGTTCATGATTTCGCCTTGTTATATGGTCTGACACAACTGGTTACTTCGCCTACGCGAATTCCAGATGTGGAGGATCATGTACCTTCCAGGTTGGACCTTCTGCTGCCCTCTCATCCGGAGTCAATTGGGCCTGACGGAATCCCCCCAATTATGCTGAGGTCGTGTGTGCTCCAGAGTTGGCACCGGTTCTAACGCGTCTTTTCCGGTACTCCTACTGCCTAGGCGTAGTCCCAAAATCATGGAAGACGGCTTTCGTTCAGCCGATCCCTATAAAAGGCGACCGCTCAGATCCGTCAAACTGCAGGCCTATCGTCATCACCTCCTTGTTCTCTAAAATAATGAAATCCATTATAAACTGCCAGCTCATGCGGTACCTTGAGGATCACCAGCTGATTAGTAACCGCCAATACGGTTTTCGTCGGGGTCGATCATCTGGTGATCTTCTGGTCTATCTAACTCATCGATGGGCGGAGGCAGTAGAGTCCAAGGGTGAGGCGTAAGCCGTTAGTTTGGATATTGCGAAGTCCTTCGATCGGGTTTGGCATAAAGCGCTTCTTTCGAAGCTCCGTTCCTGAGAAATTGTGAAATTGAATCACCAGCTTTCTTGCACATCGGAGCATCGAGGTCGTTGGAGACGGTACATGCTCCGATTAGAAGCCAATCAATGATGGCGTTTCACAAAGTTGCGTGCTATCATCACTAACGCTGTTTCTTTTGCATATCAATGGTATGTTGCAAACCGGTAACATTCATTGCTTTGCGGATGACAGCACTGGTGATGCTCTGTACACCGGCTATGCCAATATTTCTCGGGAAAACGTCTCCGAGTACCGGGACAAACTTGTATCTGAAGTCGAGTTTTGCAGAACAAAGTCTCGGATTGGGGACGACTAAATCTAGTCCAGTTTAACCCTCAAAAGACACAAGTTTGCGCGTTTACCGCTAAAAAGAACCCTTTTGTCGTATCTCCTCAGTTTCAAGGCACTCCCCTTGTTGCCTCAGCCAGTATCGGAATCCTCGGCGTCGACATATTACGTGCAGTTTCGTGGTCACTTTTCAAAGACCAATTTGGCCTTCTCTTCCAGCTTAGCGTGCTCAGCAGATAGATCGGTACAGTATTTCATGCCGACACACCGCCCGTAACTTTACAAGGCGCAGGTTCGACTTCACATGAAATACTGCTCCCATCTCTGAGCTGGGGCTCTCCAGTGTCAGCTCCTCTCACCTGACCGCATCCAGCGCAGAGCAGCTCGAATCATCGACGACCGAGTACTTTGCGATCAGCTCGATTCACTGGCGCTGCGAAGAAGTGTTGCATCTCTTTGCATTTTCTTTCGCATATACTACAGGGAGTGCTCTGAGGAATTGTTCGGATTAATCCCAGCCGCCAAATTTCATGAACGCACTACGCGGCAAACCTCCCGATACCATCCAAATCATCTGGATGCTTGGCGGGCCACCACTGTACGTTTTAGGAGTTTTCTTCCGCGTACCTCTCTGTGGAATAGTTTACCACCGGCGATTTTTCCGGACAGATACGACCTAGGGACCTTCAATAAAAGAGTTTACTCCTTTCTAAAGGGCCGGCAACGCACCTGCAATTACCCTGGTGTTGCAGTTGTTCATGAGCGGGGGTAGTCACTTAACATCAGGTGAACCGTAGGCTCGTTTGCCACCTCTCCTATAAAAAAAATTACGCTGCTATTTTACACCGGCTTTCTGTAAGGGCGTGATCCTACCCCGGTCGCAGCGACCCACTTGTGCTAAAACTATAACTGCAGCGTAGCTCTACTGCGTAAAAATCTGCATTTTGATTCTTAATCGAGATGTACATGTGTATGGGCTACATCGTTCACCTACCATCAGGTGGATTACATTCTTATTCTATAATATCGTTCGTGTACCGGAGGGCAGTGATGCGACTGACCATGTCTGTGTCGGCGTGCATCTGGAAGGCGTGCAGCGTGTCGGCGAGCGCGTGCAGCGTGTGCTCGACGTGGCGCAGGCCGTGCACCAGCACGCCGCCCACGGCCGGCGCGCGCACGCCCGCCAGGCGCCACAGCACACCGACCAGCAGCGCGCACAGGTGCGGGCCCGCCGCTCCGCCACCACCGCCACCCGAGCCTTCGCCATAATCGCCCTTCCACAGCGACGACCAATCACCTGACACATATATTTTGTTTATTTCTTACACGATTTCACCTCGCACTGCACGTGTACAGCAATAATTAACGATGGTAAAATATGAAGATCTAAACGCCTCCTTTAGATAAATCCTTTTAAAAGATACCTCTTTTTAAGAATAATTTATTAAATAGTCATACGATGGACAATGCATCTGCAAAGCCTTACAATTACTGCAAACACTAGTAGACTTTTTACAGATCGATGATGATTGAAAAGCAATAGCATGTTACAGTTCTTTATTTTAATTTTAACAAACGTTTCCGTTTTTCGGTATGGTATGAAAATTGAAGTCATCGATGTTGAGCAACAAATAATTCATAATACAATAAATTATTAATTACAATTTAATTTAATTTCAAGTTCGGATTTCCTAATATGCTCAGCATTGAAGGATAACATCTTAAGTAAACTTGTAATGCAAAAATACAAAACCAATAAATTAATTATTTTTAAAATGCATTTGTAAATTGAGTACCGTTGTCGGGTATGGAGGGCGTGGGTGGTGTGAACTTGACGAGGTGGTGGGGGCGGGCGACAGCCACGCCACGCGCCAGCAACACGAGTCGGAAGTACGCCTCGGGGTCAATGTTGCGCGGGTCCGCCGTGTCACGCAGTTCGCGCAGCGACGTGCACACGTATGTCAGGATCGCTTGGTCCTGGGCACGGTCACATTAACATGTTGAAGTTGAGCATATCATTCACGCTTAAGATGATATCTTATTCAGCAGTATATTCTAAATGGTATTCTAGATGGTAAAAAAACTGCCAAATACATATATATATAAATTGATTCAGGACAAATATTTTCTTTAGAAATGTCATATGTAAGGTTCCCAGTTTAAAAATCTTGTAATCTATTAAATAATAAACAAAATGTAATATTTTTCTTTCTACCTTAAACTGGTGGTAGTGCGACTGATAAATGGCGCGAAGTAGACACTGGGCGCGCGCGTGAAGCTGCGCAGAGGCAGGTGAACACAACAGTTTCCTAGCCGCCTCGCCACCAGCTTCTGCCGCCGCTTCCGCACTTGGCATATCAGTCGTGGTGATAGTGGCATTTGAGGCAATCGTGGCAGTAGTGGCATTCGTTGCACCAGAAGTGACAGCAGCAACATTGCCAGCCGTGGCAGCTGCAACCACCGGCGCACCAGCCGCCAACTCTAAAGCTTCCAGCGCCGCACAAGCAAGGCGCTCTAAAGAGCTTGGTCTCCAAGGTCCGCTGAATCCTTCAGACTCCTACAAATATATAATTGATATAGTCCGTACGGTTAAAGAATGGTAGTAGAAATGTGAAAACTAGCTAATAACGGTATATCGTTAAAATTTATATAATTCGGTTAATTGGAAATTTTCTTTTAATATTTAAATATTTGAAAACAATTGTATAGGCAAGTACGTACATTATTTTAAAATAACATTTATAACTAGCAACCCGCTCCGACTTCGCGTGGGTGGGATCTATAAATATAGCTTTACTTAGACTTGATATATCATTAACGACTATTTATTTAGTTTTATCAATATTTCTATTTTAGTAAAATCTCTAAATTTTTATTACTATCTATTTGTTCGTGACATGTTATTACAATCGATTCAGCCATTCCAAAGATAAATTCTGACAGACAAGTAGACAAACGAAAATTTAAAAAATGGTTACTCGTGTCTCAATGACACGTAAATATTTTGTACAAAAATATTAACAAATATTTTTTAATTAATAGGTCCCTACATACGAAATTAGTGTTTTGTACGGGAGGAATATAAAGTCAATTTTTTTTTGTAAAATATATTTAATATTTAATTAATCAAAGTATGCACCGTTGTTATCTATGTACTTTTGCAATCTTATAGGTAGGTCATTGATCCCTTTACTAAAAAAAAAACAAGGGCGACAATCAATAAACTCTTTGCAGGCGGTTTGGACTGTGATAAAAAATAATTTAAATTAAACGCAATAAAATCCGTAAAAGTAGTTTTAATCAATCTTTAAAGATTATTAAATACATTTTCCCACTATTGAAATTAAGTTACTAGCAATTACGTAAGTAGTATATTATGGAGGGTTTCTTTACATTATGCTATGTCACATATAAGTTAGCTTGGCTAGGTTTAAGTAAGCTTAGCTAATAGGTATCTAAATACAAACCCTTACTATTTAAGATGGCGACTTTCGTAGCAATCTTACCTGGGCAATCTTGCTTGTGGATGGACATGCTGAAGCATCCTCATTTTCTTCTGGCCAACCAAATTGCTCCTTGTTCTTTCCATATACCTAAATGAAAATATAATCTTTATATTAAGAATAACATATACTAATGTTATAAATTTATTCATTACACCACATGAAAAGCCCACTACCGAACATGGGCCACCTCCATAGACAGCATCATTAGAAGGATATTTGCCATAATTGCCACGCGTGGCAGGCAAGCGCAGTTCTGTATATTTAGTTTTATATGAGTGGTTATTAGGAAGATGCTACTGCCTTATCAGGAAGGTGTTACTGCCTATCATGTGTTTTATTAGGCTCTGTCGCCTCTTACGACTAGCGATTGGTTAACTCAAGTTACTAACTCTAGTTAGATATCCTTAATTCGAATTTGGGCTGGCTGTACATGAACGAATCAAACGAGCAAGCGAAAGAGTAAGAACACGATTCGTTCGTTGTGTACATAGAAATATATATATTTAAAAATTAAAAATGCCTCTGATGCCGTCCTGCTCTAAACGAGGTACCTCTGAGGTGAGCGGCTGCCAAAGTGCCTACCCACGCTCACATTCCACAGTAGGGTTTTATCTCTCTCCCACTGAAAGCAAGGTAGTCTATGTTAGTCCTCAGAGGTGACAACGCATCTGGGTTTTGATTCTTAATTGAAGATAAACGGAGATTTCTATGAGCCTCAGCATCCATTTACCATCAAGTGAACTCTGTGCTCGTTTGTTAGCCCTATACTATAAAAAAAAACTTAATGACAAAATAAACTTTACCTTAACAGAGTCAACCGTTGTTACGCCGTCAGGGTCTTGCGATGGTCCAAAGTTGATCACAAGTTTTTTGTCTGATTGTAAGGACTCCTCGCGAGTTAATGGTATATCGAACCAGCGGCTGCGTACTACTATTGTTGGTATCGATCGGCCATAGATCTATTATAAAACAAATTAAAAAATTATTTAAAATAAATAATCAAACATACTGTTGCGCGAATAAGTCAACGTCATACACTAGCGCCATCTAGTGTCAGGAACGAGAGCGAGGGGAGCTTTGCAGAAAATGACATCACAAATCTTTCAACCGACAGCGCCATCCGAAGAACTAAGTTTCTAGAAAATCTACACTCGAACACTCGTCGCTTTGCGCGCATTTACTTGAATATTCCGGATGCTTCATTGCTAATTTGTATATATAGGCGCTGCAAGATGCGATCGAGGCAGTATTGGATTTGGCGAGACAAGCGAAGCTTCGGAGCGGAATAAAGTGAATTAGTGTGTCTAATTATTAGTGTTTTAAGTTTTAATTTGTGTAAAGTAAATTAAAGTGTTAATTTAGGTAATTTTATCGGCAATTTTTACTGTCACGAACCTCAAGCTCGTAACAATACTTATGACGACTAATATCAAAATAATATAGAGTTCAAAAATAACGCAATAACAATAACATACCTCTACATAGGATGGAGTCCGAGCAACATCCTGACTCCCGAGTAACACTCTAATACCACAAATGACCATATTGGGGTCGGAATTTATCACTTCCATTGAGAAGCCACTCATTTTTGTGGATACGACATACAAACCTACAAAAGAAGAATATTATTACATTATAAATTTATCAACACCTTAAATTATCAATGTTATATATAAAAAAAAGGAATATCGAAAAATTTACTTGTGGTGTTCAGGCGATTCTTTATTTGTGCAGTATTATACACTTGCAGCAAATCATTTCCACCGAATTCGACGTCCGTCATAGCGACGCAGTGCTCAAAGAAATCGATCGGGAATTGAGGAGCACCGTTCGTGTTAGATTTGGTGGTAGCCTGATGGATAAAAATATATTAAAATTATTATATTTACTATTATTGAATTAAAATATAATTCGGAAACTTGTAAAAACAGGATTCGTTAAATCCTTAAATAAATAAAGTTAATTAAGTTAAGTAAAGTTAATTAAGAAGCCTAGCTTTGGGCTCTCTTTATAAGCAATAACAGATAGCATAAAACGAATCTTCGCTAATTTTAAATTCAATAAATTTAGAGCTCTTTGAGGACAGGGCCGTAAATAATAAGTTGTTCTTGGTTTTGTATAAGTAGTGTACGAGGACTGTGTTTTGCATAAATGCTAGTAATACAGAAACCCACAAGAATATACAGTTATTTAGATTACTGAATTGTTCTTGTGGCAGAAGCCCTATTATTTCATAATATGTATATCATTATTAAACTACACTAAATTTTTCTTGGTTGAAACATTTCTACACAACAACCCCAAGCAATTACTTCTAGTTTTTCAGAAGACATGGAAATTAATTAATAATTTATTTTGGTCGGTTTATAGATTGGACCATTTCTGCACAACACAGTCTAATTATGGTTATATATTTTTTGAATTTACAAATATGGTAACAGAAGTATTAAATAATATAATAAAAAATAAAAATATGAATTTCTTCGCAACCTTACGCTAAATAAATACAATGATGTGTCTTACCTGGATTGAAGAGCACCTCCCGCCCTCCATCCATTGCATGCACTAACTCCGTCACCACTAGTCCCAGCAACACTACTCCCAACACCACTATTCCAGGTAAGACACATCATCGACGATAATACGACACGTGTTTCGCCTCTACACGAGCCATCTTCAGATAACGTAGACTCTACGGCGGTCTACGGTGGTTTCACTTAGCGGTCAGCCGCCGTAGAGTTCTACATTACCTGAAGAAAAATGCTGGGACTAGTGGTGACGGAGTTAGTGTATGCAATGGATGAAGGGCGGGAGGTGCTCTTCAATCCAGGTAAGACACATTTATATTTTTATTTTTTATAATAATGGATTTCCGCAAAGTAACGCCTGATTCTATCAATTGTATTAAATATTTTAAATTTTTCAAAAATGCCAACGTTTCCTCTGCTCAATAACAATCGAGGCTTTTACCACAATAAATAATAGTACTACGTACAGAAGTTTCACTCTTTTAATATTGACTGCTTGCCGACGTTTAATAGGCTACAAAATTATTATTAATTAGATAAATCGCGCTCGCAAGCTAAATAAAACTTTATCGCTGCGCGAGAGTGTCCGTATTACTTTCAACATTTTCCTCTTCCTACGTTACGGTGGATTTTCCGTTGTTATGGAGGGATGTCAATAAAGAGTAACAAAATACATTGTGAAATATTAATTAGGTTTCTTAGGTGAAATAACTATTCTGACTATGATCAACAGACCATATTTTCGCACCTACGTGAGTTCTGCGATGCCTAACGCATGCAACTTGCAAGGCCATTCGTCGGGAATCGCGACGCTTGGCTCGGTAGGAAAAGGTAGATAGTGTAAACAACAAATAAACTTGAAATACGATTCCTAACAGAAATGTAATCGTATTCTACTTAGTTAAAAATTTTGTTAGTAAACAAAGTTTTGATTTCAGTGTTTTGTGTTATTTTAGCTTAAAATATTTTAATACAAAAGGCAAGTATATGTACGTAAGTAGATACTTGGATAGCGAAGTAAATTCTACTAAATTTTGTAATAAAGTTCGTAGATATTAAATAAAATAGTACTTAATTCTTTTTTTGCTATAAGTACCTATCTAACAATAAAAATTAAATAAATTCACGTTTCATAACTTCCTACTAAAATCCTTCGGTAATAAAGAATGATATATCTGAAATATTTTGTTGGTCATTTAGCGTCTATCCACGCAATAATTATAGTAGGAACGACGTTTTGCTAAAATTTATTAAAAAATGGGTAATATACATAATATATATAGTTCTTAAATTACATTAAAACTTTTAAACTACTTTATCCTATAATTAAATATACTAAACAAAAATTATTTCAACAATATTTACAAAAAGTTATATACGTCAACAGCGTTAAAAAACTTTAACATTCAATCGCCTCCAACGTGCTAGCCCTGACTGTGTTATTTCGCCCGGGTGAGTCGCGATTTTAGGTAATTATTTCACGTAGGTAGCAAGAGTGATAGAGGCCTGCTTTTACTAAAGACAAATAGCGGTGTATGTATACAAAAAACCAAAACCAAATTCCACAGAGTAGTGATGGTGAGAAGTATTCCATAAAATGTGCCTCATCTATAAAGATATAGTTGTAAAAAAGTTAGAAGCATTGGAAACGCGTTTTTATTGTAGTGGCGACCTGCTGCAGCTTGGGCTTGGCGTGGTGCGGCAGTGCGCGCGGGCGGCGGCGCGGCGCGTACGTGGGCTGGATGGTGGGCGACAGCCAGTAGCCCGTGCTGCTCGCGCTCGCCAGGTACATGCGCAGGCTGCCGTCCTCGCACAGCAGGATCAACGTGCTTTTCAGCTCACCGAATATGCTGCACCAGTGCCGCACCGCCACCATGTCTGTGATCTTCGCTTTTGCCGGTACTACCTGCGCGACATTTTACATTCATGAGATCGATAGTGCCGTGTAGCGTATGGCGTCCCATGTCATAACCGTAGTTGTAAGGAATCGATGGAGTAAAATGAAATAAAGGTTGGGTAGCACCATGTCCGTCTGCAAAGTGTGACAACTATGACAAATTCCCTATAAGACAATTAATGTAATTGCAATTAATGTAACCGAAATTAATGGTTTGAATTAGTATTTTTGAAGGGAACATCTCTATATTTTCAAATAATAAAAATCTTAAATTTTCACAAAGACGGTATACAAAAATGGTAAAACAAACAAAGTTTAATATGATCAATGTAGTAATTAGTGTCAACTTTCATATTACAGTAACAGTACAATACAATGGCAACATTGTCAAATTGTATAATAGCATCCCTGGGTTCGTGCTATATCAGATTACAAGATGCATCTCTATTAAATTAACAGGTTAAACCACAATCACTGCGGTTGTGAGATAGTTGGATTATTGCAACCTTTGGTGCCTCACATCTTAACTAATACAGGCAGATGTGCAATTGCTAGTGTTTTCTATAAAATATATAAACCCCTGTTCAACGACCATGCATACAATGCATATTAAAAGAACCTGCTGACTGTCCACATGGACATCCACATCATCCATTAAAATAAATATTTTTGTTGAGAGAGTAATAATATCTTCCTGACATTTTCTTAACACAATCCACCGAATAACAAAATCATGTGGCCAATCCCACAATTTATATAAACTACCAACTTAACAAATGGTAAAAATGTTTTTCTAACACAAGTTATTAAATACTCATCTCTTTTATACTGATTTTTTAAACATTGGATAAACAACTTAATAAATTCAATTTTATACGTGGTTGAGCCATGCTGCAGTTATATTAGCCACAATAGAAGTCGCATAGACGCGTGACATTGTCGCCGCCATTATGTGTTGACGAACATGATTCACCATTTTGTGATGTGGGGAACGTCGTACGCGGATTTATGTTATTATAATGGTGAACTGCAGCATAATAGTAAAAAAAAGTAGTAAAAACTTATCAAGGACGTGTAATTTAACTAATAAACGCATAAAGTTTCACCGGTAACTTGATTATTTACTAATTATCATTGTTTTAATTAATTTACATCTAGATGAATACCTTACTATGATATTTACCTTTGTAAACTTTCATTTATTACTTTTTGTATTGACAATTACAATTGTCGCTTTTGTTCTACCGTAATTACGCGACGTTGACAAACTCGCCAAGCAATGTAATGTGAAACATTACATATCATTGTGCATTGCGTATGTTTATAATACGGCTGCATGTGTCGACTTCGGTTTTGGAAGTAATCGAGCGCTAATTCATTTCTATTGTCTTATTATTACTATTTCTGTGTCTTGGCTCGACCGGGGAAGGGCCACGCTCTCACACAACACCAGCGTAAAATAGTAGCTTAATGCTGCTGTGTTTCGTATGGTGAGTGTAGAGAACCGGAGACCCTTTTTACTCGAAATGAGGCATTTCATCTTAGTACTCACGGGTGACAACGCATCTACAGTTTGATTCGTAATCGAGGATAGATGTAGATGTCTATGGCCCACAGCAAAGCAACCACTTAGCATCAGGTGGCCTGTGTGCTCGTTTATCACCCTATCCTATAAAAAAAACAACTTATATTTAAATGAATGAACTTATATATCCTACCTTTATCTCCTGAATGTAAATGGTGGTAGGCGTAAGCATAAGTATAACGGGATTGTTGGAGGCCTGCATCACGGCGGTGACGAGACCTGGATGTCCAGGCACTTCGGCCCATTGACACAGTGACTGCACACTTCCCTGTTTGCCACTGCGTCCACCACCTTCCTTCTGCGACGCTGATGACGACAAGGTTATCATAGCCGTGCCTGCCGATAATTTAAATCCGTTATTTTGTGAACTTGTTCAAGGGATTAAAAATCTCCTCAACCTACAAATATGACTATATTTTTTATTCCTACATAATAATTTTTATTTTAATATATACATTATTACTACATAATTGTAAAAGCATAAAAAAATTTAAATATATTTTTTTAAATTATTCTTACGTTTAACACTTTCTTCTACGGTGTTAAAAGGGGCAAGGAAACTCTTGCCTTGGGCGTAGGAAAAGAATAGCATCTTGAGCGTGTGGGAATAATAAATGGAAACACCACCGCCTCCGACTAGCCCCGCCACATCCTGTAAAAATATAATAAAAATACCTCAGTGTTTTATATATACCTAGTTAGATTACTTTCTTACAAATAAATTAGTCATACCGTAAAGTCTGAATATTTCACCGTGTTAATTTCTTAAATGCGCAATGATTACAGAGCTGTACAAAAACAGTTGTTATAAATTATAAAATTTGAAGTCGGTGTTCAATACATTTATAGAGCGCAGTAAAAATTAGCTTCTGCTACATTGCATTTCTTCATTTATCACTATGACAATGTTTTATTTTCAATTACATTAATAACTATAAAATATAAATAACATAAGCCTACCTGTATCTCTGGGTGCAGCACCTCGAGTGTGTTGGTGACATAAAAAGTACCAAGTGTAGCGCGGGACTCTTCGCTCATCGGTTGCCAGTAGATGTGGCCGGCAGAGCTCATACACAGCATATGCATTACACCGTCTTGGTTCACAAATGTTACATCACGGACCTATGGGCACACATCAAATGTTATTTTTAAGTTAAAAGCATAATAGAATACAAGATATTATAAACTAGATTTAAGAAAAAATCATGTCAAACTATTCATTCAAAAATATATTTCATTAAGTAAACTTATTAAAATTAAATAGTTTAAAATGTGAACATTTTTGCGAAATAATCAAGAACACATAAACCTGTGTATATGTCTGATAATATAAAGAACGGAATAGATAGGATATTAAATTTTCAATCTGTATATTACGAGATTCACAAGTACATATTTACCTTTCCACTAGGCACAAGGAAGTGATGCATCGGATTATTTAGGTCCTTGCTGAGATCGAAAATCTTGACAAAGTCAGATGTCACCAAAGCCAGCTGCGTCTGAGACCCGGGTAGCCAAATCGCTTTGATCACATAGTTATTTCCTTCGAGGCCAGTGTTCAGTACAAGATGATCGACTACTGCACCTAAAATAAATAATATCAAAATATCGTCATACAGTACTCAATACCTATGATAATAACCCTGATTATCACACAAACTAATTACGGTCACCTTTAAAGTTTGTCGTATGAGTAGATTATGTATTATATAAATAGCTTGATAAATTTCCCGCATTTAAAAAAGTATAATCACCATTTTCGTAGCATTTTTGACTTGCTTCATTTTAAGTATATTATATTGTTTCTTTCAGGGAGTGTATAATAATATGGCTCTTACCTCCACTGTTAAATGTGAGTATGTGGCACTCTTTGAGGCCGCAAACAGCAAGTAAGTCCTCGTTACAGGCGTTGCCGCTGAGACTGAGCACAGTGAATGGTATCGGCGCTGAAGACAGTCGTGTCAACGTAAGCTTATGTTTTGATGAGTCCGCTTGTTTCAGAAGCGCAGACAGTTGCAGAACGGTAATTTTGCCTGTTTGGAATTAAAACATATTGTCAAAACAGTGTTCGAGAAGTAGTAATTTATATTTTTATATTAATATTAGTTCACATGTCGAAAAAATGTAGTTATTTATAAATAAAAATATGAATTAGGAGAAAAAAGAATTAGGTATTTTCATCTGTAAATATTTCTTCGCTTCACAATCTATAAGAACAGCTGCCTTCAATTATTTTAACTTAAACCAATTTGAAATAAATATAGATATCAACCTTTTTCATGCGAGACTGCAAGATGCTGGCGGCGGCCGTGCGGCGAGGCGAGGCAGCACATGGCAACGCGGCGCAGTTTGTGTGCCGACATCAGCTGCCGGATTGTCTGACCATTTTCGCCCGTGTACGACATGCGAACGTTCTCAAATGCACCTTCTTGGGAGCCTGTAGAAGCATAGTACTTTTGATGTGATACATTTACCATAATACAGTTACCAGGTCAGAAAAGTAAACCGTAAAGAAAAGGTCAATTATCGTCTTGGCTTAATAATTACAAAACTATTAGGCTTAAAGATGTGTCTGTTACAACCTTGAGTTTGCGTTGTGGGCTAGGAAAGAGTTGGCGCGGAAGAGGCACCGCGGAGGTTGGCCAAAAACGTTTCACGTTACCTGATTTTTTTAGTCAATTAAAGGTCTTTTTATTAATTCATTAATTAAAGCCTATTATTGTTGATGAAGATAGAATTTTTAGCCGTTTCGTGTTTCATTATCATCTGTCGCCTCTCACGACACCCACTGAATGATATAAGGTAGTGGATTCCTTTTGGCCGCCATTACACGACAATACAAGTTAACAACATTTTAATTGATATTGACAAAACATGTAAAAATAAATAAGATGATGCAATATAAATAAAATACACTCACCGGCACGGAAACTTGGCCACTCGTGAATTTGCTGATTATTTGCACTGAAACGTTTTTTTAACAGTAAATTAAGGGTAGATGCATTCAATAAGTGTCTAATGGTTTTAGAACATAGAAATTTAATGTTTACTTCACCGAAATTTTTCTTTTCAAGATAACATGTTTTCACTAAAATTAACATCTTTCCATTGTCACTTTAAAAACACTACAAAGTTAAAAATTAAGTCTGTTTCTTTATTGTCTATCAGTTTTAATATCAGGTGTTTCCTCCTCTAGCCCTGATAACCGCTTGCATTCGATCTGGCATGCTTTGAATGATGTTTCTGACATCAACTTGCGGTATGCTGTCCCAAGCGGCCAGCGCTGCATTTCGGAGCTCATTTAGAGTTTGTGGCGGTTTGGAGCTGGACTTTATCTTTCTTTTGAGCATACCCCATACATGCTCAATTGGATTTAAGTCCGGGCTACGAGCTGGCCACTGTAATTTTTGTATTCCAACCTCTTCCAGATATTCCTCTACACAATGTGCGACGTGCGGGCGTGCATTATCGTGCATGAGGAGGAATTGGTCGTGTCCAATGAATCCCGAATAAGGCATTACGTCGCTCCTGAAGAACTTCCTCGATGTATCGAGTAGCTGTAAGCCGATTATCGACGATGACCAACTCTGTACGTGCGTCGGAACTTACACCTCCCCATACCATTATTGAGCCTCCATGGAAACTCACAGTTTGGGTGGTGGTAATGGGTAGAAACCTCTCTCCTCTTTTTCTCCACACTCGTTCTCGACCGTCTGGAGCACGTAAAGCTATTCGACACTCATCTGTGAACAACACTCTAGCCCATTGCTCGTGGGTCCAATTGACATGTTCTCTTGCGAACTGAAGTCGGGCTACTCGGTGCTGTCTGAGAAGTTCTGGACCTCGTGCTGGTCTACGAGCTTTTAAATTCACTTCCTCCATTCGTCTTCTCACCGTACGCTCACTAACATTAACGCCTCTTGCGATTTGGAGCCGCTGGCGTATCTCAACAGCGGTCAGGTAGCGGTTTCTCAAAATCTCCATAACAATAAAACGATCGTCCCGGGCCGATGTGCACCTTACGCCCCCACTGCCTGGCCTGCGGGTGTAGCGGCCTGTCTCCTGGTATCGTTTCAGTGAATACTGCATTGAGGACCGTGGTACGTTAAGCACAATAGCAACTTCATGCTGTGTCAGCCCTTGGTCAATTAATGCTACTGCTTGTGCAACTTGTGCTGGTGTTAATGGCATTTTTATTGGCTTTAAAGCACCTTTAGTTATTTAATTAAGACACAAGATCACAATAATTGAATAACCTTACAGTAAACTTTTCACAACACACAAATTTAAAATGTGAACTTAGTCGCTCAAATGACCCGATTCAACTAAAAATTAAAGAATTCGTCATGGTGCACTTAAACATAATGAATTACCCTCTTGAACTTGAGGGTAAACATTTTTTGACATACTTGCATAACAAACATTCATCAGAAACACTTAAAGCTTTTGCTATCGCGAGATAACCGCTTGGCCAAGTTTCCGTGCCGGTGAGTGTAGTAAGTAAATTTTATAATTTTAATAGAATTAGTATTTTCTCTCGGAGATTTAAAATACTACATAACATAATAGATAAACACTCACGCCTGTCACCCAGAAGGGTAGGCAGAGACTACAGACTTCCATTTAGCACGATCCTGCATACCTCTCTCGCCTCCTCCACATCCATATACCTACGCATACCTGCTCGTCGGTTAACGGTACTCCTAATTTGGACCATTTTCAATATATCGCCGATTTGGTCGATAAACTTTCGCCTAGGACGTCCCTTTCTGACTCTTCCATTCACTTCTACAACATATATTTGCTTTGTCATACTTTCCTCATTCTTTCTACATGACCAAACCACCGAAGTATTCCTTTCTTTATCCTGGTCACAGCATCATCTTGCAAATCACCCTTTTTTTATTACACAGTTTCTCACGCTGGTCCTCAAATTCAGCCCTAACATACTCCTTAGCGATTGCTTCTGCTTCTTCTGCCACACCCAACTTTCACTGCTATATGTTAAAGTAGGGACTAACACAGCATTGTGGATTGCCTCACGTATCTTTATTGACACATTCTGACTTTTCACAATAGAGTGTAGAGCGTCGTTTACTTTATATCCTGCTATAGTCGATTAAATATTATTTTCCTAGAAAATATTATTATTAGAAAAACAATATCTAATCGTCTATTTGATTTTAATTTAATTTTCAAAAATTAAATTAAAATAAGTTAAAACCGACTTTTAGGAATTAAAAACCATAAAATTGTATCCGCATAATTCAATAACTTACGTAGTCAAGACTTTAATTCTACGATACTTTATCTTACTAGTTTTTAAACAGTATCATTAAAATATTCAATTCCCTGGGGCAACCTCTGAGATATTGTAGGTGATGGTGTGGTGCGGGATAGGTGTACGTACCGAGCGTGGGCATGACGAGTGTGTCGGTGTGCTGGAAGCGCTTGACGCCAAGGTGTAGCTGCGCGAGCGCACGCTGCGCGCGGGAGTGCGCGCCCACCGCGCTGGTGCGCTCGCAGGCCGCGCGCGCCGCGCCCGCCAGCGCGCACAGCAGCCGCCGCACGCGCTGCACGCACGCGCCCCACGCGCCGTACGACCACAGGTACGCGCGGCACCCTACAAGTATACAACTTTATATACACATCACCACCACACCACACTACTATCAGCCCTAATATTTTATAAATAAAAACCTTTCAAAAAGGGTTATAATAATAAAGTTTGAATTAATTCATGATCCGTGTTCAGGATTAAGTGAGTTCTAAGGTTGAAAGGTAGAAAGTACCATAAAGCTACAAGTCCACCCTTTATATCATAAATTAAAGTTAATATAAAATTAAAGTTATAGCCTATATACGCCACTGCGTGGGCACATCCTCTCATTTCTGAAGTTTTAGTGCTAAGAAAAGCTCGCCGCACTGCCCCCAATGCGTGTGAACCCAAATTAGCTCACATGTCTTCGAAATATATATTTAGTTTCTAGGACATGCAGGTTTCCTCACGATGTTTTCCTTCACCGTAGAGCACGTGGTAAAGCAGCACTTAAAGTTTTGATTAACAATTTCATTGGTTCGGCGGGGTTCCAGCCCGGTTATTCACATACTGTAATATTTAGAGCGAACGTTTAGCCCCTGAACTACCACGGCTTACCATTACACCTTATTAAGGTCCATTGTTGAACATAACAGACAAACCAGAACACACCTCCTACCTATAGATTGACTCATAGGGTGGATATTTTCAATAGTTGCCATGCTTGGCAAGCAAGTTGGCAACATCAGTTATTTATATTTAGTCGTTATTAGGACGACGCTGCTTCCCATCTACTGATTGGTTCCCCTCCGTCGCCTCTTACGACTCTCACGGGATGATTTGAGCTAGTGGATATTCTTATACTGCCTCTACACGGTAACCCGGTACACGTATTACTACTAACAGGCTGTTAGATATACGCGCAGAAAGGCGGGCAAGCTGGTTAGCCTTGCACTGGTATATTTAACTATGTACATGGGCGGTAGGCACAGCCGCGCAAACATATACAAACAGAGGCCATCCACGACTTTAACTACTATAACCAACTTTAAATATTTTATATAACAAAAACTATAAAAAAGGGTTATAATACAGTAAATGAATGCTTGGTTTATGTCCAGGGTTAACTAACTGAGAATATGTCCGCTTTTTATATTTATTTTTATAAGATGTATACTAAAGATTAAATAAATATATAAATAAATTCTAAACCCTGGGAATGAAATAGTCGTTTGCAAGCTATTTCTTAAATAAGTTTAGTAAGTAGTTTTTGCACAACCTGTGTTTTTATTTTATAATTAAAGGGAGAAAAAGAAAATCCTCTTGGGTATCCTGCGTTTTTTCCTAAATCAGTGGTACAAGTAAAAAAAAATGGTTTTGTAATTGTAAAAAATGTAACATATTTGACAGACCTCATAGCAGGGAAGTTTTAATAATTACCATTACATCCTTCCACAAATCCACTGCTAAACATATTATATTTGCTTTAAGAAATACCACAAAACAAGACCTTGAGTCTCCTGCATCCATCGACTTCCCCCATTTCTTACCAGGACGTCACTCATATGCAGTTCGGGACCACCCTACAGTTCGCTAACGGGCACAAGGCAGATGTATGATGTATGATGTATGTACTGATTAAACTAAATTTTATAAATAAAATCATTGTTGTGAGTTTTGCAAATTACAAATTTTCTGTACTTTACTCCGAAAAAAAAATTTTATATTCAAATTATTTTAATTTAAATTATATTTATTTTTAAATTAAAGTATACATTAACTAAAATATAAACATAGTATTATGACTAATAGCAACAACTTTTCTTCCAGTACGGCATAGTTTATAAATTGTCGTAGTAATAGTAGATAAATCCACAGCTAGACAATTGCTCTAATTTTATAAAAAGTATTTGTCTATTTGGCAGGCGGATTGACAATCGCATTACCACATGTCTGGCATATTGCTGCTACCCGTAAGTGGCAGTAAAAATCGGTTAATACCGTTATTTATTGAAAGCAATTTATATAGGCTTCTTTCACCTGCGCAATGAAATATGGCAATGGATTCCTTTGAGCCGGCATCACACGGCAACGTATTGTAATGTGAGCCTTAAATACGGCGGCACAAAGTTTAAAATAATCGGGCACCTTGTATGTTGTGCGCGAGCGCGGGGCGGCGCGGCGGCGCGAGGTAGGTGGGCGGGGTGGGGCTGGAGGGGCGGCGGCGCAGCGACGGCGCCGGCGCGCTCTCCTCGCCGCCGGCAGCGCGCGCGCCGCCCAGCGTCGCCGACCGCTTCACCAGCGCTTGGCAGCTGCCACACACAGTAACGTCAATATTATTTATAAAATATTTTTTTAACATGGCAGTGCCGCAACAATGCAGCTATATTATGGCTGCAGCACGAATTGGTCAGATCAACCGGGGTAGGACCTCGCTTTCACAGAATAGCAACGTAAAGTAACAGGATAATGTGCATTTTGACTCTTAACCAAGGGTAGTTGTAGATGTCCGTGCTCCCTAGTATTCACTTACCATCAGGCTACTGTGTGCTCGCTTGTCACAAAAACATTTTACCGACCCAACTTTGCAACTGGATAAAGTATGTCCGACGAGAGTGGATAAATATTATGAAACCATGACGCTTATCTCTATCTGTGTGACGGGCATCGCTTTTCACAGCAACCACACATATGTACATGTGGTACGAGATCTGCGGCTGCTGTCAAACACGAGGCCGGGTGGGTAAGTCTACATGGCAGCTTTTTTATCTATCAGCAAAATAATTAGTGGGCCATATTTGTATCCAAGCAACATGTCTTTTTTATCAACTCCCGCCAAACACATTCTAGATTTTGATAAAAAATTAAACAGATGTTTAAAAATCAATTTTTCTAGCAAGAACCCAAGCCGGTTAATTAAAAAAAAACTTCTATTTTTGCAAACTAAAACACAGGTCTTATTTTTAAATAAATACTATTTTTATTACATTTGGGGTCGATTTTACAATCTTCAGGTAAAATATATCCATCGAATGAATTCATACATCTATTACAGCCTTTAACAGTCCACTGCTGAACATAGGCTTCCCCCATAGATTGTCTCATAAGGGGGATTTTGCTGTAATAAACTCTCTGTAAAAGTGTAAAAAACTCACCAAGCGTAGTGGGTTGTCAACCGCAGTTTTTTTTTAATTAATTTGAGTTATTATCAGGAAGATACTGCTGCCCATCAGCTGTTACAATTTCCCTCTGTCGCCTCTTACGACATGCACGGGACGATATGGGATAGTAGATATCATTGCACCGTCACTACACAGCTATTTGAATATATTTATCGAATATAACCTGGCTGAATATAAAAGTGAAACAATGGAACTATTTTAGTTATACATGAAAAGTCGGCTCTTTTTAAACTTGTACCTAATCTAATGTTCGCACTGATCACCATTCTTTTCATAATGGGAATCATTCAGCATCACAACATCATATTCTTATATAAAAATATATTGTATCAACTTTGAATAATTGTTATTTTATTGTTAATTATGTATTGGTAAATTAAATGACTGATATTTATTCAAACCTTTTAATTCTTTATCCAAAATACAACCAATTTTCAAAACAAACAAATCATACCTCGAGTCAGGCTTGGCTCCGCAATCGCAGAAGAAATTGCCAAACTTTGCGTATGAGACGTCGTGTCCGCGGTGGCAGACACGTGCGCACACCGTGCACACGCCCACGCCGTCAACCATCTTGCACGTGTGGCAGTGGTACCAGTGCTGGTTCATGAACTCGCGCTGCGTCACCGTGAATGTGCACAGCTTGTACTGCAGCATCGCGTCCTCATCCTAGTTACAATAGTTTTCAAATTCATTATCATTACTATATAATACGAATGACAAAAGTTACATTGTACACCATTCACATCAACAAAAGTCCACGGTTGTTGTACATAGGCTTTCCCAAGAATATAGAAGCACTAGGCAGGCGGGTCAGTAAGAGCACAGAGCCAATACACTCACCACAATATTATTTAGTTTTTTTTTTAAATATTAATATCAATATCAAATAGATACATATAAGTTTATCTCGAAAATGTCGTTTAGTTTTGCCTGTAGAAATTTAAAATATTTTCATACCAGACTTTACTTTCTAGCATTATGTTTTCTTTTTATAGTATATATACAAGGTATTAAAAATCCCTGTCCGACCCGTGTCATTCAATATTGCTATTTCATTCTATGTAAGCAATTATTTTTATCAAGACAAATAATCCAAAATAATTTATAGCAGGTACATACTTTAATGCTAAATTAAAAAAAAATCTTTTATTAAATGTCTGTAAATTAAGTTTCAAATTCTAGGGACAAGGATTCTGTGAACGCGAATCATAGATCTTTATATATATATATATTATATTCTCCTTAGACTCTCTAAGCAGCTACATTTCAGTGAAATTTTTGTATGATTAAGTTAAATTTTGTGTGTTTGTGTGATTAATATTCAAGAATGGTTTAGATTCACAATTGAACACGGTAGGTGGCGCTGTTGTCGAAATCTAGAAATCACTCGTGCGAAGCCGGGGCAGATAACTAGTATCATATATAATCTTAATAACAGAAAATGGCGCGGCGTTTGTTTGTAGATTGTAATCGTTATAACTAATGAATTTTATGAACTCATGATTAAGGGTGTGCAATGACAACCTGTTAATCTTGATTAAAGTATGAGATTTTAATGCAAAATACACAATTATATGTGTGGCGCGTGTGTACGGGTGGCGGATACCAACCCGGCTCAATGAATAATTTACGACAGCTGCGAAATACAATTTACGATTAACGACGATGTTCTCTGTATACATTACTTTGATATATATGTCGAAAGACATTTAAGTATGTAGCAGTAATAGACCGGACATCAGAAACAAAATTGTCGTCTTTAGCTTTTGTCCTATAGGATATATCTCCGATTTTTGTCATTTAGTCTAAGTGACACCACCGAGAGGTCAAGACGCATTCGTTTCATAAATTTGAAAAATATTTTTTAAAGAAAATATGCTCGGTTGTGCATTAAGGTATAGTAAGTCACGATATGGAGCAAAAAATGAACATGATTTCGGTTTATTATCCTAAGAATATAATGTATATTTACCAAATAATCTTTAAATTTTATTATTTCTGGTGGATTGTCTAGAAAAAAAAAATATGTAATAAGTGCCCTCTGTCCAGTAACTTCACAATAAAAAACCAAATAATCTTTAAATTTTATTATTTCTGGTGTATTGTTCTAGAAGAAAGAAAAAATATTGTAATAAGTGCCCTCTGTTATCCAGTAACTTCACTATTTATGTATTTACAAATATGTTAGTAATTGACAACGTGCCTAAAACCGATTTTAACCTTATATTTAAAAGCGTCACCTAATGGGAAATAGCTAAAATGTTTTCCAAATAAATATTAAGCGTAGTATTGCTATTTTTCGCTAGAGGGCTTAACACACGCGCATGCTCACAGTTTTTGTATGGAAATATTCCCAATGTCCGCTCTATAGTTATTATATATTTAAATCCCTTTGTATATGCCCTTTTTGAAAATATTAGAGGGTTTTTACAAGTACATACAACAACAGTTAAAGTAATCTATTGAAAGTCATCTTATTGAATATAAACTCACAGAATCATCGGCGCTAGTATCATCATCATCTTGTTGTTCATCTGTGTAGTCAAAGTCGAAACCGAGGTCCGATGGAGATTCCCATGTAGGACTCAGAGACCGCCATGCTAAAAACAAACATATAATTGGAAAGTCTCTCTCTATGCATTGCTTACAACTATTTTTTAGAAAAAATTAGTTGCAAGCTACGTGATTTAATATCATGCATGGTGATTAAATATCGTGCTACCGGCACGATATTAAACCTTGGCGTCAAGAACCCTTTTTTTTGAAAATGGATTCAAATATTCTTATTACAATTTTTTCGTTCAAAACTTAGTTTAATAAAAGTTCAAAAATTTTATTAAACTAACTTTGTATAAAAAGGGTTATTATAATATTAAGGAATTTATGGATTATAATAACCCCTGGGAAGGGTGATCGCTACCAAGCAATTTCTAATTTGTCTTGTGTTGTTAATTGTAGACATGATTGTAAGCTAGTATTTGAAGAAAAAAAATAGTCCCGCTGGGTTTCTTGCTGGTTCTTCCCAGGACAGAGGTTTTTTTTGCGAACCAGTGGTAAATGAAAAAATTGACTTTCAATAAGTATTGTTTATAATCTACATTGAATAAAAAAGTTTCTGTTTCTGTTTCACACTACGAGTATCACTTACCTTGAGGCGGTGACGTGTTTATGGCATGTAGAGCGTCGGCTAAGTATGACAACAGTACGCACGCCGACTCAATCTGTGGAGCGAGAGCACCGCCAACTTGGCCCTCTTCTAGTTTCTCTAGAGTTTCGGAACTGCTGAGATTGTCCACGCTAGACGAAACAAAATAATAATATAATACATTTATTTATACGGACATATTCTTCACGTTACGCTACGCAGGTTACGTTACGCAGGTTCGGAGTAACGGGATTTATTATTTTGTTTGTATTTTCTGTCAGACCATAGAAATTTTTGAACATATAGATTCAAAATCAAATTCACCATGTAGTGGCGATGTAAAAATATTCACAACCCCTTATCGTTACCTGGGTGTCTTAAAACGCGACTGATGGATATAAACCAGGAGGTGAATAGCAGCGTATACATAATAATAACTAGAAAATATAAGTAAAGTAGTAGTAAAGTAATAAAAATAAAGTCCGCTCGCCAACACGCCTCCCAAGCGTGACAACGTGTAAATATACCTCTTATGAGGTAATATACAAAGAATGCAAAAATATCACAACAAACATTTGAATCAACGAAGAGTTTGGACCCGTTTCCTTAATAAAATAGTAACAGGCAAACAACCTTAAAATGCAAAAATTAACAGTACAGTAGAATAAAATGAGAGTAGATATACTCTGTCTGCTGTGTGTGTGTGTGTGTGTGTGTGTGTGTGTGTGTGTGTGTGTGTGTGTGTGTGTGTGTGTGTGTGCGCGTGTGCATGTGTGTGCGTGTGTGTGTGTGCGTGTGTGTGTGTGTGTGCTTGCGTGCGTGTGCGTTCGTGCGTGCGTGCGCGTGCGTGCGTGTGCGTATGCGCGTGTGTGTGTGTGTGCTTGCGTGCGTGTGCGTGCGTGCGTGCGTGCGCGTGCGTGCGTGTGCGTATGCGCGTGTGCGTGTGCGTGTGCGTGCGTGCGTGCGTGCGTGCGTGCGTGCGTGCGTGTGTGTGTGTGTGTGTGTGTGTGTGTGTACCAATTTTGATGTATATTATGGCTGCCGTGGTAAATTGAGCAACTAGTTTATATATTTTATTCAAATTTGTTGATGTTTTAGTAATTTTTCAAGTTCATTTATGTAAGTTCTAGTTTCCAAACATGAAGAAATGTGTATTTCGCAAACATCGCTACCAGAAAGGTCTGCTACCTTTCTGGTAGCGACGTTCATCATTTCACAGGTATGTGCATTTAGTTACTGTTTCCAAAATTGGTTTGAAGTGATATAGATATAGATAAAGTATAAGATTGTAATCAGAAATTTTTGTTGAAATATCTTAAAAGTACATTATTGATTTTCAGCCAAATTGATATTTATACATTTTGTTTTAGATTTATTAGTGATTCAAAAAGATAAATAATAGACATTGGGTGCGTTTGGCAGAAAAAAGCGCTAGCAAGCGCTTATAAGCGCTAAAATAGTTTTCGGCCAGGACACGATTGCTACTTCAGTAGCGCTGACACAATCCGCCATTTTGCTTATTTAATTTGTTTGTTTTGAAGTAGAGTTTACAAGTTGTTTTGTGCAATATTAGTTTTAAGTAATATAATGACATGAATAAACATATACATGCTATTAAAAACTCATGATTGGTAAGTTTTTAATATTGTTACGAGCTTAGGGTTCGTGACAATAAAAATTGCCGATAAAATTACCTAAATTAACACTTTAATTTACTTTACACAAACTAAAGTTAAAAACACTAATAATTAAACACACTAATTCACTTAATTCCGCTCCGAAGCTTCGCTTGTTTCGTCAAATCAACTCTGCCCGATCGCATCTTGCAGTGCCTACTTATATAAATTAGCAAAATATCCAGAATGTTCAAGTAAACACGCGCAAGGTACCGAGAGTTCGAGTTTTAACCTTCAAGAACTGTAGTTCTTCGGTTCGAGACTAGATGGCGCTAGTGCGCCGATTTTAGCGCGTAACACTGCCCCCTCCTAAGACATGCTCGTCCCGAGCATTATCGGTCCCATAATAACGCGCTAGGCGATCCACATGGACGATCTTAGGAGTCCCTCTTGCGCCTTTCTGTATCCGGTAGGTTACATCGTTGATCCTGGTCACAATCCGGTACGGGCCGTCCCATTTAGCTTGAAGCTTAGGAGATTTCCCTTTGCTGCGGACTGGATTGTGCAACCACACAAGTGAACCTTCGTCGAACCCTTTGTTGTTCATTTTGCGGTCATACCGGGTTTTCATCTTTTCAGACATTTGCTGGCCCGATTGTCTGACGTGCTCATAAACGTCATTCATTTTGTTCCGCAAGTCATTTGCATAATCGGTTATACTGCGTGGAGCATCAGGTGGTATCCCGGTGATCAGGTCTGCAGGCAGCCGTAATTCTCTTCCAAAGTTTGCGAAAGCTGGTGTCACTGCTGTACTTTCGTGAACAGCGCTTCGATATGACAACAAAAACGGTTGTATGTGCTTGTCCCAATCTCGTTGCCGATTGTCTACAACTTTTGCTAGGTACCTCTCCAATGTCTGATTAAATCGTTCTACCATTCCATCAGATTGCGGGTGATAAGAAGTCGTTTTTGTTTTATGAGTACCCATAACTCGGCAAGTTTCCTGGAATATTTGAGACTCAAAATTCCTTCCTTGATCGCTGTGAATCTCTAAAGGTACACCAAAACGACAGAAGACTTCATGAACTAGCTTATCAGCAACTGTTGAAGCTTCTTGATTTGGAATAGCGAAGACTTCTGGCCACTTAGTGAAGTAATCCATCACAACCATGAAATACTTGTTACCGCTTTCACTCTCCGGAAACGGCCCCGCCACGTCAATGGCTATTCTCTCCCATGGTGCACCCACATTGTACAACTTCAATGCACCTCTACTACGAGTCTGAGGTCCCTTTACAGCCACACAACTTGTACATTTGCGACACCAGTCCTCGACATCGTTTCGACAGTGGACCCAGTAAAACCGTTCTCGGATCTTCAGTAGAGTTCGTTTAACTCCCAGATGACCTCCTGAACAATCATTATGGTACAGCTGTAGAACATCCGGTACTTTAGCTTTAGGGACAACCATTTGCAAATGACAGCTGTCTCCCCGAACGTTTTCCCATTTACGACACAGAACTCTATCCTGAAGCAGCAAGCTGTCCCACTGGGCCCAATAGCTTTTAGTGGTCGAACTCATCGCTGAGACGTCACTCCACTTGGGCTTGGGAGCACTGGCCTTTATCCATTCCAGAATCGGCTTGATGTCCGGATCTTCCTGCTGTGCATGTAGTAAGCTGTCCTTCCACTCGTTGCTGAGGTGGTCTGCCCTGAGCATCCTCACGGATACCACTTCCTTACTCTCTTGCCTAGTACAATGTTTGCAATCTTCAGGACAAGGTCTTCTTGACAATGCATCTGCGTTGCCATGAGATTTCCCGCTGCGATGTTCGATCTCAAAGTCGTATTCCTGCAGTAGTTCAATCCACCTCGCAACTTGTCCTTCTGGGTTTTTAAACTGCAATAGCCATTTTAGTGCAGCATGGTCAGTTCGTAAGTGAAATTTTCGTCCCAGAAGATATTTGCTAAAATGTTGCAACGACTTTACCACAGCTAGCAATTCGCGTCTTGTGACACAATAGTTCCTTTCCGGTTTTGACAACGACTTGCTGAAGTACGCTATCACGACCTCTTGGTCACCATTCCGTTGGGACAACACACCGCCAAGTCCTATATCACTTGCGTCTGTGTCAACTATAAATTCTTTGCTTGCATCAGGGTATCCCAAAATAGGTGTTTTGCACAGACGATCCTTGAGCTCCTGGAATGCGATATTGCAACTTTCATCCCAGCAGAAATGTCGCTTCTCCTCGGTTAGCTTGTGCAGAGGTTTGGCTATATCTGCAAAGTTCTTCACAAATCGCCGGTAATAGGAGCACAAACCCAAAAATGCTCTAACCTGCGTCTTGTCTTTTGGAACCGGCCAATCCTTGACAGCGGCGATTTTCTCTGGATCTGTGCGGATACCTTGTTCCGATACTACAAACCCCAAAAAGTTAACTTGCCGTTGGAATAGTGAACATTTCTTCGGGCTCAACTTGAGGTTGGCACTCTGAATCTTCATGAGCACGCGTTCCAGGTTTTGAAGGTGTTCCTCAAACGTACGGCCTACGATGATAATGTCATCCAAGTAGACCAGACAGGCATCGCCAATTAGCCCGGTAAGTACAAGTTCCATCAGCCTTTCAAACGTTGCTGGAGCATTGCACAACCCAAACGGCATTACTTTAAATTGCCACAGACCCTTTCCCGTCGAGAACGCAGTTTTCTCCTTGTCCTTAGGGTCAATTTCAACTTGCCAGTAGCCACTTTTTAGGTCCAGCGTGCTAAACCACTTTACTCCTGTAAGCATGTCCAGCGTGTCGTCAATTCTTGGCAAGGGATAGCTATCCTTCTTAGTAACGTCGTTCAGACGGCGATAGTCAACACAAAACCGCAAGCTGCCATCCTTCTTCTTTACCAGTAGCACGGGAGAACACCATGGACTAGATGAAGGTTCAATAACACCATCCTTCACCATTCCCTTAATCATGGTTTCCACTTCCTTTTCACGTGCTACCGGCAATCGTCTTGGCCGCTGACGGATAGGCAACTCTTCACCTGTGTTTATTTTGTGTTGAACTAAACCAGTCTTTCCTATGTCAGCATCGTTTGATGAGAATACATCGGCGTACTCGAGTAACAACTTCTTCGCCTTGACCAATTCGTTCGGGGACAGAACACTACGACAGTCTTCCAAAAGTGTGGTCACTCTCGTTTCTGAATCCATGCTGAGGGTCCCACTCGATATATATTGGCACTGACGTAACCAATCCACTTCCTCACAAGTACCAACCAGTGTGCCTTTTTCTATAATCTGTTCCCGGTCGCAAAGGTTCAGCACACGTACTCCTGAGATGTCAGTGGTCCTGACCAAGGTTCGAGCTACTTTCCATGGAAGGTCATTGTTTACCCTTTCCACAAGTACACAACGGTGAGCTTGCCCAACGTTTCGAGGAAGACTAACCGGAACAATCGTTTCCGATCTCGGCGGAAGAACAATCTTCTTAATGCTGTACACGTTCCCTGGTAACGCACCTTCCATAAAAAGTTCCTCCTGTCCACATTTCAAAACACCTTGCTTAACGTCGATCTCACAACAATTATTCCTCATAAAGTCTAGGCCTAGGATGCAGTCGTCCATTATATCAGCCACGATGACATTATGCAGATAGATCACGTTGCCTAGCTTCAACTCCATCTCCTTCTCTCCACGGACGGGTATACGCTGACCGGTGGCTGTTACCAAATTAATGCGTTCTCGGTTGTATGCGGAGTCCCCAAGGAACTGACTTATAAGTTGGGAACTAACAACCGTACGAGAGGCTCCAGTGTCTATGGTCAGTTTACACGGCATTCCGTTGACCTCGCCCTTGATGATTAGACTGTTCCCATCATGGGTTTGTGAGATCGAGATCCTTGGGGCTCTTTTAACATCAGCCAGCACCCGCCCCGCAGTTCTGGCTTTTACTCGTTTCCCTGCTGCTGCAGGGCGGTGCTGTTGGCCGCACTACCCTCCTGAGATCGTTCACCTTCCCTTTCTAGGGTTCGCTTAGGGCAGCTGGATCGAAGATGGCCCTTTTCCCCACAGCCATAGCACCTAGGGCTGTATCCTCTGTTGCGGTCGCGAACTGTAGCTGCTGCAACCTCCCTGATGCGATGGGAACGATGATCCTGCCGCACGGCTTCCACCTCCAGTGCATGGGCCAAGGCGTTCTTAAGCGTGTCGTGGTGCCCGAGTCTCACAGCAGCTCTGACTTCAAGGTCGCGGATGCCGTCGATGAATGTCTGAACCAGGTTCCCTTCAATGAGCGCAGGTACAGACTGGTATGCTTTTCGAACCATCTTCTCCACCTCAAGGGCCCACTGCTGCAGGTTTTCGTTGCTGCGCTGCACGCGATCTTTAAGCTGCGCGCGAAAGACGTGTTCCAGATGAGCGTCGCCATATCTCGCTTCCAAGGCCTCAAGAAGCTGCTCATAGGTCACTTTCTTACCGAGAGCTTTCAACACAGTTAAGGCTTGGTCGCGCAGGCCTAGGGTGAGTGCAGTCATGGCTTGGCTTTTATTCCAGCCGTTCGCCTCCATGACGGCCTCGAACTGGATTTTGTAGGCCGACCAGGAAGAGGTCCCGTCGAACGGTGGCACTTTGAATCCACGTAGCGAAGGTGTTGCGGCTACTACGGGAGCTGTTGTTCCATCCCCAAGTTTGAGGTCGTCCAGCGTTTTCTTCACGTCAGCCATTACGTTGTCAACCCGATTGTTTACTTGGTCGATTCGGGTTTCGGCCTCCAACAGGCGGTTGTCATGTTGAGCAACCTTATCCTTCACCTCCCTGATCTCCTTCCCGAAGGTAGCGTGAAGGTCCTTCATGAGGAGCATCTGCTCTTCCAACCGACGGGCCTGTTCCTCTTGTCCGCCCCGCAGCTGCTCTTCCAAACGACGGACCTGTTCCTCTTGTCCGCCCCGCAGCTGCTCTTCAAACCGACGGGCCTGTTCCTGCAGCATCACCATCAGAGCGCCTAAATCAGGTGCTGCAGATGCAGGAGCTACTGACGGACCGACCTCCGTTGCCGGCGGCTGGCCCTCCGACGTCTGCGGCGTTGCACCACCAAATCTTCGTTGGTCCGTCTCCTGCTGGCGTTGACTTCGGGTACGGACACCCTCCGTTTCCTCCTTAGGTAAAATCGGCATTGTTTTATCCCACTTCTGACACCAATTGTTACGAGCTTAGGGTTCGTGACAATAAAAATTGCCGATAAAATTACCTAAATTAACACTTTAATTTACTTTACACAAACTAAAGTTAAAAACACTAATAATTAAACACACTAATTCACTTAATTCCGCTCCGAAGCTTCGCTTGTTTCGTCAAATCAACTCTGCCCGATCGCATCTTGCAGTGCCTACTTATATAAATTAGCAAAATATCCAGAATGTTCAAGTAAACACGCGCAAGGTACCGAGAGTTCGAGTTTTAACCTTCAAGAAGTTTAGTTCTTCGGTTCGAGACTAGATGGCGCTAGTGCGCCGATTTTAGCGCGTAACAATATGAATACTTCACAAACATATATTTAAATTAGGTTAGATTCCCCGGTTAAAACTAACATCGTGTCCTGGAGGAAAATAGCTACTTACGATTTGACAGCGCTTACCGCTTACGATCGCCATTTTGCTTACAAGCGCTTGCTAGCGCTTTTTTCTGCCAAACGCACCCATTCGCTTCTGCCTACAGCGCCAAAATGGCGTTAATCAAATAGGCACGAAAATAATTTGATAGCAGCCATTCCAGTGGTACTTAAGTCCAGTCGCGGACCAGGAATAATTTCGTACATGACCTCTTTGCCTACTGACAGTGGTAACAAAATTTTTTGTATTAAGTGCGGTTTGTATGAAATATTTGAAGGAGGAAAAAATAAATTTACTAACTTATTAAATAAATTATTGTTATTAGATAAGTTTTTTTTATTTTGAGTTCTAATCTGGCAATTACTAATTTGGCAGAAATAAAGAAATGAAAATTCAAAACTCAAAATCTGATTTCTCTTTATCGGAGTTACTGCTTTCCGATGACCCGTCACATTTATCACAAAAGGATCAACACTTTTGTCTACACTATCATCTAATCTATCTAATATCGATTCCTCTATTTTTACTGCTGAAATGTTTGTAGGCGACAACATTTCAGCAGAAAGATGGCAAAGACTTAGACTCTAAAGCCGCTTTTTAACATCTGCCATCTTAAATGTTGTATTTTTCTAATTTCGTCATTAATCATTTCAATTAATGAGAATCGTTTTTTCGGTGATGTAGCTGGCTTGACGGTGTCTGTTTCGGTATATTCTTTTAAAGTAGGATATATGGCCGGTTTCAAAATGCCCAAGATATCAACCGTTTTGTCCTTCATTTCTTTTTTGAAGGATATTTATTAGCAAGCCTTCTTTAACGTATTTTAATACGTTAATAATCATTGCATTCTCAGATACACTAAAGTGCGAGGTAGGCGGCGCTGGTTCCATTTTGAAACGGTGAAAAAACTTAACAATTAAAACCAGATAACAAAAACTAACAAACAACAATAGACTAAGTATAGATAACTGAGATAACTGTCCAAAAACTGAGCGATCACTAAAGCATTCCAAAATGGAACGTCTTCGTTTTGTTACTTAAAAATTATTAATTATGTCAAGCAAGCTAAGGATTTTTGGCCGTGACTCAAGGCCAACCAAACACCACATGCAAACAAGATCAAACTTTACAGCCTCAAGTAAAATGATTTCAATCACTGAGGACAGCGGCCATTTTGAGAGCGAGACGCATTATATTTACGCGGGAGTGACAAAGGCAGGTAATAACAGGTTAAAGTACGAAATTCTTCCTGCTACGCGTCTGGACTATATACAGGTCAGTGGTGATATTAGAATGCGACTGACCATGCGGCTAGCCAGCCGACAGCGGCGGGGAAGAGCAACTTGTGGTCGGCGCCGGAGTGCGCGTCGGCCAGCCGGCACAGCTCGCGCAGCAGCATGGGCGGGCAGCCCTCGCTGAAGACGCCCACCAGCGCGCACACCATACGCGAGCTCACCTCCTCATCGCTGTCAACACACACATTTACGACGCTTTCAACTTTATTACTCAAAATATTCTAATTCTGCCTTCACAAATGACTACAAAGCCTTTCAACGCTACGCCAACGCTTCAATAACTCAATACAATACCTCTTGAAAAGAAGCAGCACGAAACTCAAAAGTTGACTATTTTTCTGATACTAATAACTACAGAAAATATATTTGCACAAGTCGCAATTACCGTTCTAAGAGATCTCATTATGTCCATGCATTCCGTATATTCCGTAATCATCTAAATTACCACATACATAAAAAATAAATTTTACATACACCCTGAATTATGAAAAGGCAAATTGGGAATAATAATAAGTATTGGTACACGTAATATACTAGCAAATCGTACAAATCTGCCCAAAAGTGAGTTTCATGAAACCTGTTACTTGCTACAAGTTTAAAAGTAATTGAAATGTATTGTAATAGTTTCTAACATAATACTTCAATAATATTATACAAAAATAACAATGGACTATTCATTCACAAATATTCCTTTAAAAAGATATTTTAGTAAATCCCTTATATTATTATACTATACGGTACGAGAAGCTTTTTTAACACATTCACGGTAATCCACAGATCCCCACATTAATTATTATCTTTAAAACATCACATTAGTTTATCACTCGTATTTACTCCCACCTTATGATCTTTACTCATTCAAGCCTCATTTTCTGCAAAGTCCGTCTGTATACCACTCTCTGTTACCTATTTGATGCTGAATGAATTTAATCTTTTCACTTCACTTAGCCCCCTTAAACCTCTAAGTGCATGTTTTCAATATATTGGTCTGCATATAAACTTAATGCTGAACGAACAATTACTAATAATATATTTATTTCGTTCGAAAAAAAGATTTTGCTAAGTTGATCTCACTAACCAATGGTGGATGATGTGCCGACAGAGCGCAGAAAACAGAAACACATTTTCGTTGTACGAGTCAGAGAGTTGTGAGGGTGAGGGCTCGGCTAGAGCCACACCCACGTTGTCCTTGCTGCCGTCCGACCAACTGCAGCTTTCTGTAACGAATGTCAAGTGCGTAAAATGTTGCAATTTTATATAGCAATAGATATCTTGGCCTAAAGATTTTTCGGCATCAAAAAATAATATCTTATATCGTACTAATAATTTAATAATTAAATTTCAACATTTTTTCGTGTTAAGTTTTAGATACTTAACACGAACACAATCAACACACAACTAAACAACAACTCAAAACAATCAACGTCAACCTAAGTAGATGCTAGGTTATTTCTCAATTTGCGATGATTTACAATAACCCTATCTTTGGCAGGTGACTTGAAGATTGTCTTTCGGTGGTTGGACCTTACACTCATACATGGTAAAGCCACGCTGCAGTTATATCATGGTTGCAGCACGGATGGGTCGAGGACAAGGACCACGCGATGTGCGATATCGATTAGGGTAATGGAAAGATCGATTATTCACTTGTCAAATTTTTGCGACTCAATCGATTAATCTTAAATGGAAATAATCGATAACATCGATTATTTTATGCCAATTAATCGTTATTTCACGATATTAGATTAAATTGATAATTTTGGTTGTATAATCAATATCGGCTCACGACCTGTTCTGGTTAATAAGAGTATATTTAAAGTAGTTAGAGTAGGTTATATATGCAACTTTTTTAAATTTAGGAACCCTAGCGTATAATTACTTTTTGTAATTAGTAACCCACTCTATGGTAAGAAATTTCTGAAATAAAGAATAATAATATCTTTATTTGCCAGACTCACTTCATATTGAAAAAATATATTGACGTTAACAGTAATCTGTGTGTTTATTTGTTTGTTTTGTTGTTTGCAGGTGTATAAATATTATTCTTTTAAAATTTTTATCATTTTATTTATTGGATAATTTTATTGTTTAAATTTACAGAGGGTTACATAGTATTTCGCACATCGCAGTATCTTTTTCAATGAAAAGCCCAGAACGTTTCTTCGATTAATCGATATGATATTTGCGGTTAATCGATTAATTGATATAGACAAAATTGAAAATCGATAATTTTGCCGTCGATTCTCATACTTATACCACGCTCTTACAGAATGCTAGCGTAAAATAGCAGTTTAATGTTGCTGTATTTCGTATGGTGAGTGTAGAGAACTGGAGACCCTTTTTACTACAGTTCGTTCACATTTATTTTACTTCTAGCTATAAAGTTAGCTAACTTGAGCTCTGTCGCCATATGAGGTTTGTACACTGACCTCTATATATACATGTATGCTTGACTGACTATACCATAAAACATGTCTGTGTCAATTTGAAGCACCCCTAACGGTCGTCTTGGAAACAAAAATTGACATAATATGCTATTGACTTATTTAAATTGTCACATTTAAAAATCTGTATTTTGAACTTTTAAACTATAAAACGAAAGTATTTTATGTTGTTTAATTGTGTATAATATAAGTTACATAATAAGAATTATTTTTAATAACAATGAGAGTGTGCGTAATTTGTAAATCTCGTTACCAAAGCGAAGTGTAGAAGTACACAAGAGAATTTGCAGCTAATATTAAACAAATTAAAACTATTTCATAATAAAAGTACTTAAAAATTTGTTACTAATCTTAATATCATATATACCAACGTGTTTGGCTGTATATTACTGAGTTATGATAAACAATAAAATTCAACAGTATTGTCAAGTTCCTCGTCTATAATACGAGGGTGGATTGAAAAGTACTCGGCCTAACCAAGAAAATAAACACATACTAAATCAGTTATATTTTTATTTTTCTACATAATCACCATCAAGTTCAATACACTTTTGCCACCTCCCCTTCCAAGCATTTAGACCGTTGAAAAAAATGATTCTTCCTTAGAGTCAAAATATGCGTCTACAGCTTGCTTTGACCTCGTCGTTTGTCGAAAATCTTTGACCTCCCAAGTGCTTTTTAGGTTAGGGAACAGAAAGAAGTCTGATGGTGCCAGATCAGGTGAATACGGCGGATGCGGTAACAGTTCAAAGCCACAGTTGTGAATTTCAGCCATTGACTGTACTGACGTGTGAACACGGGCGTTATCTTGATGAAACAGGACTTTTCTTCTGAGCATTTCTCGACGTTTTTCTTTTATTTCCTCTCGTAAACGACGTAGTAAGGTGCAGTAGTAATCAGAGTTTATAGTCTGACCCCTTTCAAGATAATCAATCATAATCACACCTTTCGAGTCCCAGAATACTGAAGCCATCACCTTTCCGAAAAATCACTTAGCCTTTTTTAGGGGTGGTGAACCAGGTCTTCTCCACTGTTTTGATTGTTGTTTTGTTTCCGGTGTACAGTAATGAACCCATATTTCGTCCATAGTAACAAAACGATTCAAAAAATCATCTGCATCGGTCCACTCCAAACAGTCGCGTGAAATAGTCAATCGCGTCCTTTTTTTGTTCAACTGAAAGCAGTCGCGGAACCCACCTCGCAGACACCTTGTGGAAACCCAACTCGTTGACAATGATGTTTTGAGTTCATTCATAAGAGATGCCTATAATCTCGGCTATCTCTCTAATTTTTAATCTGCGGTCTCCCATTATTAAATCAAGTATTTTTTAATATTTTCGTCAGTAGTTGACGTCGAAGGCCTTCCAGAGCGGGGTTCATCTTTCACACTCTCTCTACCACGCTTAAATTCTGCTATCCATTTTTTGACGGATGAATATGACAGAGCACAATCGCCTAATGTACTGAATATGTCATCATGGATGGCTTTTGATGATAGCCCCTTCTTATGGAGGTACTTAATGACGGCACGCTGCTCGATTTGCTCCATTCGCGGAAATTATGTCCGATTACTTTGTTAATAAATTTATAAAATCACAACTAATTATCGCACACGTTTCGAACTTCACACAATGAACTAGTCTGAACTGAACTAAATAATGTGGGTAGATTTGATTTTTAGAATTGAATGGATCTGTGTTAGGCCGAGTACTTTTCAATCCACCCTCGTACTTATCGATGTTCTTTCCTACCGATATCTGTTAAAAAACAAAGTCGCCAACAACAGATGATTATCAAATAATTATTAACAGGTTTCCAACTGAACATAGACTAAAATTATGGCTTAAAAGCATAAATATTGTGAACTGGCTGGCGTCTGTAACAAAATGATCATATTTGTTCTGAACATTTCACAGACGACTGTTTAATTAGACATGAGAACTGCACCACTTTGAAAAAGTGCAGTATTTTGACAATATTTTCTGGTAGTACCAGTACCAGTAAGTATAATAGTATTAGATTATTATTCCGAATGTTTTTTTTTTATTTCTTCTTTCCTCATTTCCCCCCAAACTCAAGGGCCATACCCAAGTGTCAAAAGGTCGCCTGATGATGTCGAGCTACGTTGGTTCCTCTCCTTGTACCGCTGTAGTCGAGGTGGAGTCGTCAAGGAAGAGGAGTATTGGTATGGCGATTGGCGATGTGATGCCACTCGACTACTTTCGCGACTTTGGTGAGGCTGCACTACTTGATGCTTCCACGTACTCGTTTTTTCCTGGCTCCATTCACATATCGGGCTCGGGAAGAAGTCAGCAACTAAGGAGGGGCTGCCATTGGGTGGCCGGCGCCGGAAGGGCCGCGGATGTGCATGAAAGCGTTTCCGTGGTCCTGTCAATTTGCGGCGAAGGTGGAACACCATGGGGTTTTAGTAAGTGCGAGTCTAGAGATTTAATTCTCTCTCGAGTCTCAAGATTTAATTTGAGATTTAACTTCGTAGTGGCCCCATTTTAGTTTATTTCTTATTTACAAAATTCTGACCATCGTTTACATTCACGGTTTTTGGCAGCTTCCTCTTCCGCAACATCCATCGATAAAGGCAATTAAGATTTAGAAGGATTGCGATATTTCAAGCTTCCTAGAATACGTGGCACTGCCGAAGCTGGAAAGCTTAGGATAATAACTTAGGAATGAGGATGTCGTCAGTAGAATCGGAGTGACCGACATCGCCTAATTGATTAGTAAGCTGAAGTAGCAATTGACCGGCCATATAGCTCAAAGAACCGATAACCAATGGGGGAAAAAAGATTCTCGAGTGGCAGTCTCGCACCGGCAGGTGAAGTGTCGGAAATTCCACCACTAGATGGAGTGAAAATCTGGTAAGACATACGGGAAGTTTATGGATGCAGGTCGCTCAGGACCGTGCTTTGTGGCATTCCTTGGGGGAGGCCTATGTTCAGCAGTGGACTTTAGTGGCTTTAATGATGATGAATGATAGTGTCATTTATTAATATAATACATAAATAGAATGGACGTTACGGGTGGAGTCCATCTATCCATAGAGTCCATTCTATTTATTTAGGTATAGGTAGGGTATAGAATTTTTATCGATATATTTTGTCACACTGTCTTATCCCTATTATTAGTTCCTTGGACGTGCACCTCTGCTGTAAGCGCCAGAATGGCGCAAATCAAATTACCTTATCATGTCACGGTGTATAGCCAGTCCAGCGTACTTGTATATATAGAGGTCAATGGGTTTGTATGATTTCCTTGTACAAAATTACAGTACATTTGTATAATAACGGGTAGCTATTCTATGTGAATAAAAACATTTTTTACAACTTCTATTTATTTTGAATAAGAGTGATCCATGTTGATAGTTAATGTCGATAAGTCACTTGTAATGAAGACACTAATAATGAATATGAATCATCAAAATTGCTGTCAGATTCTTTATCAGACTCGGCATGTAATTCTATAATAAACTTGTCCATTTCAGAATCTCATTGACGCACATGTTCGCATTGCTTTTGCCAGTCTTCAGCAGCAATAGATTGTAAATCTTCTTCGGTTATTTTTACTATGTTTTCTTTTCTTGTCCAACATGCTTACTAGCTACACACCTCTTCAAAATGCTTCACATCAATTCAATGGCATCCAACTCGCAGCGGTACGGTGGAAGTCTAACCACTTTTTGTCCATGCGCCTCAAGCAATTGATCAGCTTCATATATTGGAGCTTCTTTATGCTCTTTTATGATTTCGTATAATTGAGCTTTCACCATAGAAGGCACACATAAGACAGCATCTTATTTGTGATCCAATTTTGCATATCAGTTTTGGTAGAACTTAATGTTGGTATCTTATTCACCTTTACAGAATGATAATAATAGTATCAAGCCCATTTTTCCACCTGCATGAACAATAATCCAGTGTGCACCAACTGAATCATTCTTCTTCCTTTTCTGTTTTCCAACATTTTTTCATAGTATGAAGCGTAAATATATGTTTCATCAAGATAAATGATAGTTCGGCCTTATTTACAATTTCATCTTAAAACATTTAAGTATCTGTACCTCCAGACTACTACGTCATGTCGTTCCATTAATAGTTTTCCTTTAGAGCCACACTTTTTTAATCGAAATCCTATTTTCGGATTATTTTCCATAATGTGGTACGATCCCCATTAAAATTGATGTCAATTTTTAACTCTGTTAATAATTTACCCAAAGGAGGCACTTCTTTTCTATGTACATTTGATGTATTTTATTTCTGATTGCACACTGATCAAAATCATCCAGGTCAATTTTTTTGTTGATTCCATTTTTTTAGGTGTGCATATTTTTGTAGATGTGGAAGCAGAAACTTCGCCTTTTTTTGTTATAGTGCTGACGGTTTTTCTCAGATGTACCTAAAATATGAAATGTCACATAATGATTTTTTTCATATTATTATTAATAGAATATAATTGAAACACACGAAAACAAACAAAATTTTTATTAATAAAATTATTTCGTTATTAAAATTATATTGAATTAGTACTTTGATATAAAAAATGACGTTACTATACTATTTCTAATTGTAACGGAACATAACGTAACAAAAACGTAACAAAAATTTTAGTTTTCGCCGGTAAGGGAAAAACACGAATAGCAGTTACTCACCTGACATGGCTGCTACCCGTTGACGAACATTTCAAATAGAATTATTTTAAACGTTTTCCTGTTCACAAAACTTACGCATTGAAAGCACAATTTTTCTGCCGCTACTTTCAACCCTTTTTGGCATGTTAAGAGATTAATAATCACCAATACAATAAAAAAAATTCGAGAAGCTTTTCAATACAATATAAAATAATGCTACAAAATAGTCGATTTTTATGATACTAATGAGACAAAGTTTGAAGAAAAGCCGTAATTGGAACCAAAACTGTAAACAAACCGAAATTTATTCATTTTATTTAAATGAAAACATATAATTATTGTTTATTATATTAATTTACCTGAATTTCCGGATTGCTGAGCAGTATCAGATTGGGTTCTTGGCGCTGGGCACCTGTTAATAATTTAATCATTTAACAATCTATGCATACATATAATATTTCATATAGTACAATATAAAACATTGATGATGATGTTGACTAAGCTGATTTCGGCCACATTATCTGTGCAGAATATTTTATAAGGCCACATCATATATTCTTGTACATAGATGTTAGTCATATTCCTCATGTTATATATTAATCCATCTGGTGCAGTTTCGTACGGTTAGTTGTGAAAACTGTATATCTATTTTACTGATGACAAGGCATTCTATTTTAGTTCTTAGGCGTGGCTACGCTTTTACATTTGATTCTTAATTGTAGATTATTGTGGCAGTCTGAGTCAGTGGACTGTATGCTTGTCTATCACCCTTACTTGTATAACAGAATATTTCTACAATTATGCAGCAGCACATCCAGAGTTGAGCCAAAGTTAGAGCCGTGGTAGCTCAGATGGTTAACACTCGCCGTAAATATAACAGAACGCGAGTAACCTGGGTTCGATCCCCGCCGAAACCAATGAAATTGTTAATTGCAATTTTAAGTGCTGATTTACCACGTGCTCGGCGGAGAAGGAAAACATCGTGAGGAAACCTGCATGTCTGAGGAATAAGAAAAAAAATATTCCAAAGACATGTGAAGTTCGGCAACACGCATTGGGGCAGCGCGGCGGACACTTCCTTGCCCTAAAACCCTCTCAGAAATGAGGGGAGGCCTGTGCCCAGCAGGGGGACGTATATAGGCTGTAACCTTACTTTACTTTTTTATATCCAGAGTTGTGTTCCGATTTAAAGTATACTAAACTTGTCTTTTATAGTTTGAAGTGGGTGGCAGGTTGTCAGTTGTCACCTTCTTTCAAGAACACTGTTAATTTGTTTATCATTTTAATATCGTAGAGAAGACAATTACATAAATCAAATGTAAATTTGTGATAATGAGGCTTCGTACTGGACACATTCCATCTAGGAAGTTTGCATTCCTTATGAAAAAGGTCCAGTCACCGAACAGTGATCAATGCGGTGTTCCAGAGGACCTAATGCATGTCTTGAAGGATCTGCCTTTCGTATTGATAAGTGTCACCACAACTTAAAAGACTTCGCTGATTGTAATATAATTTTAGCTAAGCCACATTCTGACGATATAAAATTATTAGTCGAACTTTACAAGGTGATGTTCACGGATTGATCACTTACTTCTCAATATGATTGATCTGGGAACTTTTCATTTTATTTTTTGTAACTAAATGCATATCTTCTTCTACTTATATGTAATTAATTACGGATTTGAAAACTTTTTAATGTAATAAGTTTAAGTATACCTAATGTAATTGTTTTTGGTGATGAATTAACGGAGCGACATATTCACATTGGGATAAGCTAATTAATAAAAAAAAAATTAAAAAATGTAAATTTCATTTTAATGCATGTGCTCAATGATATTAAAAAGAATTCGTGAAGAAAAATGCATGTCTAGAAGTAAAAAAAAACTAGAGAAGTCGCATGTTTTTAATATATTTTTTACGAGTGTACTAAAAATTATTAAGAATTTTTTTAATGTATTGCATTAAAATTAGTTTTTCTAAAATGTAAATTTAAACGCCAGTGATGTCATTATATCGCTTTAGTAACGCTAGCTCATGGTGAAATGAAAAAACACTCATGTTTACGTTGTCAAAATAAAAAAATATAATTGCGTAATACAGGTTATATATGTATTTTTAAGATTATGGCACATGGTGATCGGAATATAGAAAATATAAAAACAAAGCATAATTGCGATTGACTCACAGCTTCAACGGATATAATGACTTCACAACTAATCACAAGCCTTTTTTTTCATCCAAAAATGTCAATTATTTTTTAATAGAAAAATGGAATTGTTAATAGAAAAAATATTTAAATATACTTTAAACGAATTGTTCTTACATTTATATATAAATTTGTGACAAAAAAAATTAATGCAACTTCTCTATTGCATATAATCTATTCATATAAATAGTTGAATAGTTTTGACATTGTATCTAGTTAAATTTTATAAACTATCACTGTGTTGAAAACAATCACTTGGTTGAAAGTTGAAATACTTTTTAGCTGCTGCCACCAGTCAAATTTTGGCAGTTCTAGAAAGGTTCTCAAGTGACAGCCTTGTGACATCAGTATGATTTCAGATATTTACGGATATCAACAATATACTTGTGAAGGGCCGTTCTGTATTAATGATGATGATGGTGATGTATATAATTGTCCACTATTCTGCTCCTATTTTAAGGTGGATTAAAAAAGCGACGATTAGTGCGGCAAAGCGAGGAGCTGAGTTGTACTGACGGCGTTTCGAAACCAGGCGGTACGGTGTCGGCGCGCGGCGCGCTGCGGAAGGCAAGCGGGGCGGAGGCGGGGGCGGGCGCGGGGGCGGGAGCGGGGGCGCCGGCTGCGTCCGGCGCGCACGACGTCGGTGTCACCAGCTCCGCCTCCGTAGGCGTATCGTTCGACGCGCCCGCTACTTCGTTCGCGCACGCATTGCCTGCACCCACAAATTAAATGTAGTTATACCATTCACATTCATATGTAAAACAAAGTGAACGGCGTAAGAACATTCACTACCCCATATCATCCCATGACTGACATAAAAAACGACAGAGGGAGACAAACCATGCGATGGGCAGCAGCAATTTCCTGATAACGGCGAGAAAATAAAACACAGCATTTATCAACCGCCTACCAAACTTGGGGTAACTATGGTAATTTAACCCCTTGAAAGACAATATATGGGGGAAACTTATATTCAACAGTCGACTTAGATAGGCTGTAATTGTGATCTGTGATGATGAAGAAAAGAATATCCGCATATTTTCTGAAAGTAACTTTTCTATAATGTAAACTCGCAGCTATTAAGAATGTGCGTCGTGAGAATATTTTTAGAATTTATTTTTATAAATAAGACAAGTGGCAATACTTCGGATATTGTAGCATTAATAACAAAAATAATAGCATTTACCGTTTTACACTTTTTGTAAGTTCTACGAAAATATTATATACATAATTTAATTTAAAACCACTTTTTATTTTGGTGGCAGATTTATGCTCAATGACATGGTCCATTTTCCTTTATCAACCATTAGCAAAACACTGTTAAACATGAGCCGCTCGCCTTGAAAAAACAATTGCCGTAATTGCCCCACATTAAGCAGACTGACGTTCACAACACTAACCATCTTGCACCTTGACACTGCTCCACGTCGACGGTCCATACCGTGTGGTGGCAGCGTAAGTGAATCCATTATTCTATTTCATCCCATGGGTGTCATGAAAGGCAAATGGAAAATCTTTGGTTTCCGCGATAGATATAATAGAACTTTTTAACTAATTTTGACAGTAGCCTAATGGCAAGGCGTGGACCGCGAACTCAAAAAGGTCGTGGGTTCGAATCCACCATTCGACTACTGTCGTGAACCACTCGTAACACAAGCAATTTAAGCTTACCACGAGTGGTTAAGGGGAATATTAGTAATGTTTATAGCATTGTTAATATTCTTTTTAATAATAAAAAAAAACTATCCCGTTTACGTCAGACTTAAAATACCCGAGTCAGCAACGGGAAGCAGCAGCAAGGTTGACGTACAAAGGGAGAAGCCCATGTCCAGCACTAGACTTTTGCAGGTAGATAAAGAAGAAAGAAGAATAATGCATGTATATTAAAGTATTGCGTTTACTTACCAGGTGCCGTTGAACAAATGTAGGAAAGTAAATTGGCCAAATTTTGCTGGTCAGCCAATCCAATGGATTTGCACACAGATATACAGAGGGACATGTTGAGTTCATTTTTTTCGCAGCATGTAAATATCTTAATGAATAATCTATAAAAAGAATTAAATCAAGTGAAAACACTATATAATACAAACTTACACTGATATCAATTAAAAAATTGACAAACTTACCTAACTACTCTTTCTGTATATGGGCTCCTAGCATTAGGAGCCGACAGTAGTATTTTACCAAGTGAATAACCAGAGTCCTCACAGAAAACGGCTTCATATGCTTTTCTTCCAGCCAAACGATCCAAAATCTTTTCCCAATACTTAATCTGCCAATGATACATAACAATTAATAGTTCAGTTTATCATGCTACATAATTTCGCACACTTCATTTAACATTTCAGTTGAACATACCATATGACGTAAAGTTTTCTCTGTAGATGGTTGTAAATGGTCTACAAGCACAGTGTATGTGGTCTTCAAAATGTGCTCGTGTATTAATTGTTCCGCAGTCAACGTCTGCGGGACTAGTGTGTTCAAGGTCGCAGTTAACGGCTCTGATAAGAATTCTAGAGCACCATCCGTCTATAAAAAATATAAGAATTATTGGAATAATATTTAAATTTGCTAGTTATAAATTTAAAATCACTATTAACTGTATTAACACGTCCAATAAGTAAAAAAGACTACAACTACTATTATAGAACAAAATTTGTATTTTTTAAATTTATTTATGTACACTCAATAACGGAAACGGAAACAGTCTTATAGTGAGATCATACAAAGGTTCTGTTTGTTTCATAATTTGCTTAAATATCTTCCAGTAGACCCATAAAGGAAATTATATTAGAAGGGCAAACTTAGTGCATACGTTACTAACACCAATGAATAAATTATACATAAAATGTTACGTAAATAATATAAAATAATACTATAAATAAAAATAAAATTATGCAATAAATAAAAATAATAGATATGATAGTTACATATAATATATATTAACTAATACTAATATAATAAAACAATAATAATCATCACCATCATCATTACAGCCCTTCACAAGTCCACTGCTGAAGATAGGCCTCCCCCAAAGAATGCCACAATAATACAATAAAAATTAATTAACAAGATGCTAAGAAACTATCTCTTACACGTTTTTTAAATGCTAATAAAGTATCGGAACCTCTTATATGAGGCGGAAGTGAGTTCCATAACCTACCCGCACGGACAGAAAAGAAATAAAAACAGGATTTATGTACGGGAAAGTTAAGAACAGTTTTAACAAGGGATCTGCATGGTTCATGAGGAAGATGGGTAAAGGTAAATCGGTTTCTGAGGTATGAGGTAGAGGATGGATTGTGTAAATGTTATAAAGGAAACACAACAATCGAGTGCCCTACGAAATCAAATAGAGAGTTTGAAAGCCATGAGTTGCTTGCGAAACTGAGATATTCTGTTAAATTTCTTGAGTCCAAATATGAAACGGAAACACTGATTTTGCAAGCGCTCGAGTTTATTAAAAACCTCCTCAGTAGTACCATCCAAATAACAGGCGTCAGCATAATCAAGCAGAGGTAGGATAATAGTGAGCGCGAGTGATATTTTAGGATTTAGGGGTAAGAGATTTTGAAGATATTTAAAGTGAACCAAAGAAAAGATTAAAACAAACGTGAGGTAGTGATGTAAATTCTAATTAATTACACAAAGGCCTACTGTTTTTTATGATGGCCTGCGATTTCGAGGGATTAAGTAATAACTCTCGTAATGGAGTAAATAAATATAGAAAATATATAAATAAATATATAATATATATAGGAGAAAGACCGCCACCTTGAGATACGCCCATAGCGATACCAAACCAATCGGAGTGTCAAGACGGACACAGTGCGAGCCACCTCGAAGATACGAATCGAACCAAGCAATGGCAGATGGGAAAATGTTTATAGATTCCAGGATCCGGAGAAGAATCTCGAAGTAATGAGGTACTGTTTTTCTACTATACTGTTTTTTTGTTTATTGTACTGTTTTTTATGATTAAAAATAGTACCATAATCAAAAAATATTAAATAAAAAAATAGTAACTAAAATATTAAATGGAATAAAAAATAAATAAAAACTGTTTAGTTTAAATAGTCTAAATAAACTCACCAAAGCAGGTACAATCAAGCCGATGGCTTTATTCATAAGATTATTGTTTTCAGCCAACTTTGGTGCACCAATTTCGAGCAGCTTAGCGGCAGAATATGCTAGCATCTTTAGAGAAGGCCCGATCGAGTACTTGCTGTTGGCGGTAATAAGCTCACAGTGCGCCGTCACCAGAGTTAGCACTGCACTCTCAGATGGGATGATATGCGATTCAAAGAATTCCTATAAATTATATTAATACAATTAGGTTACTCAATAAGTATACAATTAGGTTACAAATAAGATTTCATTGCATCTGCTGATTAATTGTTAAGATTTTTAATGGATTTTGCTAATTAATAAACCCAGATAAAAATTTGTGCATGTAGTTTTTAGGGTTTCGTAGTCAACTAGAAACCCTTATAGTTTCGCCATGTCTGTCTGTTCGTCTGTCCGTCCTCGCTTAATCTCTGTGACCGTTAGCACTAGAAAGCTGAAATTGGTACCAATATGTGTATCAATCACGACGACAAAGTGGTAAAATAAAAATTGGAAAAAAATGTTTTATTAGGGTAGCCCCTCTATATGTAAAGTGGAAAGTGATTTTTTTTTTTAATTTCAACCCTAACGTGTGATATATTGTTGGAAAGGTATTTAAAATGAATAGGGGTTTACTAACATCATTTTTTGATAATGTCAATAATTTCGGAAATAATCGCTCCAAAAGTAAAAAACAATGTGTTCCCCCCCCCCCTCTAACTTTTGAACCATAAGGTTAGAAAATATGAAAAAAATCTGAAAAGTAGAACTTTATAAGGACTTTCTAGGAAAATAATTTTGAACTTGGATGGAAACAACAGTACCCACTACAGGGAGCAGTTGCAGGAGCGCGGAGCGCTGCTGGAGCGCGAACATAATGGATACCCACCTTTAAACTCGTAAGTGGGAACACTTATTGTGACGGACGGGAAACTACGGAACCCTACACTGAGCGTGGCCCGACACGCTCTTGGCCGGTTTTTTTTAAATAGAATAAGGGTGACAAACGAAAACACAGGCTATTTGATAGTAAGTGGATGCCGTGGCCCACAGACAGCTACATTTATTCTCAATTAAGAATCAAAACGCACATGCGTTTTCACCCCTAAGGACTGTAACATTAACAGTTTTTGTATTGTTTGTTTTTCATCGAAGTCCCTTTCGTGGGGATACACGTAGGACAGTGCCGCACCGTTTTGCCACCTTCAAATTGCGTAGTTTCACATAGGACGGTAATTAAGCTTAGAAGCTAAGATTACATACTATGCGGTAGAGAACGACTAATAAACGAATAGGTTGGTCCGATCACGCTCTTACAGAATATCAACGTCAAATAATAGGTTAATGCTGCTGTGTTTCGTATGGTGAGTGTAGAGAACCAGAGACCTTTTTATTGCAAACGAGGCATTCTATCTCAGTTCTTAAGGGTGAACACGCATTTGCATTTTGATTCTTAATCAAGTATTAATGTAGATGTGTATACAGCACAGCATTACTAGGACACCAGTCACGTAATCAGGTGGGCGTGGTCAACAGGTGGACTCACGGGGTTGATGCAAAGGATGGGCGGCGGCACGGCGATACGATCGAGCGCGGCGATGGTAGATGGCGGCAGCGGCGCGCGCAGCCAGGCGGCCAGCGCAGGCGCGCCCGCCGCCGCGCCGCCCGCGCGCGTAGCGCCGCCGCTGCACACCGACAGCCGCGCCGCGCTCACCGCGCGCTCCGCCGCCGACACGCCCGCCTCCGACGTGCTCGCCAGCTCTGCTTTCGCGCCCACGCTGTAACAAAAAACTTTACTTGCAACCTAAATAATCTACTACACTACTCTTTTTTACTATTATAAAACAATTTTCTACACACCGAATTTAAAGAACGGCGGCAACTGAATGAAGACTAGCCATCTGCGCAGGAGAGCGTTATATACGCCACCACAAGTGCACTCTATTCCCTCATGCGATAAGACACGATAATCTGACACGATCGGGCGGAGATCAGGCACAGTACTAACGGCTTTCCGGGTTTTCCGAGTCACGGAGGTAAAACACCTGACTCCCGAAGTGTTTACTGAGAATTTTTTAGCAAAAAAACCCAATAAATGATTTTAGCACAGCTTGAGATACGAACTCGGACCTTATGATCAGTAACCACGTCGACGACTACTAGAAGTCAGTGCTTATCTACTATTTATTTATTTATTTAAACTTTATTGCACAAAAATGTACATTTACTATCCAACCTAAAGGTAAATGGTGATGCAGACGAAAATGACAAAGTGCACGGACTTAGCTTAACAAAAGCCCATTTACTCTAACCTTGAAGACACTTATACTGTAATCTGATGGAAAGTATAGTCAGTAGAATTCCTCGCCGGAATACTCGATAAAGTAATTCGAGTATGAGGTGCCTCACCACACACTCTCAACTTCACAAGGTATTACTTACTCGCTAACCATGATATACGAGCAAGTCACAAATGCGGTCGCATTTTGCACTCTTACTCTTGAAGCAATTATAGGAATAATACAATTTGTTCCTGCGACCAATACGTCCTTAAACAGCTAATTATTTACAAAATAATACGAAACGCAGGCATACATATTTACCACAGACAGTCTTTCAATTTATTCGAAGTAAGCCAAATAAGTAAAGTCGCTTTGCGCCCGCGACCCTGGCAAAAAACCGACTACGATCGGAAGTTCACAAAGTCGAAATGACTACACTTGCCTTGGACTCGCCCTCGGCCAATTTCTATCAACTTTGTGATTAGTGTAGAGTACAGAAAGTGTAATCCACTTCTAAAAGCACAGACCTCCTCTAATTTCTAAGTGGAAACTTTACGGCGTAAGAAATAGTCCCCCACGTTTTAATGCGTGCGTGACCCTTTTAATTGCATTTCATATACACATCCAATTGGTGCCTTCAGCGAACTAGGCTTGCTTCCGTAATACAAAATTTAAGGTGAACACTCATTCCCTGACCTACCATAGCTCGTAATATGTGTGTTTAGGTTGGTAGCAGGTGTCTCAAACATACTCTGTCATCAGACATATTCCAACTAGTCTCACCCACAGTCGCTCGCATTTTAATGAAGTGTGTACTGCAATGGATCTTTATTTATAATTATTGTGAACTTGTTAAGATTAAGGTTAAATCCACCTCCTTCTATAGCCCAAATTAACTCAACATAATATAACTTCAAAATGTATCTTACCGACAGCAGTCAAATAAAGTCTCCAAAAGCTCTAGGAGATTGGGCATGAACTGGTGTGCTTCTGCAGCCGATGTAGAATCAGCTAAACACATTTTCAGTCTCATTAATGCACAATCGCAAGAGATTACATCCAGGAGAGACGGAAGTCCACTCGCTGCAACAAAGCCATTAATTAAAATGAAGAAGAGTAAATCTAATAGATCAAAATATACTTAAAGTTTGTTCATAGATAAACTTACACGTGATATTTTGTTTTAAATGTTTAATGGTTTCTGAAGCAAGCCAAGCTGTGTATTTGATGTTGTCACAGGATGCACTCACACCAGCAAGTAAATTTTCAGCATACTGAAACAATTTTATTTTTATTTAATTAATTGTACGTGAGTGCATTTTCATGCAGCGCTCCTTTTTTTTCTTTGTTGGTATGAAGACACTTAATTTTAGAAGTATTGAATAAAGTTTGTTGGCGTAGCTCGGTAACTAGCTATTATAAGATAAATTTACCGAACTTTTAGCAAAATTCTCTGAAGTTTTTGTTATCTTTTATTGCTAAAAATAGCTTGGTTTTATTTCCCATTACGTCTGAATCATAATTCATTGTAAATATTGTCGGCTATCAAAAATAATAACAAAATATTTTACTTAATAAAGGATTAAGACTTTTCGATAACACTATAATAGTACGCTATCCTCTTATGCATAGCAAACGTCAGGTAGAGCGACGAGCGGCGTGACTTCGCTTTGGAAAGCCTAGCGGCTGTATAATTTGATTGATTGATCGATAGAAAATTATTCTATTATCGTATCTCGTGTTAGGTTACGTTACTATCGCGTCTCATGTTAAGTTACATAAATATGTTAGGAAAGTGCAAAAGTTAATTAAAACTAAAATTAATATAAAAAATTATGTAAATATATGTAAGGAAAAGCATGAATTAATTAATAAACTTAAATTATATTCAATTGAGGTGGAAAATATGAAAAACTGTTATGAGACTGAAATAGAGTGTCTCAATTCAGAAGTTTTGTCGCTTAAAAACTCCTTATAAATTATCTCAAATAAATATGCATCGGCTCAGGTTGAGATAAAAGAACACATATTGGCCATGAATAATCTCTGGTAAAGTCATGTAAATACAATGAGAATCGCTTTGACTCCTTAATAAAACATCAGAGCGAGAATGAGCGCTTCAGACCATTTTCATCGGGGACATTATGTGTAAATAGTAGTGACTACTTATTGTCACCCACACTCTATGACAGTGCCATAACAAATAATAAAAACTTAAAAAGTAATTTAAATATTAAAAAACATGAAGTTATTATGATGTTAAATAACCATTTAAAAGGACAGGTAATTAGTAATTATTGTATGCCTGGAGCATCCTTTAGTCATATAGGGAATAAAGTTTTAACTAGTAAGTTTTGTCCTAATAGCACATTAATAATTCTTGTTGGGAGAAGAGGCAATGTAAACAAAAATCAATTATTAAAATATATTGATTACCTCAATACTTTAAATGTACATAAAATTATCTTGTTTACATTGCCATACATACAGGGTTGGCCCCAGGAGAATAAAATAAGATATGATTTAAATTTATTAATGAATAATTTGTCATGTAACAATAATTTAAATTTGACATTTAATTGTAATAATTATACTAATAGCATTAATTTAATAGACATTAATAATTTAATTAAGAAATTTTTGACTAAAGATAGGTATTACCTATCCAAATATAATTTAAGACAAATAGCTAAATGTGCTATCATATTATTTATATATTAACTCAGCCAAGGACTTGGCTACCCAGACATCTGCTCCTATTGAGCAGCATAATGATGTGACATGCAATTTGGAATCCGTTCCAAGTAATTTAAATTAGAAAATGAGACAATAGAGGTAATCTCTAGCAGTTATAATAATTTAAATAATTTAGAATGTACCTTACAAATCCTTAATAGTTGCAATTGCATAACTCCACAAAATGATAATAAAAATTGTTTACATCTGGTGCATTAGAATATACAAGGCATGATAGGCAAAGAGCTAGAAATTGAATTGTTCCTAAATAGCAACAATATTCATATTTTATGTATTACAGAACATTGGTTAAAAACTCATAATTTAATGTTTAACTTCAGTAATCACCAGGTGGTCAGTTCTTTCAATAGAGAAACGGTTTTAAGAGGTATCTAATGTAAAGAACGTAAAGATATTGTGAGCCTCTCTGTTGAGCGAACTGTAGAAATAGCATGTGTTGAATTTCAGCACCTCATTGTTGTGAGAGTTTACAGACCCCCATGTTCTTTATATGATACTTTTGAAAAAAATTTTGGAGGAAGTTTTTGCCAAGCTTAATAAACAGAATAAATCTGTTGTAATATGTGGAGAATTTAATATCAATCTCCTAGAAGCTTCCTCCACCAATATTAAATTAAGATCATTGTTTAAATCTAATGGTCTTTTTAATTCATTTTTGGAGCCAAAGCGTATTGCTGAATCTAGTGCAACATGTATAGATAACATTTTTACAAATGTTAAGCCGTTCAATAAATGTATAATTCAAAAATTGAGCTCTGATCACTGTGAACAATTAGTTTCGTTACCTTATGTTCACAAAAAGAAGTAAATAAAAAAGTAGTGTTTGTTCCAGTAAATGCACGTCGCTTGGAGAAGTTTAGAAGTAACATAGTAAAAAAACTTCCATCACTTTCGTACCAAAATAATCCAGATTTTTTGTATGGAACATTATTTAACCTTATTTGCAATGAATTTAATAATACTTTTACTTCTAAAACATTCTCCTTGAACAATCGCAAGGCATTTAATGAGTGGGCGACAGTAGGAGTCCATAAAAGTAGACAAAGGTTATATGAACTTTACAATGAAAGGTCATATAATCCTAGCGTTGAATTTAGGGACTATGTAAAAAAATATTCCAAAATATTTAAGAGTGTGCCGCCAAGTCATTGTATTTGAGCAACAAAATAAAGACGGCTTCTAATAAAATTAAAATGACATGGAGTAATAATTAATAGTGAAATTGTGAAGGTTAGCTCTCGCAATTCGAACTATCAGTTAAGTTTTAACAATAAATTAATTGAATCAGATCAGGACGTTGCAACGGTTTTCGAGAAATATTTTACTGATATTATCTTAACCACTAAGTTACTGAATTCATCTCCTGCCGTCGCCAAATCATTACTTAAACAAAATGTAAGTGCGTGTACAAAGAATTTTACATTTCATAAAATGTCATTAAAGTTATTGCGTCTATAATAGATGCAATCGCACCTCAACTATCTATTATTTTTAATACTAGTATCAAATCTGTTGTGTTTCCTGATTTAATGAAGCATAGTAAAGTAATACCTTTATTTAAATCTGGCAGTACATTGGACCCCGCTAATTTTAGACCTATTTCTATACTGCCAACACTTAGTAAAATTTTTGAAAAAATTATTCTTGATCAAATGTTAAATTTTTTTAATGTAAATAATTTACTTCATAAAAATCTATTCAGTTTCACAAGGGGTCGCTCAACAATTGATGCTGGTGTTGAGCTTATTAAATATATCTTTAATGCATGGGAGAATTCACAGGATGCTTTGGGTATATTCTGTGAACTATCCAAGGTCTTCGCCATGAAACATTAATCAGGAAACTTCAACACTACGGTGTAAGAAGTGAAGCTCTTAAATTAATTATTTCATATTTAAGTGACAGAACGCAAAAAGTTGTAATTATTAGTATGAGTTCTTCCGGGTCAACTGTACAAATGGGCGTGCCTCAGGGCTCAATTCTCGGCCCCTTTCTGTTTCTTGTATATATTAATGACTTACCTTGCATAGTAGGGGATAACCATGATATAGTATTATTTGCTGATGATACTTCATTAATTTTCAAATTAAAACGACAGTTATTAAATTACGACGAAGTAAACAATGCTATAGCTAAGGTAGTCAATTGGTTTAATGTTAATAATTTGCATTTAAATGGAACTAAAACTAAATGTATGAAATTCGTAACTCCTAATGTCAAACATGAATGTAATTTTAAATGGGGAAGAACTGAGTCTTGTTGATACCACCATTTTTCTTGGAATCACACTAGACACAAAGCTTCAATGGCTCCCCCATATATCAAAACTAGTTAGCAGACTTAGTTCTGCAGCATATGCTGTAAAAAAGATTAGAACTCATTACCAGTGTTGAAACAGCAAGAATAGTTTACTTTAGTTATTTCCATAGCATTATGTCGTATGGTATTTTGCTGCAGGGACACGCGACTGACACTGAAATTATATTTATTTTACAGAAGAGAGCCATTAGAGCAATATATAATTTCAAACCAAAAAAGTCACTGAGACAAAAATTTAAGGAAATTAATATAATAACTCTGGCCTCTCAATATATTTATGAAAATATAATGTACGTACACAAGAATAAACGTAGTTTTGCAAAAAAAGTGATATTCATTCTGTAAATACTAGGAACAGACACAAGCTAGTAGTACCAGTTACTCGACTCCACCGAGTCAGTAATTCATTCTTGGGGCGATGTATACGCTTTTACAACAAAATCCCAGAAAATATACAAAATTTGTCATACGCAAAGTTCAAAAATTTTATTAAACTAAGTTTGTATAAAAAGGGGGTTATTATAATATTAAGGAATTTATGGATGATAGTAACCCCTGAGAAGGGTGATCGCTACTAAGCTATTTCTAATTTGTGTTGTGTTGTTAATTGTAAACATGATTGTAAGCTATTATTTGAAAAAAAAATAGTCCCGCTGGGTTTCTTGCTGGTTCTTCCCAGGACAGAGGTTTTTTTGCGAACCAGTGGTAAATGAAAAAATTAACTTTCAATAAGTATTGCTTATAATCTACATTGAATAAAAAAGTTTCTGTTTCTATTTCTGTTATGTTATTATCGTATCTCGTGTTACGTTAAGTTGCACCCTCCTTTCACCCAAGCCGTTTACGGTTTAAAGATCTCTCGCTAGATCATTAAGCTAATCTCAAAAGGTGGTGTTTAGTGGGTAAAAGTCTCCACATAACTATGCAGCCGGCTGCGTGGTAAGCTATGAGCATTGACCACCTCCTTCCCCCGTTACCGGAGGGTTATTTGCTTCGGACGCAAAAAAAAAGTTAGGTTAAGTTCTATTTCGCACTTAAATATCACCATTATTGTGATATCTCCAACTCGTGAGGCGCTAATTAATCATTGTTAGCTTTTTATGTAAAGAAGAGCTACCTGCGTAAAATAGAAAAATAATGGAGCTAAAAATTTAAAACTAAAAAAATATTTTTCATTTGGTAATAACTTTTTACTGACAATGTTTTTTTATTTTCGTGTCATAGTGTTTACTATTTAGTGGACTATTCATTAGCTTAGGTCTGGTTAATGGTGGACATTAGGATTTTGGACCACTTTGGTCATTGTCTTTTGTCAGCGATTTCAGATATTTTAAGCATTAAAATTGATGCTGAAATGGAAATTAAGAAAACCTCTGTTTAGTGTTCTCGATAGCATCTCACAAATACTGTATTAATATAATAAAAAATCTCTTATAACTATTTAGTCCACAACATTTCTTAAAGTTATGACTAATTAACATATAACGGTTGTTGGCCATTAATCGGTTTGAAAAGTACTGTTTTGAGCTAATGAGAGCTTAGAACGTGAATACGTGAAACATTGCATGTTGATTATTAATACATACGTGATTTAGGGGAAGGGGTATTACATTTATGCGAACATATTTTAACTCATATTCAATTCTACTTTTTTGCAGTTTTGCTTGCACTTGCGACAGAATTAAAATAACACAAAATGCCGTGTTCCAGTGTTAAAGGTATAGAGAGCCAGCATCATTGCAAGCTGTGACGCATTTCATCTTAGAGTTGCCATCAAATTGACTGTAAGTTATCTTGTCACTTCGATTTTACATTGAAAATATTAAAAGATCAAAACCTTGATCCCTCAAATTAACAAAAATGATATCTCTATGATCTCTACTTGTATTTTAATAGGTCCTTTATCTATGGAATTTCCGTCTCTCAAATTTTAGCTAAGAATTCTAAAATAAGAAAATTAATTTGGAAAATTCCAAATTAATTTTTATATATAATAATTTTCTATTAAAAAACATGGAATTAATTTTTCAAAATTAGTCATTTGTTTATTGATTAGTGTTATGTTTTAATCGCATTTGAATCTTTTTCGTCATAACGGATTCGTTATAAATTTGAGTAATTATTTTATTAACGAAAATATTATTTGATCCTTCGTGGCAGCAACGCGGCAAAAGCGGCACACAACATCAACGACGTTTACGGAACGAATACTACAAACGAACGCACAGCCTATTTCGAAATTTTGTAAAATTTTTCTCCTGCACGACAAAGCGCGTCCTCATACTGCACAACAGACAGTGTCCAAGTTGCAAGAACTGGGATTACCTACAAATATTTCTACTTTTTCCAGAATTTGGATAACTTTTCGGCGGGAAATAAATTCAAAATTCAATAACCAGAGATGTCTCCCATTCTGCTGCTTAAATAACGAATCGCAAATTCATAAACTTCTAAACGCCACCTGACTAGATTTTATATGCCTGGCAACTTGGTTTAATTTTTTCTATATTACGATCTTTTCTCAGAATATTCCTAATGTATACATAAGTTTAATTGTGGTTTATAATAAATTTACATATAGAAACATGTTATGTTATAGAGGAGGTTTTTTGTGTCATATAACTGTAATAAATATGCAAAAATTGTAAAAGCTGATTTTCTGAAAATTACTATCATGATCTTGGTATTAGCTAACGTAAATAATGTGATCATCAAATGGTTCATGCCATTAAAATATATCTGCCGCCTTATGATCCACGTGTCAAACAAAATTACGACCTAATTAATATTGTACTGATTTGTGTTTCATCACTTGATGAAATACACTGAATGAAATAGATGATACTAAAATTTCTTACGCAACAGAGTGTGACATCCAAAACCTTAGTAAACATAAAGTTAAAATGAGTGATTTAACATAAATAACGCAGACTATTAGGAGTGTCTTTAAAAATTCTTTAACGTCTTAATCGTAAAAGTCTTTAACGGGCTTAAATTTTGAGGTCGACATATTATGGTTCATAAAAGATAGCTTGATCTCTGCGACAGCTGTCAGTAAAAATCACGCCTATGAAGTCCTAAATTTCTTAGTAGTACAGACAGTACCTGTGACCTCAATGTCATACTTTATGGGCATTCACTAATTAGGTCGGCATGCCCATAAAGTATGACATTGACAGGTACTGTCCGTACTACTAATAAATTTAGGACTTCATAGGGGTGATTTTTACTGACAGCTGTCGCAGAGCTATCTTTTATGAACTATAAGTCCGACAGAATGTCGACTGGATCCTAATAAACCTATACCTATTATTGTTTAGTACTTCTGCGACGACTTATAACAACAATCAAAGTGACAGCGTAGTGATTTATGGTAGGAAAAATAAGTAAATGTAAAAGAAATTAAACTCGAACATGCATCTTGTTTGCAAGTTGAAAATGTCAATAACATCATTCTTGGCATATATCGCTCACCCTCAGATAAAAATGCAACAAAATTTGTTGATTCCCTGAATAATCACTTGGATATAGTAACATCACAAAAAAACATTGTAATATTAGGAAATATAAATATCAACCCGATACCGAGAAGTAATTAACCTACATATGAGTGCAATAATAGATCTTACTATTTAAAAGTATTGGCTACACTTGGTCACTTGCGATCTTACCCGGACATACTCTTCCTACCAGACTAAATACCCGTAGCGTCTTAGGCCCGACTTTATCCCCATATCATATTAACGAACTTTGTAATATGAATATTGACGGTGGTCTTGTGTTCTCATATGCTGATGGTACTGCACTGCTTTTTATGGAGACTTCTTGAGATTCAGTTTTTAAACTGGCACAATCCGGACAATTCAAAGTGTTTAACTGGCTCCAATTGAACTTGCTTACATTAAATATTACTAAAACAAACTCCATATGCTTCTCTAATAGTTAAAAAAACGCATCCAAACCTAGATTTAAAACTAAAAATACATAAACAATAACCAAAACATATATAACTGCAATTGTCCTGAAATAGATAAAGTCAACAGCACCAGGTACTTACTAATAACGGAATAATACTTGACCAACGATTATCTTAGCATCCTCACATAGATTTCATTAATAACAAAATCAGGAAGTTAATATGGATTTTTAAATCTTTAAGATATGTTAACACTAAAAAGCTCATCAATCAGATATACGTTGCATTGATTCAGTCAGTCCTGGGATATTGTATCCACATATGGGGTGGAGCTTCAAAAACTAAATTTCTTGAAGATGAGAGAGCGCAACGTTGCTTACTAAAGGTTATGTATTTTAAGTCATACAATTTTCCCACAGCAGAACTCTATCAATATAGTGAATTATTATCAGTGAGAAAATTATATATATATTACAAACTGTTCTAAAACTCCACAGGTCTTTACCATTTAATTCTAATAATCTAAATAAAAGAAGTAACAGGTTTATTTTAAAATTGTAGAAAACTAAAACAAAATGAGCTAAACGACACTACAAAATACAATCGGCTCACCTATATAATAAAATTAATAAAGTAATTAAAATATACCCTTTAAAATTAAGGGATTGTAAAAATAAAATATTTGATTGGTTGCAGCCACTAAGTTATACTGACACAGAAGATCTTCCCTCAGTGTGAATTAGTGGCTGTATGATTTGTATTTTACAGCCACTGGTCTTTGCGACAGTTGTAATTATATCTCTTTCATATTATTTCGTCCATTAAAAAATCAAGTTCCCTGATCTAATAATTATTATTTATAACAATAGTTTTTTTTTTGTAAATGTAAGTTCTGGATTTAAGGAAGCTCGAAACATCCAAGTATATGTACTGAAGGGAGCATGCCAGCCGCAAGCAAATATGCTTACTAGGCAGTTTCAACAATGATTATTGTATGGATATACGTTTTTTTTTTTAAGAAATAAATATATTTTTGATTTTTTTATGAAATATATAGAAAAAAATAACTAAACTTCAAAAAGCTCAACCATAAAAAAGTTTAGTAAAGTTTTAACATTTTTTATTACTGTACGCTGATGTCTCTGGTAAATGTTTCAAGGTTGCTATTAGCCGGTGCGTGCGCACACTAACCTGCGTATACATGCCCTGCTTGACGAGCGCGTCCTTGAGCCAGGGGTTGAAGACTTTCTTGTTGTCGGCGCGCGGCGCCCACACCATGGCGTGCAGCGGCAGCGGGGACGGGAGCTCCGCCTTCGTGCCCGCCTGCAACTTGTCCATGTGTGGCGTAGCCGGCGGCATGCTGATCACCAACCTGCAAACAAACCAACTCATTTTATAATACGATCTACACAATAGAAATAAAATTTGATGAAAATTTGACATAAATTCTCTAGATAAAAATATTATTTTAACCTAGCCTTTTTTACTGGCTGTTAACAAAGGAACGCGTGAGCGATGTGTGAGAAGTGCGTGTTAAGAAGTTGAGTCGTTTAAAGCATATAGCACACACAAGCAGCTTGCGGTGGCGGCCTCCACCCCGTCTTATCACTCTAATTAGCCTTTTCAAGCGACGAAAAAACGGAGGGAGGTATATATCGTTGAAAATATATATTGTTCTATTAATTAATGAATTAAGCTTGACAATGGAATGACACAGAAGATGGGCAGCAGCATCTTCCTCATTACAAACTCAAAATAAGTAAATTGCAGTTGCCACCCACAACCGCAATTTTCTAAGAACTTTTTTTTTGTAAATCAAGGAACTCTGAACAATCTAATAGCGTTTTCCGTCTAAAGAATTATATTATATTATCTTTAATCGATGAATTAGAAAATATTAAAATGTATTTTTTTAATGAGTTGAGTTGAGGTTACCTGTGGAGTGTGTATAGTCCCAATTCCAACTAAGATTAATATTTCCTTAAAACAAATTATTGGTTTCAAAGTGTCATTATTTCTTATTTATCTATCCTTAAAAGCTTATAAAACATATGTATATTTCTAGTTAACAACATTTGGCGTTTAATTAAAAGAAGGTTGATATCAACCAACGGCAACAAGCAACATTCTAAAATAAATTTCACACACTAGTACATTTATAAAAGCTGCCTCGTTGGTCTAGTGGTTGTAGTAGTGCGTCTACTGATCATGAGGTCCTGGGTTCGAATCCCGGGTCGGGCCAAAAAATTAATTATTGAGTTTTTCCGTCAAGAAGTTCTCAGTAGTTGCTCGGAGTCAGGAAGTTGGCGGTGTCTCACCCCCGTGCCTCGGAAAGCACGTAAAGCCGTTGGTCCTGCGCCTGATCTCTCTCCGGTCGTGTCGGTTTACCGTCCCATCGGATTATGAGAGTAGAAGAGTGTACCTGTGCTTGTGCATACACTTGGGCACTATAATCCTGTCCTGCGCCGATGGCTAGCCTCCGTTGAGGCAGGCCGCCGTGGCCGAAATTCGGTCCGGAGGACATTATTATTATTACATTTATAAATAAATCAAATATAAATTGCCATTAACCTCCAGGCGGTTTGGAAGCAGTAGTGTGCTGCAGCGAGGGCGGAAAGCGAGGAGTAGTTCTGAGGGTTGTCGCAGATGCACGCAGAATTTAGCAACGCTAGTAATGCGTCGAGAAGTAGAGGGTACTTGAGCTTATGCGGCGTTCCCAGCACAAAGTTGCAAGCTAGACCGTCGAATTTTGGATTCTCCTATAAACAGTATAACAATTAACTTTCTCACATTTATATGTTATATTGTGGTGTTTTTTATAGAAACATAAGAATTTTTTTTTCTGATTCAGAAAAATATTTTATGAACATAAATAAAGGGTTAATAAAAAATTATATAAAATAACAAAAAACTCGATTTTAACTTTCTATCATTAAAATGAATAAAAAAGCTTGTGTAATCAATATTAAATGATCTCCAAATTTTGATCATAAAAATTACCTGGTTGTTTACCTCGGCGCCAGTCAAGGAGTAGAATTTCGGTCTCATTGAAGTCTCATCTGGTGAGAAGTGTCTGTATGCAGGTTCGATATGTGGAACTTCGCAGTATACACGTGATTTGAACTGCCCATTGTCTGTCCGAACGTTGAAAGAAAAACCGCCTGCGTCTGCCGAACGTTGGGCGAGGCCGGGTGCAATTACAAGGTTCCATTCAATCTAGAAATTACAGAAAGTTAAAATATTGTCAAAGTAATAAGTATAAACTTGTTTAATATAAGAAATTATATGTTACCTGTTGTAGTAATGTGTGAGGTGCATCGTAAAGATGTCGCATGAGATACTCCAATAGGAGCATCAGTCGTGTAGTAAGCATAAGCTGATGCGGTGCCAAGGTCATAGCTCGCTTTCTGTCGTTAATTGCCAAGGTCTCCACAACCTACAACATTTACACTTCATAATATGATTTAAATTTATAGATTTTCAAATCACTGGTGGTTCAAAAATATCTTAAAATAAAATTCATAGTATTTAAAACCAGTAAATAAGGATGTATTATTAAAAACTATTATTTTAACAGACTACAGTATTCACTTTCAAGTAATCACTAATTCCACCTTTCCTTTCTCACAACAAAATTCAAATACCATTAGACATGACTGAATTGTATATATAAAGTAGTAATTTTAGTACAATTCTACAAATTTAAACAAACTTACTTTTATAATAGCATTAGAGGTCATAAGAAGGACAGATTTTTTCTGCATTAATGTCAACGAATGGAATAGATAAACCAGCAACTGGGCATGTTCAACATTCAAATCTGAAAGAAAATGAGATTGATTTAGAATATTTAAAAAAAATTGGGATGTTAATTAAATATGTATAAACAATATAACTTTTTACCACAACAATATTAATTTCAACCAACAATTATTTTTTTGGTTACATGTGATGTATTCGACTAGGATTCAAATAAAAGATAACATCTACGCTGCAGTGACCAAGTTATACTGACCACAACTATGTGTTCGTCTTTTTATAAATGAATTTTTGCAAGGTAGAGCCACACTGCAATTATCTAAGGTTACAGCATGGATGAGTCGGCTCCACCGCAGAAGGACCACACTCTCACAGAATACCGGCATGAAATAGCAGTTTAATGCTGCTGTATTTCATGTGGTGAGCGTAGAGAAACCTCACGGGTGACATCGCATTTGCATTTTAATTCTCAATTAAAAATATAAGTAGATGTCTATGGGTCACAGTATCCACCAAAGAATATATAATACACAATAGAATGGTTGTCAACCATATTTTGTACGAAGATCGGCGTCGCCTGGAGCACACACACAAGCAATTACGTTGTATATAGTTGTACTTCTACAAACCCGATTTGTGGTGTTGAGAGACTGAGGGAATTTACACATTTTAGACTTTTGATTAATGTTCACGATCATCAATAAATAAAATAAATCGTTAAAATTTTAATACATATTTATTTATAAATAGTATGCAAACTAATCGTAAATACAATCAATACAATTTTTTTCTTATTGTAAATAAAAAGTTGTTGAACATGTTTAAGATGCGTACCATCATATTAGTCTGTTCATCTAAGCAAACTGTAGTATATCATGATATCACCACTAGGGATGTAGTCTTGTTTAGTGACTTACCCGTAAAACTTAAGTGTATTTATTTTGAAATATTTCAATAATATTTTTTGTTAATAACTTTGTACAATTTTATACTAAAAGATAAATACTAAAGTATTCACTTTGTAAAAGTGCAATGAAAACAAAGTTTTGTAAAAAAATCCAAAACTTTACTTCAAGAAATATAAGACAAAAACGTAATTTACTGCCAAAATGTATTAAAGAGTTATTCAGAATCATGTGTATGACAAACTCCATAATTTACTATATAATAATGTGATTGTCTGTCTCAAGCTTTTATGGCTAAACCGCTGAATCCATTTTTATAAAATTTAGATATTTTAATGTCTGGTTAAGCCAAATGAGTAAGTAGAGCAAGTGATATCACAGCTGAGTAGACTGTAAAGCCTACTTTAGTTTAGTCGTTATTAGCCGCTAAACCGTCAATTTGGATAAAAACGGTGAAATGGGTATAAAACTGTATAGGAAATGCTAAGCCATTCAACCGATTTTGACGAGATTTGGTATTCAGATAGCTGGTAAGATTAAAAAGACTAGGTTACCTTTTATCCTCAAAGAGATAACGTGATATGAAAATTCCATGTGGAAGAAAATGTATTGGTATACTTCTTTAAATTAGTATTTATTTATTATTTGTTATCTTTGAAACTTGTCCTGTTTATCTACGTTAGTTAACATACACAAATTGCAATAGGTTACTATGAATACAAAACTAACTAAAACTAAATGTTGGTCTATTAAGAAGGTACTTACTTTAATAAATAATACCGTATTTACGGAATAATAAAATTTATTAAAAGTTATGGAGTAGTAACATTTATTAAAAGCTTACTAGACCGTAACAATTGCACCCATTCATAATGATTAATCGATCGAGTGTGTATGCCTACTATGTATTATTTAAGTCCGGATCTCCAGGAAAACTGAAAAAATGGTTTATGGAAATGAAAAATATCAAAAAAACAAGTACCAATAGTAGTAAATAGTACAGTATAGGTCAGCCAACACAAGGCAAGCGCGAAATCGGATGAAAAAATATCAACACATATATATATATATATATATATATATATATATATATATATATATATATATATATATATATATATATCTATATATATATATATATATATATGTTGATATTTTTTCGGCAGATTGTACAGAAGACCGAGGAGTACAATCTGCCACTTTGCCTGGCGTATGTGGACTATGAGAAAGCCTTTGATTCCGTCTTTTACAGTAGGGCTACGATGGCTCCGAGTACAGAATCAGAGCTCGAAACCTATCTAACTGCAGAGAGGTGTAAGACAGGGTGATGTTATATCCCCGAAACTCTTCACCGCTGCATTGGAAGACGTTTTCAAGCTACTGGACTGGAAAGGATACGGTATTATCATCAATGGCGAGTACATCACTCACCTTCGATTTGCCGACGATATAGTCCTTATGGCAGAATCGCTGGAGGACCTTAGCACTATGCTCAATGACCTCAATGGTGTCTCCCAACGGATAGGTCTTAAGATGAACATGGACAAAACAAAGATCATATTTAATGTCCATGTCTCACCTATGCCGGTAGTTGTTGGGAGCACTATGCTCGAAGTTGTTGACGAGTACGTTTACCTGGGACAAATAGTCCGACTAGGTAAGTCCAACTTCGACCGAGAGGTCAATCGACGGATTCAACTCGGCTGGGCAGCGTTCGGGAAATTACGACACATCTTATCGTCAGGTGTACCTCAATCTCTGAAAACTAAAGTGTACAACCAGTGCGTGTTGCCAGTGATGACTTACGGATCAGAGACGTGGTCCTTCACTGCTGACCATATGAGGACGCTCAAGGTCGCTCAGCGAGCTATGGAGAGGGCTATGCTCGGAGTTTCTCTGCGTGATAGACTCAGAAATGAGGATATCCGTAGTAAAACCAGAGTGACCGACATAGCCCAACGGATTAGTAAGCTGAAGTGGCAATGGGCCGGCCATATAGCTCGAAGAACCGATAACCGATGGGGAAGAAAGGTTCTCGAGTGGCAGCCTCGTACCGGTAGGCGTAGTGTAGGGCGACCCCCCACTAGATGGAGTGACGACCTGGTAAGACATGCAGGAAGTCGATGGATGCAGGTGGCTCAGGACCGTGCTTTGTGGCATTACTTGGGGGAGGCCTATGTTCAGCAGTGGACTTGTGAAGGGCTGTAATGATGATATATATATATATATATATATATATATATATATATATATATTACTTTTAACACAAAATGGGTCTACCCAACTCTTTGTGGATAATGAGGCGTGAGGTGTATATATTATAGTAATGATACGTAACCAGAAGATCGAATCTAAAAACTTTATTGCAAAATTTTAATGTTATCCTATAGAGGGTACAAATTTACAATTTGATAAAAAATTTTAAAATTGACTTTATTCGTAGTATTTAGAAGCGACTATATTTTCCGGCTTATTGGTATCAGTAAAATTTTGTTACCTACCTACCTACCTAGTGCTTCCAATGTCTGTTGTTTTTAACACATCAATATTTCTTTATTGGTAACGTCAAAAGAGATGTGTTGACATTTATACATGTGAATTAATATGTTAGTGACATATTGGTGGCTACACGGGCTCCGCCCAATCTCTCGTTCTATTATATATGTATTATAGTATTCTATGGTCTCCACTTACCATCAGGTGAACTGTGTGCTTGATTGTCACCCTTATTCTATCTCATTATTCTATCTTATACTTAAGAAAATAATTTCATTACATACCTTCATAATCATGGTCCTGTGATGGCTGCGGCTGTAGAGCACATTCCTGCAGCGTATTAACAATCTTGTGCCACATCACAAGGATACTGTTTTCACGATCAGCTGCTGGTTTGCTCAGAACCATGCTGCCTAAGAGTTTTACAACGCGAGGACCAACCTAAATACAATTGACAATGAAATTATATAATTATGATATGAACGCGTGTCGTGTTTATTCTAAGCTACGACCTATATCTTTCAAATGGGTGATTCTACTATAGGCAATTTAGACAATGCAATTCCTTTACCTAACAAAGTAAGAACTATCTATATAGGCCAGCCACTTAGTTGGAATTTTGTTTCGAAAAACCGTTCCAGAACATCTACTCGGGACTTCGACATACTAAAACGGTTTTTCTAATATACGTGGCGGTCCTTAGTGTTCGTTTGATATAAAATGTGAAGTGGGTAGTCAGCGGTACCTGCAGCGGGGTGATGTTGGAGCGGTCGGGCGCGAGGGCGGGCGCGGCGCCGGCCAACTGATGGTGTAGCGCGGGCTGCAGCGCAGCGAATGCGGGCGCGCTACTCAGGTTGTGCAGGTAGCGCACCAGCGCCGAGCTGAACTCCGCGTACAGCGCGCACAGCCGCGCGCCGTAGCACGACGAGATGGCGCCTGCGAGCGCGTCATTACATATAGGGGTAATGCAATCTGACTGAAATGTGGTTACTTAAGGTTATCTCATATTGGATTGCCTGGTAACGAGGCGGAGTCAGAAAAAACCGTAATACTAAAATAAATACACCTATGCTTGGCAGCAAAATAGTTAAGAGCATGCCACCACTTATCGCGATGTACGATGTACAATACATAGTAGATCCACGCTATAGCTACATTATGGTTGTAGCACGAATGGTTGGCTCGACCGGGGAAGGGCCACGCTCCCACAGAATACCAGCGTAAAATAGCAGCTTAAGGACGCGTTTGCAAATCAAACAAAATTAGGGTGTTTTTCGGTAGATTTTGTGACAAAACTAAACCAAATCAAATATAAGTAAAAACTACCATGTATAGATTGGTTCTTCATCTGCAAACGTATGTAACTCTTTTGTTGAAAATAGGAGTTTTTTATATTGTAAAAACGAGCTTTCGTTGCCATTTTCTACAAAATTAACGATACCGGCTTGAGTTTCGGTACATGTTTTGGTCTATTATCAACATATTTAAAAAATTTAAAAAATACTATAAGATGACAGACATATTCAATTAAAAAACCATGTGTTTATTTTTTATCAAAATGTCACAAATAGTCGTAGAAAAAATAAAAACTAATGCACATTTTTTCACATATTTTGCTAATACGGATGAATTATGATTCTCTATCTATTGCAATAAGGGCTATTTTAGTGTTGGTGCCTGCTTTGACTTATAGTACAAAGATTTCGATGAAACCGCAGTCCGCGCTCGGCCGCCGTCGTGAGTGGACACTGTATCGCCTGTTTGCAGCGGCTCATTCTGAAAAGATCGCTGTACATACACAAAATATTAGAAAAAAAACAAATTGGAAACATTAGTACTTGACAAGTGATAAAATATTATTTTTATACTCACAGTTTTTTATTTAGCTAAATATAAGTAGGATATATAAACTTACCTCTGTACTTGATAGAGTGACCTGAAGGTAACTACTACTGCAACCCCTGGACGAGCGGAACTAGGTGTGCCGAGTTGGGGCTCGTTTTGTTGGTTATGATGAGACCTTACCTCCGGACTTGATGGTGTGACCTGAAGGTGTACTTTCGTGACCGCTATTTGAACTTCTTGCAGAGTAAAACTAGGTGTGCCGAGTTTGGGTTCGTTTTGTTAGTTACGATACAACCTTACCACCGGACTTGATGGAGTGACCTGAAGGTGTAATTCAGTAATTAAACTGGAACTCCTAGACTAGTAGAACTAGGTGTGCCGAGTTTGGGTTCGTTTTGTTAGTTACGATGAGACCTTACCACCGGACTTGATTGAGTGACCTGTAGGTGTAATCAGGTGGTTACAACTGGAACTCCTAGACTAGTCGAACTAGGTGTGTCGAGTTCGGGTTCGTTTTGTTAGTTATGATGCAACCTTACCACCGGACTTGATGGAGTGACCAGAAGGTGTAATTCAGTGATTACAACTCCTGGACTAGTAGAACTAGGTGCACCGAGTTTGGGTTCGTTTTGTTAGTTACGATGAGACCTTACCACCGGACTTGATGGAGTGGCCTGAAGGTGTACTTTCGTGACCGCTATTTGAACTTCTTGCAGAGTAAAACTAGGTGTGCCAAGTTTGGGCTTATTTTGTTAGTTACGATGAGACCTTACCACCGGACTTGATTGAGTGACCTGAAGGTGTAATCAGGTGGTTACAACTGGAACTCCTAGACATAGTCGAACTAGGTGTGACGTGTTTGGGTTCGTTTTGTTAGTTATGATGCAACCTTACCACCGGACTTGATGGAGTGACCTGAAGGTATAATTCAGTGATTAAACTGGAACTCCTAGACTAGTAGAACTAGGTGCGCCGAGTTTGGGTTCGTTTTGTTAGTTACGATGAGACCTTACCACCGGACTTGATGGAGTGACCTGAAGGTGTAATTAGGTGATTACAAATGGAACTCCTAAGACTAGTAGAACTAGGTGTGACGAGTTTGGGTTCGTTTTGTTAGTTATGATGCAACCTTACCACCGAACTTGATGGAGTGACCTGAAGGTGTAATTAGGTGATTACAAGTGGAACTCCTAGACTAGTAGAACTAGGTGTGCCGAGTTTGGGTTCGTTTTGTTAGTTACGATAAGACCTTACCACCGGACTTGATGGAGTGACCTGAAGGTGTATTTCGGTAACTAATGCTGGAATTCCTGCACGAGTAGAACTGGGTGTGCCGAATTTGGGCTCCGTTTTGTTAGTTATGACGAGTCCTTACCTCCGGTCTTGATGGAGTGACCTGAAGGTTTAATTGGGTGATTACTACTGGAACTCCTAATCTAGTAGAACTAGGTGTGCCTAGTTTGGGTTCGTTTTGATAGTTGAGATGAGACCGGTGTTAATGTCTTATCATAACTAACAAAACGAACCCAAACTCGGCACACCTAGTACTGTTGTAATCACCGAATTATACCTTCGGGTCACTCCATCAAGTCCGGTGGTAAAGTCTCATCATAACTACCAAAACAAACCCAAACTCGGTACACCTAGTTTTACTAGTCTATCAGTTTCAATACTAATCACCCAATTACACCTTCAGGTCACTCCATCAAGTCCGGAGGTAAGGACTCGTCATAACAAACAAAACGGAGCCCAAATTCGGCACACCTAGTTCTACTCGTTCAGAAATTCCAGCAGTAGTTACTGAATTACACCTTCAGGTCACTCCATCAAGTCCGGTGGTAAGATCTCATCATAACTAACAAAACAAACCCAAACTCGGCACACCTAGTTCTACTAGTCTAGGAGTTCCTGTTGTAATCACCGAATTACACCTTCAGGTCACTCCATCAAGTCCGTAGGTAGGTAAGGTCTTATTATAACTGACAAAACCAGTTCAAAGTCCAGAGCTAACATCTCACTACCAGTAGAGGGCTTCCAGTGCCAAGCAGTCTCTGGAGCAGGTATTCGTATTTCGTATCTAAGTATATTTCTGAGGTATAAGAAATGAAAAAAAAATTCAATCTTTCAAATTATCAAAATAATTTCATTTGACTACGATTCCCACAGCCAACCGTGCGCATACTTGTGTGTGTGACTTTTGTCAATGTAGTAGTGCGATTCAATACCTATCAATTTTGTAAACGCGTCCTTAATACTGCTGTGTTTCGATTGGTGAGTTTAGAGACCTGGAGACCTTTTTTTACTGTAAATAAGGCATTCCATTTTAGTCCTGATAGGTGATAACACATCTCTATATATTTTATTCTATGTATTATATACATATAATAAAATAAAATAAAGAAAGAAGAAAATATGTACGTGAGTGCATGTCCAAGATGTTGAGCTTTCTTTTTTTTTGATGAGAGCAAAACATTATGTAGTTTTGAATCAAGCGCTAGGTAAGTATTAGTCGTAAGTGGTTAGGGCAGGTGTACCGGAGTCGGTGCGCGCGCTCTCCCTGTCGAGGTCCTTGGCGAGCGCGGCGAGCAGCGCCTGGTGCGAGTCGTGCAGCTGCAGCGCGCCCGCGCCCAGCCGCTCTACGCCCTCGCTGATCAGCTCCGCGCTCAGCAGCGTGAACACTTCCGTCGCCAGCGCTATGTACTGGCCGCCCACGCACACAAAGTTCCGTTACAGTACAATCAGATAGTTGACACCATGTTTTAAAACATTATTATACGCTACGACACGAATCGTGAGCCGTGCACCTACGAGGGATGATCCAAAAGTAATGATAATCGGTTACTTCAGGTCCGCATAAAAATCCAAAAAAATATTTTTTGCTTGCTTATATACTCACTACGTCAGCCTAAAAAAATCATATAAATAGATCACGATTTCCGGGAGATACATTCATTTGAATACGAACTGTCAAAGAGATAACATCAACATGGAGAAAAACGAAATTAGAGCTGTCATCAAGTACCTCTGTTTGAAAAAAATGTCTTCAAAAGACATACACATGGACTTAGTGGACATTGGGGGACTCTGCTCCTCCATATTCTACAGTTGCACGTTGGGCCAAGGAGTTTAAAATGGGCAGAACATCCACTGAAGATGAACATCGCGAAGGACGCCCATCCACGTCCCTCACTGAAGACAACGTGAAAAAGTCGAAGATGTTGTGTTGGCAGATCGAAGAGTGATCATCAGGCATGTAGCTGAGGTCACAGGGATCTCATATGGCAGCGTTCAAAGAATCCTTGCGAACGAGTTGCATATGAAAAAGGTATCTGCGCGTTGGGTACCCAGAATGTTAACCGACGAGCAAAAGAAAAATCGAGTTGACATTTAGAGGGTCAATCTCGAAAAGTTCCAAGCAGATCAAGAAAATTTTTTGTTCCGTTTTGTGACTATGGACGAGACCTGGATCCACCATTTTGATCGAAACGAAACAACAATCGATGACTTGGAAGCGAGCAGTGGCGAAGCTTCAATTAAAGCCGAAAAGCCGGGCTTGCCTTATTAAACCTGAATCAATCAATAATATCAACTAATAAAATAACTCGTAAAATGTTTCAAGCTATTTCAAATTTCCCGCGCACTCCACTGTTCGACACATGTCGACCGATGACCTTGTAATGCCTTAGCGATACTGCTGCTGTCATAAAAAATTAGCTTTAATAGAGCTAATAGTTGGCTTCCTCGCTCGCGTGGGCTTTTTACGGGCCTTCGAGAAGACGATCGCTCTCTTTCTAACCTATGGCAAAATATTCTATAATGAAATATAACTACGATTGTATATATAGCAATTAGTATAGAGATTTAAAGCCAGGCTTTTGGGAATAAATTTGTTAAAAGCGGAGGCGGGCGGGCAATACGTTTGCAAGTTCATTTCACGTTTCAATGTTTATTTACTCTGCGTGCTTATCTTAAGCGATTTAATATTACGAGTTCAAAATTTATGCTTTTTTAAAGATTTTTAATGAAAATGGAGGATAATAGTGTTCCTTGTGATGAATTGAAGTGTGTTAAAGTGATAATCAAAACAAATAATTGGCTAGCACAAAAATTTCTTTTTCGGGGATTCCTCCACTAGCACTGGCACTATGTATAATTCGGGGATCTCCGCAAAAGAGCCTGACGCTTTCGAAGTCTCTTCAAGATGTAGCTTCATTGTTCAAGATCGTACAAACTAATGTTTTGCCTTTGGCGAATACTGAAGAACTGAAATTAACTCCATCTAAATTTACTGATTTTTATGATGAGGTCTCAGAAACCGAATTACTTTTGGAGATACCAAGACTGCGAAGACACTTAAAAGCCGCTAATGTTACGGTTACTGATCGGCTGTCTCTAGATTTTTTTTAAATTTATTATAATATTTTTAAATGTTAATATATATATATATATATATATATATATATATATATATATATATATATATATATAGATTGCACTGAAATTCTTCATGACGGTTTGCGTGTCCGTAGCTTCATGTGAGAGGAGTTTCAGTAAATTAAAATTAATAAAAAACTATTTGCGGGTCAACAATGACCCAATCGCGGCTTAGCAATCAAGGTATATTAGCCAACGAACACGAGGCAATACAAAATACAAATTTCGATGAAGTTATTGCTGAGTTTACAGCTGTCAAAGCTAGAAAGAAGAAATTTTAATTGTATAACAATTCCTTTTCTGTCTTAGTTATTATTGTGTTTTGTTATTTCTTCAATATTATAAATAATAAATGATCCATGTCTTTTATCATATAAAATTTATTGCTTTTTACTTTCGATGGGGTGACACCACAAACTTCCGCACCGGGTGCCACCCAAGGTAGCTACGCCACTGATAATAATAGTAAAATTGAAATTTTGTACACCCTATTCCAATATAAATAAAATGAGAACATTATTAATGAAGTTGAAGAATTAAATACGCATTATTAAGGATAACTCGAAAACACTCTTGAATCCAATAACAATTTCGATCCAATGTCAATTTTAATCCAATCAATTTCAATGTTGACAAATTACCGACATCCATTTTGAGCGCGAGAATCACTCGTCACCTGGACTCAAATCAGGTGATGTCGCGCGCTCAAAATGGATGTCGGGGCGGCGGTCGTGGAACCAAGGAACCACTCCTCATAGACGCGGTCATTGGCAAAGTGGTGAAACGCAACCGTCGGAACTTTTCCGCCGCCTGGATAGACTACAGAAAGGCATTTGACTCGGTGCCCCATACATGGCTAAAGAGGGTCCTCGAGCTGTACAAGACTGACTGTATAGTTCGAGACTTCCTCAGGCAGTGTATGGAGCAATGGAGTACGATCCTCCGTCATCTAGGCGAGCGGATGACGGCTGCGGAGAAAGCCGCATAAGAAGGGGTATATTCCAGGGCGAAGTTTATCACGCAGAGAAACTCCGAGCATTGCCCTCTCCATAGCTCGCAGAGCGACCTTGAGCGTCCTCATACGGCCAGCAGTGAAGGACCACGTCTCAGATCCATAAGTAATCACTGGCAACACGCACTGGTTGTACAATCGAGTTTTGAGATTTTGAGGCATGGCTGACGAGAAGATGTGTCGGATCCGTCGATTGAACTCTCGGTCGAAGTTGGACTTACCTAGTCAGACTACTTGTCCCAAGTAAACATATTCGTCAACAACTTTGAGCTTAGGGCTCCCAACAACCAACAGCATACGTGTGACATGGACATTACACATGACTTTCGGTTTGTTCATGTTTATCTTAAGACCTATCCATTGGGGGACACTATTGAGATCATTAAGCATTGTGCTTAGGTCCTCCAGCGATTCCGCCATAAGGACTATATCGTCTGCAAATCAAAGGTGAGTGATGTATTCGGCATTGACGTTAACACGTATCCTTTCCAGTCCAGTAGATTCAAAACGTCTTCCAATGCAGCGGTGAAGAGTTTCGGGGACAACGTCACCCTGTCTTACACCTCTCTGCAGTTGCATAGGTTTCATACTCTGGTTCTGCACTCGGACAGCCATCGTAGCCCTACTGTACAAACATTTCAGCACTTCGGTATACCAACCGTCAACTTGGCACCGCTTGGCAACTTGGGACTGCAGCACCGCCCAAATTTCGACGGAATCAAAGGCTTTCTCATAGTCCACATATATGCAAGACAAAGTGGCAGATTGTACTCTTCGGACTTCTATACAATCTGGCGCAGGGTATATATTATGTGGTCTATGGTACTGAAGCCTTTTCTGAAACCGGTTTGTTTGGGAGGCTGGAAGTCGTCGAGTCTGCGTGCGAGACGAATCGTAATCTCGAAAACGGCACGTAAACGCGGCTCAGAAGGGAAATCGGTCTGTAGTTCTTCAAGAGAGCGTTATCGCCTTTCTTGAAGAACAAGACCACTGCACTTTAGTTCCACGCCTCCGGAGTAGTGCCGCCATGGAGGGCGGAATTGAAGAGTTTCTGAAGGACTTTAAGTATCTGTTTTCCACCCGCTTTCAAAAGCTCCGCTGTAATTCCATCCTCGCCCGGGGACTTGCCGTTTTTAAGGTGCTAGTCTCGCTCAGACTGCCGTCCGGGATATCATCGGATTAGTGTCGGATAAGAGTTTCTATTGCATCGTTACTCACATTTGCTTGTGGCTCCAACGATGACGTGTACAGCTGCCCATAGAACCTCTCAATCTCACTCAGAATCTCAGGTGTCCCGGAAACGATGTTGCTACATTCAGTCTTCAGCCTCGACAGTTGGCTCTTTCTGACAAACAGATCAGATCTCTTTCTGGCAAAGACTTTGAAGCCCTGGTTACTAGTACTGGTGCCATGATCACATATCGCTCTCTGGTATAGTGGACCAAAACTAATAAAGCCACCACTATCAAAAAGCTTCAGTGTTAACAGAGATTGGCATGTGTGGCTGCCACGGGCTGCAAAAGAACTATACCGACATCAGTTTTAGAGGCTATACTGGGGCTAACACCGCGTCATCTACATATACAACAAGAAGCAACTTTAGCTGTCATTAGACTCAAGACCCTAAATCTTTTAAGTAAGAGTACAGTCCCCCATACAGGTATTATTCGATAAGAAGTACAAGATACAATTAAATGAAACTGACCAGCCGGAGAGATTAAATCCAAAAGAGCTTAAGAGTTTTCACAAATGGTTCTAAAACAAATGAAGGTGTAGGATCTGAAACTTTCTCTGAAGACCTTAATACCCAAATATATACACCGCTGGGTACCACATATAACACAGTCTTCCAGAAGGAATGTATGGGTATCATCCAAGCGGCCATAGCCTATATAGCCATATATAGATGCTAGGAAGGTAAAAGACTTCTCCATCAGAATACTGACCGACAGTATGGTGGTACTACAAGCTCTGAGTTGTAATGTGGTGAACTCGGGACTAATATATGAATACCATCAACAATTAAATGAGGTATGTAAGCACAACAATGTGACTCTGCAATAGCTTAAGGGACACAGTGCATCTAGAGGCAACGATGCAGCAGATGAACTGGCCAGAAGGGGATGGTGTCTGGCCACTATAGGGCCCGAACCAATAATACCAATCCCCTTTAGCTACCTTCGTTCACTGGTACGTAGAAACTTCAATAATTTACACGCTCAGCTTTGGAAAATTTAGTAGACTGTAGACAAGCTAGGGAGGTCCTTCCTGAAATAAACAGTCGTTTAACCATGGTTCTAATGAGACTGAACAAGCCACAGATCGGGATAGTAACAAGTGCTATCTCAGGACATAGCTCATTTAACAAACATTTATTTACCATAGGTGTTACAGATAGCCCCCATATGTAGGGCATGCATAGGGGAGGAAGAAACGGCGGCTCACGTGTTGCTGATATGTCCGGAGATCGCTTCTTACAGGGCTAAACATCTCGGCACGCCGAGATCACTCCCCGAAGTTGCTTACAACATCAAAGGACTGTTGAACTTCTTCGGGGAGATTTCACGGCTCGAATAATCACAATATTAAATAAAATTTAATTTTTTTTTAAATTTAAAAAACATCCAAAAATTAAATAATAATTTCAATAGAGAAGATGGTTGGGTGCTACCATCTGCTTGGAATCCTATAATTAACAAAATTAAACCAAAACCCAAGCATACCACTACTGCAAGACTTCATGATACTTAAAGCTCGTTTTGCGTAAATCGGACCAAAAATTAATATTAAAAAAAACTGAAGGTAGCCGGACTAACTATGACATTGGGACGTCAAACATCTCAGTCCCCCCCCCGTGACCATGGGTGCTGTAAAGCACCCGAAACGTCGGGATAATAATAAAAATAAATTAAAGTAATTAAACGCGATAAAATCCGTAAATAATAGTTTTATTCAATGTGTAGTGTTCGCGTAAATTTAAGAAATCATTAAATCACAATATTAGTAATGTTAATTATAAATACCATTTAGTTATTTTTTTAATTAAAATTTAAACATATTGTGGTTGCAAGCTTTTAATATGTATTAGATATCTGTGGAAACTTCATTGGTTTCAGGATTACTTTTATATGTTTTATAATGTATTTTTATTGTACTGTATGTTTCCCTTAAAAAGCAAATAAATAAATAAAATAAAAATAAATAAAAAAGACACATAAACTCATAAAATATTACATTGGAGAAAATGAGACAGTAAGTATTATAAGCTTAATACTCGCGAGAAAAAAACTTAAACGCGTTTTGTTCTACTAGATGTTCAACGAAGGTGTCTTGTGTGCGAACGGCCAAACCTCAACTTCGTATTGGTATAATTGATATAAATCTTTTTGTAATTACATAGGAAGTACTATATAAGGTATATCGAAAAGAGTATTAACATTCGAAGGGAAATTAATCTACTCGTCGTAAAAATTAGTAGCTGTCCCGTACTTTTAAAAGGACATAACAATGTCGAAGACTTTTTTAGATATGTTAAACATGGTCGGATTAAAATATGTCGTTTAAACAAAATAAGTAATAAAATAACTGAGTCCAAGTAATACTAATTTGAACAAAAAAAGAACCATCAAAACCGACATTAGGTACTTTCGTGAGTTTCCCATCTGTATGGTTCACTTTTCATAATCTATGATTTTCATACAGAAATGGCAGCAACGTGGCAGCGACAGTAAACAGTAAAAAAATTAACAAATACAATTAACCATATTGAAATGAAAACACTCACTAAAAATTCATGATTTCATAAATTCAGGCCATCCTAGCATCTATTTTACATACCACCTTGGGTGTCAATCAGTTGTTCGATAAAGTGACTACCTATAGAATTAAGTAGGTGATGTAATTATAATAAAAATTTTATTTGAAAGAAAATATAATATCTATGTGTCCAATATATAATAATATATCAAAAGAATTGTTACATTTATTTACTACAAAATTAAATTTTCTTACATTTTATGCCGAACTTGTAGTATAAATTATAATATTAAATAAATCATTTGCCTTAAAGTATTTGTATTTTATATTTCATTTCATTTGAAGGTTTCACTTCTGTTGCGTGTGAGCTGCACGCGTGTTTTTTTGTTAACATTACTTCATTTCATACATAAAATATATTCTCTACGAAGGGTCATATTTAGGTTTTTATTCATGCACTATTTTCTCATTATCACTCATAGAAAAAAACTTAGCTCGTTAACTGTCCCCATACAGAATTTTTCGATAACCCCTGATGTCCAAATCAGTTTTTGCAATATTCTTAATCAAATTTATTCAAAATGACTAATTTTGGATAGTTAGCCCACATAAATAACTAATTAACCGTTTTTTCTTACTTTTTGACCATCTTGTCTAGTTTAGTAGTTTAGCACCACCGTTTAAATAAAAAAATCATCAAAAGTCGGTTAAAATATGTTTATTACTGTTTAATAATATTCAGATTACATGCTGATTTCACGAAAAACGATGAAATCATTTTGCATGTAAAGTATTTTGATAGGCATATATATATTCTAATTCCCTATTGTGTGGATTTATTTATTTACAAGTTGTGTCCTCTGATTATTGAGGCATGTATTTGTCAGAAGTGAATTAAGAAATAATTTAATCAAGCTGATTTTTTTAGGGATTTCATCGCGATTAAATAATTAACTTATTTTTTATTCCTGTCCATTCGAGTACTTGCAACACCTACGGTCTCGGGGGAACTGAGATGTTTCACTTCCCAATGTCATAAATAATCATGGCTACCTTTAGTTTAAATTTATGAATTATTGGTAAAATCTAGGTAAAAAAGACATACAGTTTTAACTAACGTTCTACATAGAAAAACTAATATTATCTTAAAGTATAGCTGAACATTTAGGTTGATACTTGAATTTATTAATTTTATGATTCCATGAAGATAGTAGAACTCAACCATCAGATTAAAATTAGTTAGTATTATATTATAGTACATAGTATAGTAAAATAAGTTAATTGAACGTGATAAAATCCGTGAAAATACTAATTTCATTGTTTGTGTAGTGTGCATTATAAACAGAACTAGCTTGCCAGGCAGACGTTGTTCTGCCCGTTTCGACGACCCTTTGTCATGTCTTATTAAAAATCCTTAAATTCGCAAAAAAAAACTATTCTATCTCTCAAGTTGGACCAAACTGCACACGGTGTGCAAATTTGATTAAAATCGGTTAAGTAGTTTAGGAGTCCATCGCGGACAAACAACGTGACACGTAATTTATATATATTAAGATGGTAGCAGCAGGTGCAAGCTCACCGAGTAGGGCTCCGCCTTGTCGGGCACGATGGCGTGCGGGCGCGCGGGCGCGTCGCTGTTGTCGTTGGCGTCGGTGCCGGCGCGCGCCGCCGCCTCCGCGGCATCGGGCGCTACCAGCGTCGACTCGAACCAAAGCCCAAACAACGGCTCGCTGTCTTCTGGAACAAACGCTCTTGTCATCATTCAACTAATATTACTAATATGTACTACGTTCTAGAAGAGACGCCTACACTTGGTTGTTTGCAGCAAGTGATAAAGCCCACGGGTCTGTGTCATAAAAAGGCACCCAGTGACTCCTGCCGTGTACCCCGTACTGTCGCACAGACTTTATCCGCGGTGTCTATTCTAGTACGTAGTACTAATACTATGGTTTTATTTTCGTAACTCACATTCGTGACACAGTCCGTTCCCCGCTGGCACCAATTAAATTGTTAAATGCAAATAATTTAAGTGCCAATTCACCACGGGCCCACTGGTCAAGGGATATATCCCTTTAAGGCCGGGAAAAAAAATCTAGCGTAGCTCGTTTTCGATCTTATATTCTAAGTACCCATATCCAAAGTCATCCTAGAAAAATAATAACCTTCCCCCCCCCCCTGAGAAAACGTCATGTCACGATAGTGCGATGTCGGCTTTACCTTGTCTATCAGAATTTTTTAAGGTATAATTTTGCTATGTATGTTTTTGTAATTTATAATGAAAAAAGGCATGATTATTCGTAATTATTTATTTTTATAAATGAAAAATTAATTAATCAACATTTAAACTAAAAAATAACTTCTTGAGATCAATCATTTCTTAAACATTTTGGTACAATAACTTTGAAATAAAATCTTAGGAAACTTAGCCTATGAAAGGATGTGAAACAGTTGCCTTTTCTGTTAAGACAAAGATACACGTTGCATTTTTCACATCTTATCTTGGATCTACTTGTACACCCTTCCATTCTACAGGATCGAGGGTTTTCGATCTCGTCAAATACCGGGTATGTTCATAACCATCGTGACGTTTCGCCTCTGAAGGTACATTAGCCGGTCAGTATCTCTTGGCAGGAATATTTGGGTCGACATTTTCCGGATCTTGAGCCTCCAAACCTTCCATGTTTTCAACAGGATCTTGTTCTGGCCTTGGACGATCAGGGGTATTGGTAAGAAAATCAGCTACTTGCAATTTGTTTTATCCCATCGCTTCACGAAAATATGATCGTCTGCCGAAGTGCAATTGAATGCTGCCAGAACGGATTTGTTGTTCCTCCAGTGCACATTTACAACTATTTACGAACTGTTCAGTATCTCCTCGGTTCATTTCACGGTCCTTTTTAAAAGTCATATATTTTTTGTCAGGTATTCTATTCATCATAACCGTTCCTGTGCCATGCATTCCTTTATCAGATAATCTTTCCAAGAGAGGTATTGACGTGAAATAACGATCGAAATAAATGCAACTTCCTGGGGGAATGGATTTGGAAAGGTGCAAAATAACTGCTGCACCCGCACCCAGCAACAGCTTCAGTCGGTCTCTTGGAATGATATCAGCTACTAATGCCAGTCTCATTTCTTGCCTCCCGTACATATGAAGTCGTGGATAAGTTATGCACCCCATTATAAAATGCACACCAATGAATTTCTTCATTTCTACAGGATTAGTATAAAGAACCCTTCCAGTTTGCCTCAAGTAGTAATTATTTGTGCAGTAAGCAGCTTTCTCATAAAATGCATAGTCAAAATAGTCCTCGAAGTATTCGAGAGGCGTTCTAATTGTTTGTTGCTCCCGTGGCGGAAAATTATGTTATTTTTGGTCAAATGGAATAGATTTCCATAGCCTTCGCCTAGACGGATCCCTGTTGAGTTGAGCTGCCTGGGACTGAGCACGAACGCTAGGTGGCGGATTACCAGATAAATCAGGGAGCTGATCATTTCTACTCATGCGGTCCCTCATGTGGTACCGAGAAGTACTATGAGATGTGCTTGGTGCGCTTGATGAACGATCAGGTAGATGATGCCGGCGACTTACAGAAAGACCACGTTGAGAGACACCACGATTTCGTTGCGAAGGTCCTCGACCTCTCTGTGAATTCCCACGACCACGTTGAGATCCAGCTCAGATTGTATTCGGACTAGGACTTATTTCTGGTACCTGAAAGTTAATGGTTTCTTCTTCTTGCTCGCTGTTAGAAATATCATCGTCCGATTACGACTGACCCACCACCCGATCTGGTACAGCCTCAATGCCTTCCTCTTCATGACATTCCTCATCTTCGAAACCCTCTATCTCAGACTCGTTTCCGCCTGCTATCAATTCTAGTAAGTATTCCGAGGTTAATGTTCTTTCTGCAACAGAAAAAAGAGCGTTTTGTAATTTTTTTTACTGATTAAAAACATTAAAATAATTGATCTAATTTTTAATCAACATAAATTTTGATAGACGAGTTAAAGCCGGACTCGCACTATCGTGCGTGTTTGAACCAACAACCAAGTATCTTCGTGTCCGATAGAGGTATGCATTGAACTATAGTTGTCTCATTGACTTGACTTTATTACCTATTAAAATCGCACAATCAATGTAGTCAATCACTATTAAAAATATTTTTAATCATTACTTACTTTTTCCACGCGCGTCGATCAGCTGCACCGCCATTTTGAAAAGGGCAGAAATCTGCGACAACTTCTCACAAGTATAACCTTTGCGGCAAAATTCACACTATACTAAACGGACTACCGTGTGGTACCGGCCGTGTCTTATAAAGTTGATCGAGGGCGCGCACGATCGTATAAGAGCGTCGTTAAAGGGATATTGCATTGATATCGACATGTCTGAGAATTTAAAATTCGAAGACGTAAGAAATCTGCCAACATGTTAAATGTGAAATCAAATAACTTTTGTAAAATTAGAAACTACTAATGCTCGGTTCCTATATTTATTAAAACATCAGAAAAACTACTCTGAAATTCAAAACAGTATATAAATATACATATATAGAAGAGGGGGTAAACCAGCGTGCAGCTCACCTGATAGTAAGTGACTACCGCCGCCCAAGAACAACTGGCTTTTTAGAAAGGAGTAAGCTCTTTTTTGAAGGTCCCTAAGTCGTACCGGTCCGAAAAAATCGCCGATGTTAAAAGATTCTACAGAGGTTGTAAGATGAAGAAAACTCTTAGTAAAATGCGCAGCATCCAGATGGTGTGATTGGTATCGTGAGTTTTATCCCGATGTGTGTCGTGAAATTTGGCGGCTGGAATTAATCCGAACAATTCCTCAGAGCACTCCCCGTGGTAGAAGCGATAGAAAATGCAAGGAGATGCAACATCCCTTCGCAGCGCCAGTGAGTCGAGCCAATCAGAAAGGACTCGGTCAACGATTCGAACCGCTGCGCTAGCCGCGGTCAAGTGGAAGGAGCTGGCACTGCAGTGCCCCGGGCCGGGGATGAGAACAGTATTCCATGTGAGGCTGAACTTATGCCTTGTAAAGTTACAAGCGGTATGCCGGCATGGAAATACTTATTTTATTTATTTATTTATTTACACTTTATTGTACTAAAGGTACAAACGGCGGACTTAATGCCATATGGCATTTTCTATCAGCCAACCGGAAAGTTGCAAAGTGTGTGTACTCCAGTGGGCTAGGATGAAACCTAAAATTGATAAATTTCACATACACATACACCCCCCCCCCACACACACACACACCCACACACACACCACACACATACATACTTGTGTCATCACTTGTTCATCACTTGTTCTTACTAACCCTACCACTGACCACTGTACAGTCATTCTTGATGTGATGTTTGAACCTCTGCGACGCAATCTGACACTAAAAACCAAAATTTTAATCAATTTTGATGCCACTTTGAATGACATTAAGGCGGACTTACCTGATATATTAACAATAACAGACCCTTCTGAAGCTGCCCAGGTTTTGGTTAATAAAATCTCCACTGCGATTAAAAACAACCAAACTATAAAAAGTGTCCCTTCAAGAAAGATACATATCAAGCCCTGGATAACCTCTGGAGTTTTACGTTGCCTTCGCAATCGCGACAAACTTCATCTAAAACTAAAAAAGTATCCGTTTAATGAAATCTTGAAAGTAACCTATACACGTTACAGAAATTATTGTAGTAAACTTGTTCGAAAACTTAAAATAATGCACGAAAGAAACAATTTAACGAGGGCTAATAAAAATCCTAAATTACTGTGGAAAACTATAAAATCTATATGTAATATAAACAATAATAAAAATGACTACATACATAACCTACTCTCACTTAAATCCACACCGATGGAAGCTGCAAATTGTGCTAATAATTACTTCTCTAACTTAGGTAAACGTCTAGCTGAAAACTTATTACCGTCCCCTATGTCTTATAATTCTATTCGTGGCATAAATAATATTAAATGTCCCTCTTCATGCAATTCTTTAGTTCTTTTAGCAACAGATACAGCAGAAATCAATACAATCATCTGTAACTTATCTAACGACTCCGCCCCCCGGGTGGGATAACATTCCTACTACTTTTAATAAAAAGGCCAAAAATTATCTCACCCCCGTCCTTTGTCATGTGTATAACCTCTGTTTCGACAAAGGCTGTTTTCCCTCTGTTTTCAAAAAAGCTATTGTTACACCCATCTATAAAAGTGGAAATAAAGATGAAATTGAAAATTATAGGCCTATCTCTGTACTTCCAGTTCTGGCAAAAATTTTGGAAAAGCTCATTAACAACCGCATTAACGAATTCCTTTACAAAAACAGCTTGCTATCAAATAATCAACTTGGCTTCAGAAATGGCGTCTCCACTGAAGACGCAGTTCTGGCACCTTCCGACACTATCTGTAAGCACCTAGATGCAGGCTATAAATGTGTCGGCGTCTTCCTGGATCTTGCAAAGGCGTTCGACTCTGTTTCAATTCCAATATTATTACATAAGCTTTATCATATTGGCATAAGAGGGACACCCCATAAGCTATTCACAGACTACCTAACGAATCGCCTACAGCATCTAAAACTTGGTGACGTTATCAGCCAGTTCATCTCCCATTACTTACGGCGTTCCACAAGGCAGTGTACTCGGACCGACATTGTTTTTGATATATGTGAATGACCTCTGTAGTCTCAAACTTCCCAATTGCGATATATATTTACCTATGCGGATGATACCGCGCTGATTTTTCAGTGAAGAGTTGGGATTCTCTTAGAATTACGACTGAATCAGGATTACGACATATATCAAATTACTTAAGATCACATCTATTAACACTTAATGTATCAAAAACCCAATTTGTTCCTTTTACGATACGAAAATCTACCTTACCACACTCGGACTTTGCTCTCAAAATTCATAGCTGCTCCCAACACCAGGCGAAAAATTGTCAATGTGTTGATATTGCTAGATCGTCTACTATTAAATATCTAGGTATCACTATTGACCAGCATCTTATATGGAACAAACAAATTGAGTGTACCATTGACAAGGTAAGAAAGCTTATGTGGGTTTTTAGAAGGCTCAGACATGTCGCAGATAATAAAATCCTTATATGTACGTATAAAGCACTAGCCCAATCTGTTTTAAGCTACTGCATTACAGCGTGGGGTGGAGCAGCTAAGTCCTATTTAATAACTCTTGAAAGGGCTCAGAGAGCATTACTGAAAGTGATGTTCTTTAAACCAATCCGTTTCCCAACTCATGAACTACACAATTCTTACAAAATCTTAACAACCCGCCAAATGTACATTTTAAAGAGTGCCATTCGAACCCACAGCACTTTACCATACACTGCCCCTCAGACACTAAAACGTAGAATTTTACCTGTTTTCAATATTCCATATTGTAAAACCAAATTTAAGAAAAAACAATTGGCCTATCAATCAAAGCATCTATATAATAAATTAAATAGTAGGCTTAACATGTATCCCCTCACTTGTGCTAAATTAAAAAAAATTGCTAACAACTACTCTGCTTAGCCTCAACTATGAAGAAACAGAACTGCTTATTCGCTAAACGCGCACGCGCGCACGCACGCACGCACGCACGCACGCACGCACGCACGCACGCACGCACGCACGCACACACACACACACACACACACACACACACACACACACACACACACACACACACACACACACACACACACACACACACACACACACACACACACTTTCACTCTTTCTTAAGTATCAAAAATGTCATCAATTCATGTCTTAAGGATTGTTAAAGCACTAATATAATATGTAATATCCTATGTTTCAAATTGTTAAAATTTATCTGTTGGAAGAGCGGGGTACCCCGTAACACAGATTTTACCAACCCAGTACAGGGGCCCTTGCCACTTGTCTGTTACTACCTTTTGAAACGCAATAAACAATTTTTAATTTTTTTTCATTTTTTTTATTACCGTAGCTCAAACTTAATTAAATATATATAAGGATCTAATAGATTAAAAGTTATAGATTATTTATATATTTATACTGTCCTGCTCTGCTGAACACGCCAAGTTTTAGCTTAAGTATTTATTGTTAGTTGACACATGACAAAAATTTTGATCAATATTGTTTTAAACTAGCTATGTAAGTTAATTAAACTTATAGATTTGCTAAAATATACTACTAAGGGGTAAATTGGATACCAAAATCGTATAGCAACTTAACTATTACTGTAATTTTGAGAAAGATTAGTATGTTATATACAACTATTACATACATAATATCAACTGTAACTATTTAAGACCAATTACCATCATCAGTTTCAGAGTCTTCGGAGCATAGAATCATGTCCTGGAAGTAAACAGTGGAGTCGGAGCGGTCGGGATCAGCATCCTGGTGCTGCTTCTGCACAACGGCGCGCTTCAAATTTGTTGCTTTGCGATAACACACTACGCCAAGTGCTACCAAGAGCTAGAAAAAAAAAGCAATTAATATTATGGTTTTGTTGCTTGTTTTTATAACTGTTATGAAGTATTAAATTGTAACTACTATTGAGTATGTAAACTAGTGCTTAATGACATATGCCGGTTGGCGTTTGTCGGCCTTTATACAGCCAACAGTAAAGCACCGAGAAATGTCACTGATTTTAAAAACTGTGACAAAGAGGATAATGCTTCAAAGTGTTCACCCAACGGAATAAATCGATCATGTCAAATGGATTTCAGTCTCTGCCTACTCCTTTGGGTTAGTCTCTAAATGCATATCAAATCACGCTTTAGCCAACGTTCCACTGTAGTAATCATATTAAAGTACAAATCGTACAGTTCTTCACATGGCGATTATAGAAGATTTATTGCTCATGTAAAATGGAAGCCATGTAAAATGCGCCTCATAGTACAGCACGTATTGCTCGGAGGAAGACGCAGAGGTGTTCTTCTAAGGAGGGGTTTTACTAATGGGTTGCTGGACGTCTGGATTCCTAAGTTGCAAGTTCACATCCCCGCACGTGTACGGTTTTTTTTTTTATAGAACAACCGCAACACCAGGGGAATTGCAGGTGCGTTGCCGGCCCTTTAGAAAGGAGTAAGCTCTTTTCTTGAAGGTCCCCAGGTCGTATCGGTCCGGAAAAATCACCGGTGGTAAATTATTCCACACAGAGGTTGTACGCGCAAGAAAACTCCTTTTGAAACGTACAGTGGTGGACCGCCAAGCATCCAGATGGTGTGGATGGTATCGGGACGTTTGCCGTGTAGTGCGTTCACGAAATTTGGCGGCTGGGATTAATCCGAACAATTCCTCAGAGCACTCCCCGTGATAGATGCGATAAAATACGCAAAGAGATGCAACATCTCTTCGCAGCGCCAGTGAATCGAGCCGATCGGAAAGCACTCGGTCGTCGACGATTCGAGCCGCTCTGCGCTGGATGCGGTCAAGTGGAAGGAGCTGGTACTGGGGAGCCCCAGCCCAGAGATGGGAACAGTATTCCATGAGCGGCCGAACCTGCGCCTTGTAAAGTTGCAGGCGGTGTGCCGGCATGAAATACTGTCCCGCTCCGCTGAGCACGCCAAGCTTTTTAGAGGCCAGTTTGGCCTTCCCTTCCAAGTGACCACGAAACTGCACGTCACTCGATATGTCGACGCCGAGGATTCCGATACTGGCTGAGGCAACAAGGGGAGTGCCTTGAAACTGAGGGGATACGACAAAGGGGTTCTTTTTAGCGGTTAACGCGCAAACTTGTGTCTTCTGGGGGTTAAACTGGACTAGATTTAGTCGCCCCCAATCCGAGACTCTGTCCAGCAGAGACTCGACTTCAGACACAAGTTTGTCCCGGCACTCAGAGACGTTTTCCCGAGAAAAGCGGGTGTAAAGAGCATCACCAGTGCTGTCATCTGCATAGCAATGAATGCTACGGGTTTGCAACATATCATTGATATGCAGAAGAAACAGCGTTGGCGATAGCACGCAGCCCTGTGGAACATCAGCATTAATAAGCTTGCAATCGGAGCTTGCACCGTCTACAACGACCTTGATGCTCCGATCCGCAAGAAAACTGGTGATCCAATCGCACAATTTCTCGGGAAGCCCATAGGAAGGGAGCTTCGAAAGAAGCGCTTTGTGCCAAACCCGATCGAAGGCCTTCGCAATGTCCAAACTAACGGCCAATGCCTCCCCCTTGGACTCTACTGTCTCCGCCCATCTGTGAGTTAGGTAGACCAGAAGATCACCAGCTGACCTACCACGGCGAAAACCGTATTGGCGGTCACTAATCAGCTGGTGATCCTCAAGGTACCTCATGAGCTGGCAGTTTACAATGGACTCCATTGTTTTGGAGAACAAGGAGGTGATGGCGATAGGCCGGTAGTTGGACGGGTCTGAGCGGTCGCCTTTTTTAGGGATCGGGTGGACGAAAGCCGTCTTCCATGATTTTGGGACTACGCCTAGGGAGTAGGAGTACCGGAAAAGACGCGTTAAAACCGGTGCCAACTCTGGAGCACACGTCCTCAGCACAATTGGGGGGATTCCATCAGGCCCACTCAGGTATTTACCCACGACAAAAAGAATTGGGTTATGGAACAGCCCTACCATTGCCGTAGTATTGACTCTGCGCTCGGCAAACACCTGCACAGCTAGGCATATGGTTTGTGTTTAGTGAACTTATGAGAAGGTGAGAAAAAAGGTAATTGGAAAATAAGGCAAATAGAGTGAAATAAAGTAAGGAGGGTAGGAAAGAAATGGAGACTTGAATGAAAAAGAGGGCGAATATTGAGCTCTATTAGCCAGCTAAAGCTAAGCTATTATATTTGAGAAATACCCACACTCTCATATCAGCACTCCGACATGATCGGAGAGAGATCAGTCGTATAACAACAACAAACTTCTTGACTCCGGGTAGCTACTGAGAATTTGGCTTTACCTGATTTTTGGCCCGACCTGGTACCAAGCATCAAGATCAGCAGTTACGCTTATGAGCATTAGACTAACTAGTCAAGTTACATAGGGCACATTGAAAGTTCTACGCTTCGTGGAATGTTATTTTTTAAAACATGAAAACTCTAAAACTTGATTAAAATAATTTTGGCGGGAAGTCGGGTGTTGTTTATTCAAAAGTTGAAGTATGTCATCTAATAGCAAAAAATGGAATTAACGAGGAAAGATATTAGATCAATGATCTAAATGATTTTAAAAATTCACTCTGTGCAAGATTACAGTATTCGTCTTAAAAATGTTTTGGGCGGTGATAACGCATCTATAGCCTTCTTCTAAGTTGGCTGCAGGTGCACAAGGACTGCAGTAGTCAAGCTAACCATCTAATAGACTGTGTATGGTTTTTAGCGCTTCATACTTGCCCTCTCCTTCTTTTAAACTCTCTCTCTCCACACACACAGACTGAAGAAAAATCATAATGGACGTTCAAATGCTGTGTATGCCATTGTGACAGGAGATGATTGTGACATTCCGGAAAGAATGCATTAGCCTTCTGTATGGGAGTTCGAAGTTGTCAGCAAACAATATAAAAAAAAACGAGTGTGCTTATGACCACACAACTGTAGTAAAACTATATATATCCTATACCTTTAAACGAGCAATTCTTCTATATATAATCGGAATCTCGGAAACGGCTCCAACGATTATCATAAAATTTTGTGTGCAGGGAGTTTCAGGGCAATAAATCGATCTAGTTAGGATTTATTTTTAGAAAATGTATTTTTGTCCGTGTTTTTAGGTAATGAAAGACTGCTACAATATCGTTAGAATAAGAATGTAAATTTTGACAGTTTATTAATGATTACAAATAGCTTAATTGGTATATTGGGCGGTCACAAAATCGTAATACCATGGTTCGAGCCCAGACCGACCGACCGACTTTTTTAATTTTTTTTTTCAAGTTCTTTTCTTTATTTGAGAAAATCTATTTTATCGAGCCCTTTTTTTAGTATTTTTTAAAAACACGAAAATTTTAATTAAACTAATTGCACTCATGATTTTTTATTGATATAACCAGTTTTTTCTGTTATGTCGCTAAGATCAAAAAATATTATTCGTATTTCATCGGTATGTAATTTGTATCTAAATAGAATTTCCAAAACACACGAATTAAAAAAAAACCGAGCGAATAATACCGAGCAAAGCTCGGTCAACCTGGTACTATATATATACAACGTGTCCCCAAAATTCAACGATAAGCCAACACCGGAGGATAGACCTGCCCCGGACTAATCCGGGAAAAAAAGAAAAAAAAATATATCCTAATTATATTTTAAGTTATATAAAAAAAATGAAATTCTTCAGAAATTGAGACCGTTTATGATATTTTTCACTATCATGACCACAATTTTTTTAATATTTGTTTCTTTTTTTATATAGGCAACCTGAATAGCACTGCTATCTACCACAATTCTTAAAAAATCCAGAATAACTCTTGTTTTATCACGAAAATTAATGAAACTTTTTTTATTCCCCAAATTTTTTGAAGACTTTTACTTTTAACCAAATTTAACTTATCGTGGTGTAAAAAAAAAGTATGAACACTAGTATGGCAAGTTTTTTAAAAATTGACGCAACTAACCAACATTCCAAAATGGTATTATACTCTAGGAAAACAAGTTATAAAAAAATATGGGTCTATTATTTCTTGACAGGGGCCAAATTTCTTAAATTGTAATTGTCAGTAATCACTTTTACTACATGACCAAAATGGGTTCTTGTTACAATTTCTAGGAATTTTAATGGGGCATACATACCCTAGATGTTAGAGAGAGATAGATAGATAGACATATTTACGTTAAAAAGAGACAACAACAGGGCAGGTAGAGAAGCTGTTATTATTCTCAGCAAGTCAGTTCAGTACGCTCTGCTCCTTTGTTTACTGCGCACCGTTCCCAATTCAACTTACGTGGCTCTCGTACATACTATCGACTTTTGGCTTGGCTTTTTGGACTGGAATCGACCTGCAAACTTAACTGGCCTGGCATTATTTGGACTGGAAATGATCAGCAAACTGAACTGACCTGGCATTATCTTGCACTACGATTGTGTGTTTTGTGATTTAGAGTTCTGGAGCATTTTGGACTGTTTGGCATTTAACACGCCGCAACCGTACACACACTATGGAGAATGCCGATGTAATGCTAACGCTGCTAGCAGACTGTATCGAGAAAGATACCCAAATGCTCAAAGATATCCTGATTATCGAGTATTTATTAATATGCATCAAGCGTTTTCGGAGGTTCGTATGCCATCCAATAGGAGAAGCGCTGGAAGACTTAGATTGGATCGTGATGAAGAAGTTCTCAATGAGATAGAAAATGATTCGACTATTTCGGTACGTGCCATAGAAGAAGCTACAGGAATCCCGAAAAGTCGAAATAATGCCAGGCCAGTTAAGTTTGCAGGTAGATTCCAGTCCAAAAAGCCAAACCAAAAGTCGATAGTATGTACGAGAGCCACGTAAGTTGAATTGGGAACGGTGCGCAGTAAACAAAGGAGCAGAGCGTACTGAACTGACTTGCTGAGAATAATAACAGCTTCTCTACCTGCCCTGTTGTTGTCTCTTTTTAACGTAAATATCTCTATCTATCTATCTATCTCTAACATCTAAGGTATGTATGCCCCATTAAAATTCCTAGAAAGTGTAACAAGAACCCATTTTGGGCATGTAGTAAAAGTGATTACTGACAATTACAATTTAAGGAATCTGGCCCCTGTTAAGAAATAATAGACCCATATTCTTTATAACTTGTTTTCCTAGAGTATTATACCATTTTGGAATGTTGGTTAGTTGCGTCAATTTTTAAAAAAACTTGCCATACTAGTGTTCATACTTTTTTTTTACACCACGATAAGTTAAATTTGGTTAAAAGTAAGTCTTCAAAAAATTTAGGGAATAAAAAAGTTTCATTAATTTTCGTGATAAAACAAGAGTTATTCTGGATTTTTTAAGAATTGTAGTAGATAACAGTGCTACTCAGGTTGCCTATAAAAAAAAAGAAACAAATATTAAAAAAAATTGTGGTCATGGTAGTGAAAAATATCATAAACGGTCTCAATTTCTGAAGAATTTAATTTTTTTATGTAACTTAAAATATAATTGGGATATATCTTTTTCTTCTTTTTTTCCCCGATTAGTCCGGTGCAGGTCTATCCTCCGGTGTTGGCTTATCGTTGAATTTTGGGACACGTTGTATAAAAAAAAAATATATATATATATATATATATAGTACCCGGTTGACCGAGCTTTGCTCGGTATTATTCGCTCGGTTTTTTTTTAATTCGTTTGTTTGGAATATATATATATATATATATATATATATATATATATATATATATATATATATATATATATATATATATATATATATATATATATATATATATAAACACACTCCTGTCACCCAGAGAGGTAGGCAGAGACTACAGACTTCCATTTAGCACGATCCTGACATACTTCGCTCGCCTCTTCCACATCCACATACCTACGCATACATGCTCGTCGGTTAAGGGTACTCTTAATTTGGCCCATTTTTAGTAATATATGTATAATATATACATGTATATACATATATTAATTTTCTACAAATATTTAAATTTATTATCGGCTTCCTTCCATTATGTGTTATTATTCAACCGGAAATTCACAAAACGTGAACTTTAAAATGAATTTACAATTTTATTTACTTTAAACATAATGTTTAATGTATTGAACAAAATATTAATTCATGAAACTGTTCAAAACGAAATAAAATTACGAAAAGTAACTATTATGTATATGTATGAGAGAAAGAGCTTTTTTGCTTATATCACCCACTCAACTCCCGTTCGTCTGGCCCGATCACACTTTTCGTAACGCTTTAGTCACGCGTTCGCCAGCTTACTCTACAAGTCAGCGTGCGTAAAGAAGAAAAGTTTACGGTTTTTTTTTTCTTTATGGGTCCTGTCTACACACTTGCGGAGCAAAAGAAGGTAAATGCTGAGTGGTGCTCTACCATTTCTTTGCCCAGAGCCTTTGAAGTTGGGGGAGGACGACCAAGAATTGGCACCTGTAACTCTATGACAGTGCAACACGCGAAAAAGACAAGGTCAATTTTTGCTTCTGAAAAGGTGAAATACGTGACAGTCTAAACCTTACAACAATGCTTCGGAACATACCGTGAAAAATATAAAGTCATTTGTAGCTTTTTAAAAGGTGGAGCTCGTAACCCATCCCGAATGCAATTCAGAGCACGTACCTGGTGCAAGGGTGCGGCGTGCGCAAGACGGAGCTCACGCTCGTGCGCGGAGTGGTGGTCGAGCACGTGCAGTGGCGCCGGCTCGTCGGCCGTGGCCGGCTCGCAGCCCAGCGCCTCCAGCCGCGCGTCGCCCAGCAGGGCACCGCTCCACGCCAGCCAGCGCCCGCCCAGCGCCACCCACACCACACTCAGACCCTGCTGCCTGCACACATATCACGCATGCTGCTTACATACCGTTACTCTTTAAACAAGTTTGTTTCTCATTGCTGAACCCAGCAGACGTTTTTATTTTATTTTAGCGCATACAGTTTAATTTATTAATTGCCGCACTATAATTGAAAAATAGCAAATAAAATCAAACATTTCAAATTTTGTTTGTCTAATTTTTTTTTCAAATTTTTTCCTTTATAAATATAATCCTTCTCCATTGAAAATACACATAATGGATGACTCTTACAGTCTAGAAAAAAATAGTGTAACATGTGAATGGAGTAGAAGCCTATGGCACTGATATTTTACAAAAAAATAGAAACAAAAATTGAATTAAATAAATAATTAAATAATTAAAATGTTACTAAATTCAAATTATATCCACTCTATTTAACGATCAGCAATAAAACAATAAATGTATATATTGTCCAGTGTCAGTGTTTTTGAAAGAGCTATCCAACAATACCCTCAATCAGTCAATGATTACATTTACTACAGTCAACTGTCCAAATAGTGTCAATATCATAGTGCCATCTATTTTCTATGTTAACATATTACCCTCACGTACGCTGTTATAATTCCAGTGCGTGCAGGTAGTAAAGTGTACAAAGGTCGATCGTCAAGCAGGAAGCGAATTCACTGCATTGCTATTTTAGTAGTATTTATTGATAAGTCTATGCAAATGGTGTTATGAATTCTAATTATCGCCCCCGCATATATTTTTTTTTTTTTTTTTATAGAAGAGGGAGCAAACGAGCATGCGGCTCACCTGATGTTAAGTGACTACCGCCGCCCATGATCAATCGCCACATCAGGAGAATTGCAGGTTGCCGGCCTTTTAGAAAGGAGTAAGCTCTTTTCTTGAAGGTCCCCAGGTCGTATCGGTCCGGAAAAATCGCCGGTGGTAAACTATTCCACAGAGAAATTGTACGCGGAAGAAAACTCCATTTGAAACGTACAGTCGTGGACCGCCAAGCATCCAGATGGTGTGGATGGTATCGGGACGTTTGACGTGTAGTGCGTTCACGAAATTTGGTGGCTGGGATTAATCCGAACAATTCCTCAGAGCACTCCCCATGGTATTTTTTTATCTTCACGCACAATCCCTAACGGGGTAGCCAGAGAGAACAGATCGCCAAGTGTCACGATCCTTACATACCTCTTTCGCTTCTTTCAGGTTCATTAACTTCTTCATACATGCACGTCTAGGTATCCGAGTACTCTTGACCCTCCCCTCTTCGAGCAATTTGCTCACATGGTCTTCGAAAGTTAGTCTCGGTCTACCTCGACACCTTTTAATATTTACTTTCGCTCTATATATTTTCTTCACCATTCGGTCTTCACTCATTCGCTCAACGTGCCCAAACCATTGGAGTACGCCCCTATCAATTTTTGTGATAAGGTCATCTTTCAATCCTGCCATATTGCGAATCTCTTCGTTTCGCTTTCGGTCGGCTATGGTAACGCCACACATTTTACGAAGAGATCGCATCTCCACTGCATTCAACTTGCTTTTATGCTTCTTCTGGCATACCCAGGTTTCGCTGCCATATAACAAAGTCGGTACCAACACTGCGTTATGTATTGCAAGGCGTGCACTCTTCACCACGCCTTGCCTTTTGACTAATGCATTCAGGGCACCATTGACTTTGTTTCCGGCAGCGACACGCCTATCCACATCTAAATCACATCTTCCATCCCGGCTGAAAGCACTCCCCAAGTATACAATTTCTTTTACCTGTTCTAGACATTGCTGATTTACCCATATTTCACGTTTCGTTCTCTCTTCGTCCTTTTCAAATACCAGAACCTTAGTTTTGGAATATGCGAAAGAAAATGCAAAGAGATGCAACATCTCTTCGCAGCGCCAGTGAACCGATCCGATCGGAAAGCACTCGGTCATCGACGATTCGAGCCGCTCTGCGCTGGATGCGGTCAAGTGGAAGGAGCTGGCACTGGGGAGCCCCAACCTAGCGATGGGAACAGTATTTTTTTTAAATTTCCATGTGAGGCCTAACCTGCGCCTTGTAAAGTTGCAAACGGTGTGCTGGCATGAAACTCCACACGATTCGATATGTCGACAATGAGGATTCCGATACTGGCTGAAGCAACAAGGGGAGTGTCTTGAAACTGAGAAGATACGACAAAGGACTTCATTTGTTAGCAAACGCGCAAACTGTATTCTGGGGATTAAACTGGACTAGATTTAAACGCCCCCAATCCGATACTCTGTTCAGCAAAGACTCGACTTTAGTGGCGAAGCCTCTATACAAGCCCAGAGGCCCGGCTTGCCTCATTAAGATGAATCAATCAATTATATCAAGTAATAAAATAACTCGTAAACTCTTTCAAACTATTTCAAATTTCCCGCGCACTCTGTTCGACCTCGTAGCCTTACGAATGCTGTCATACATATAAGGAGAGTTGAATTTAGCGATTGGTTTTCTCCCTCGCACGCGTGGGCTTTTTACCGGGCTTTCGAGAAGGCGATCGCTTCCTTTCTAACCTGTGGCAAAATGTTCTCTAATGAAATGTACAGTGGGTGTTCAAATTATTATACTCAAACCATGAAATAAGATTTTTTTTAAGTTTTTTAAGTTTAAATTTCTTTAAGTAATAAATTTAATCTGTTTACTGGTATTATTTTTTCACTAGAGCTTATAAAACTATTTCTGAAAATAATTTAACATGTTTTTGGTGTAAAAATTAAATTAATTCAAGTTTTTTTACAAATTAATATTTTGTAAAACCACCCTTTTGTGCAATAACTTCTTGAAGTCGACGAGGCATGCTGTCTATGCAATTTTTTGATATTGTTTTTAATTCTGGGGTGTTAAACCAAGCTTTGATTATCTTCTTAATCAGTTCTTGTTTATTAGTTATGACTTTTTCTTTAGCTATTTCCTTTTTTAATGCAGCCCACACATTTTCTATGGGGTTTAGATCTGGAGAGTTACCAGGCCATTCCAACACCTTTATCTGATGATCATTTAGGAATTTTGTCACTTTTTTGCTTTATGACATGGGGCTGAGTCATGCATAAATAGGAAATCCTTATTAGGAAACCATTCTGACGTCTGTGGGATCAGTTTTTCTGACAGAACTTTAATGTACTGATCCTGCCGCATGGTGTTTTCCACTATGTAGAGGCGTCCGTTACCCTTTGCACTGATAACTCCCCAGATCATTATGGATAGTGGATGCTTTACTCTCTCTACAATACAGTCTTCTTCGAATTTCTCATTTCCAGTCTCCTACGAACAAACTGCGTATGGTCTTGCAAGATCTAGATACTCGACTCATCAGAGAAGCAAACCTAGAAATCCCAAACATGATCAATTCACATTAGTAAAGACATGTCCATACAGTGATACAATACAAAATACGTTTAAAATACAATATATTACTTTATGCCAGTCTTCTGCAGTCCAGTTGTATATTTTTTTGCAAACTAATTCACTTCTTCAAGGCTACTTCAATGGTCGACCGCAGAAAAAGTTTTGTTCCTTCCATCTTCTACGTAACGTCATGTCGGACAGAGTCACTCCAGCCTCTTCGAGGATATCTCTAATGACTTCTAGGTTTATTCCGATTTTCTATGGTTATTTGCCGAATTTTTCGCTCATCTCGAGGCGTAGTGATGCGTTTGCGTCCACATTTTCCGGAATGTTTCGGCGTCATGGACTCCCCTTGTTGCACAGCTTTACTGATATTACGCACTGTAGATTGAGAAACCTTGCACATTTCTGCTATTTTCCTTCGAGGATATTTACAGTGTTGTAGCAAAGTCTTAATTTCAGTTTTCTTTTTTGGAGACACGTCAGAACGCTTCCCCATCTTCAAATCTATTGAAAGTGAGGTTATGTTGATGAAAAAAGACGAATTTTAAAATAAAATATATATTAGACAACAAAAAACAGCGAAATGCAAGAAGAATAATAACTAATTACAAAGTAAAACCAATAAAACATACCTTTTACTGAATAAATCCTTCACTTATGTATAATAAAGACACAGAGAGCACATGCTTACAGAAATGCAAAATTGACAACGAAACAAAATGGCGGCTATTACAGTGTTGCCTAGTTAAAAGTAGACAATTTTAGTGTTGTAAACTATAAAGCATAAAATTATTAATCATTTTCAATTTGTTTGATTATTAACTAGAGAACTAAAACCGTCGTTGTAAAGTATACTTGGTTTTAAATACTAAATAAACGAAATAAATGTGTTGAGTATAATAATTTGAATACCCACTGTAACTACGAAATGTTTATATAGCAATTACTATTGAGCCACAAGCCTGGCTTTGCCTTGAAGTTGTTTAGGAGTGCGTTAGCGACTAGCGAATGGGGTGCGGGCCATTCGTATGCAAGTTCACTTCACATTTCAATGTTTATGTTTGTTTTTGTTGTGTTTGTTAAAAATTTATGCTTTTTCAAAGATTTTCAGTGAAAATGGGAGCATAATAGTGTTCATTGTGATTAATATAAGTGTGTTGAAGTGCTAATCGGCGAGGAAAATCTTTAAAAATGAAATTTAATATTCAATAAATATTTCTTCATACTTTGAATATAGGTACAGGTCTATTTAGTATTAAAGTTTAATTAAGTTAGGCCAATTTAAAGGTTTAATAACTCAGTATTTATATTACCATATGAATTAAAAATATAATTTTGAATAAAATATGACACCTAGGTTTAATACTTTAGGAAATAAGTGTTACAATCTTTTTTTAACGTGAAGCCCAAATTTTAATGTAATAAATCAAAAGAATACAGAAGAATGTATTGAGGTATTTAAAGAAGTTTTTAGTTATTTCCAGTACATAAAATTTTAATAGTGCCATCTACTTAATTCTATAGGTAAAGTCATTTTATCGAACGAAAATTGGTTGATTCTCACGATGGTACCTAAAGATTACGCTAGATGGCACAAATACGCTATCGGCTAATTTAATATTTATATTACCATATGAGTTTAAAAATATCATTTTGTACAGTTTATTATGAATTGAATATCATTTTGTACGGTTTATTATAAATTGAAAATGAATAATTATATAATAAATAGTCATTATTTTATGGTAATAAATTAGCAAAGCTTTATCTTCTCATTATAACTATCTAATTCCTGTCGTAATCTGTTCTTTTATGCATATAACTTAAACAAAATAATTTCGAGGTTTCACATCTGCCAGGCGTCCCTTTTTTAACTTTGTACATAGTTTGTTTGTACTTTGTTCATGCTTTTCTTTTGTTCATGTATTGTATTGTTTATAAATACCTTAAGCAAACCCAAACGGCTCTTTTCAAAACCACCGAAGGTGTGCAACTGCATATGTCATACAATCTATCTAGCGGTAGTGTGCTTTGTGTGCTTTGTTAAACACATCCTTGACAGCACTAAATATGAAACTAAAGAGTGGATACAGTTCAAGATTGGTGTATTTTATTAAACTGCTAAAAACAATAAAACCATATCTTGGGCTTGGGCTTGCCCTAGTTCGGAGCCCTAGCTTCGTCACTGCTCGACTTCATATATAATAAAATGTATTCTAAAGCCCAAGAAAAATAACTTGTTTCTTGGAATGCACTGGATTTATTCTGTATTACGGTTCATTCATTTATTATACATATTAAAAACAAAGATCCATTACTCAACATGGGGCTACCCAATCGATTTCCCAATAGGAAGGTATTTGCCATAATTGCAACGCTTGGCGGGTTGGCAACTGCAGTTTTTTACTATTTCGAGTTGTTATCACAAAAATGCTGCTGTCCATCTCTTGTTTCAGTTTCACTTTGTCGCTCCTTACATAGAATACTATAATACACTATATGGCTATATATATAATGAGCTGATGAATGGCTGTCAACTTTATTTTGTACGAGGCTTGGCGTCGCCAAATCCGATTCACTGTGTTGACAGACTGAATAAATTTACACATTTTAGACTTTTGATTAATGTTAAATTTCAAAAATTAAAAAAAATCGTTTAAATTTTAATACATATTTATTTGTAAATAGGGTGCAATTTGGCATTTTCTAAATATTTTGCATGAGAAATTTGGAAACGATTGTAGGGTCAAAAAACATCTCGTGTTGACATTTATACGTGTGAATTGACGTGTTAGTGATATTTTAGTGGCAAAGCGGGCTCCGCCCACTCCCCCGTTCTATTATATATGTATTATAGTATTCTATGGCTCCTTACGATACACACTGGTTGATATAGCGCAACCCCACCGCTACATAGTGTTGCACTAGGGTTACCTTAGTATAATTATACAACTTACATTTTAGTTAGATTGTAAGGCCTTGATGGAGCTTTAGCAGGGCTCTTGCCCGGTACCGACGATGGGTACGGTGCACCAGCGAGCGAGTGATGTAGACCACACAGCAATACCCAGGCGCCGATCATAAGATGATTTTGATAAACCTATTGAATTATACATCCATATCAAAACAAAATTACTACAGTAAACAAAACACATTTTCTGAAATATATTTATATTCGTTTAAAATAGTTTCAGAACTTTTTAGGAATTGAGGAAGGCTCTTTACAACAGAACAGATATAAAGAATGATATCGCATCTTAGAAAACATTAACCATAAGTTGGCGAGCAGTTATATAGCAGTATTCATAAAGATATGAAAGTTAGAAAAGGTTAAGAAGTAACTTTTAAAAGAGCTCTCCGGTCGCGATAAATTTAAATATACGAAGCTTTAAGCACAATTTAGCAAAAATTTCGTTTTGCAATATGTTTATACTTCTTAATTAGTAATATTTCGAAGACACTAAAGTATGGTCAACATGCACTGGAGAATCGCGGAAGATTAATTACTCTATACCCTCTCAGGTTTTCGAGGCAGCCTTGTAGAAATGTAGGGCAGCCCACTACCAGATGGGGTGACGAACTTTGTTTGTGAGAGGCAGTAACGAACATTATGATAAACCAAAGAAATCTAAATAATAAGACAATAGGAGTCGCATAGACGCGTGACCTTGTCGCCGCTATGATGTGTTGACGAACATCATTCACTATTTAGTGATTTAGTTGCGCGGGGAACATCGTACGTGAATTTATGTTATTATAATGGTGACCCGCAGCATAATCAGTTGTAAAAACTCATCAAGTACGTGTAATTCGACTAATAAAGGCATAACATTTAATCGGTAAGTTAATTATTTGCTAATTATCATTGTTTTAACTAATTTACATCTAGATGAATACTTTACTATGATATTTACCTTTGTAAACTTTCATTTATTACTTTTCGTATTGTACAATTACCATTGCTGCTTTTGTTCTCCCCTAAAACGCGACGCACGCGACGTTGACAAACTCGCCAAGCAAAGTAATGTGACACATTAGATATCATTGTGCGTTGCGTATGTTTATAATACGGCTGCAGGCATCGGTCGCTTAATGCGTATGTGTTAAGATGTGGCGACATCGGTTTTGGAAATAATCGAGCGCTAATTAATTTCTATTGTCTTATTATTACTATTTCTGTGTGATAAACCCTCTTAGAAATGAGAAGAGGACTGTGTAATAATAATAATTTTAAATTGTAATCAAAATGCTTAATTGTTATTATAATTGGTACGTTAAATAATAGTTAGAATAACTTATTTAGCAACAGCTAAGGGTTTTCTAAGTAAATGCTAATTGTGTTGACTATACAACACCATTTTTAAATGTGTCCTCAATTTCAAGATGTCTAAGTCTCTTGGTGCCCAGCCACTTTCACTTCAAGTGATAGAGACCACATATCGGCATTTTAAAATTGAGCAGCTGCCAAATTGATAAAAATTAAGTTTATTAACTTAATAACTAAGTAGTATTAAGATGGAAATATAGACATGTAAACAGTAGTAGTAGAAATAGGTAAGATGGTCTCTACCCAAAAAGACTTCTAGACTGAAAAATACTTAGTAGGATGTTGCTATATATAGAAATCAAACATTAAACTTACATATCCACCAGCCCGTGTGGATTGCTTGAATGTTTCCCCAACAGTGTTGTATAAGCTGAGGGCACTTTCCACTAATGTTGCTGTCTGCTGTTCACTCTCCTCATCTTTCGGGTTAAGGGAGGCCTATTACGCAAAAATATAAATTCATAGCATATAATCAACAGTCCTGTAAAGCAATGTCACTAAAATATATATTTAATAAATCAGAGAAATCAGTTCACTAAAATGCTACAAGTTTAGTTTCTTTATTACTGGCCATTAGTACAAAGTATATAAATATTATGAAGTCTTATCCACTTTATTACAAGATGTGGTTTATGATAATCTCCAGCAAAGAGTATATTATAGTCACTACGTTTTAGTCTCGGGTTTAAACTATGGTTTAAAATAAATATTTTTCACAATCAGTTAGTCTTCGCAATATTTGGCATTTGCTGCCAAATTCTACAGTTTACATTTTAGTGGGACAGTTCACATATTTCCGAGAAATTTCTTTGTTCAACAGACTCTTGTCTTACACCTGAGACTAATTGTAAACTACTTTTGGTAATAGGACGGTACAAGCGCCTATAGTGTTATTTAAAACATATTTAAGTTTTAAATTGTTTAGAAACAAAATTAGAATAAATGTCAAAATGCAAAGATTCTATATCTTTTAAGATGTTAAGAACCTGTGATTACTACCGCTGTAATGTGACTAATATGTTTTACTACTTAATAATATGTAAAGATGGTTCTTTTATCAAGTACCATTTGATAGCATGTTATAAAAAAAAGTGTTTACCTGAGCGGTGGCACACAGCAGCCACGCAGTGGCAATGTCGCTGAGTGTTGCAATGCGGTCGGCCGTGAACGGCTCCAAGCACGGTAACGACAACGCCAATCGGCAAACGTGCACTTCATTCACCAGAAAATGGAGGCTGCGGATTTTAAAAACAAAGCTTTAGATTTCAGATTATTTATTGTCACACCATTCACTTTTAATTAAAATTAGTTAATAGTTATTAATTAAATTGAAAAATAAACGCATATGGAGATGACATTCTTGAAAACTTCAAGAGATAAATGATAAATTAAGAGGACCTTTATGTGTAAAAAATGCAAAAAAAAAGTTTTGTTTGAAACAAATTTTACGAGATAATCATCAAAACCTGTTTTATGATGAAAAAAATTTGACGTCCTGATGTAAATTTTATCAGTTAACATCAGCACGTCAAAAACCTCAGTCTGCCAAACCACAGACATTGTGTAAAGTACTCAAAAAGTCGCTAAAATTTTGCTATATCTCTGTTTGTGAAGTTTCATCACAATTGGTTCGGTCTTAGTGAAGATAAGCCCATATAGACAGGACAGAGAGATAATTTTTTTATTGAAAGTTATTTTATCTTAAAGCCATGCAAATAACCTCCCGAGCACTAAAAAAGCCAGTTGCTTCGATATTACATACAATGTCTGTCTGCCAATTTGTTAAATTATATATATATATATATATATATATATATATATATATATATATATATATATATATATATATATATATATAGTAGTAACTATACACTAAATAACACTACCTATATTATTTATTATTACTTACAGTGAGACATCAGAGTTAAATTGTGGTGCAATGGCGGATTCCTTTGCCATTTGCCAGCGATTAAGATACCGCTGCAAGCATGGCAATGAGGAGCAAACCTTCAGCACAGTGAAGCCAGCTCTAAGCTCCATTAGCAAAGATGCACATGTTGATGCCATCCACTTCTGTAGAGGTTTTAAAACAAGTGTTAAAATATCCAAATATAGCTAGTTTTTTTTTAATTTTCCAAATAAAAATATCTATACCTTCATATCAATGGATGGCTGTTGGTTAGCATTGGGTTCTTTAGAACTTTCCAAACTGTCTTTACTTCCGGGAGACATGACCACTGCAGCAGGCTGGACCTGCGATGTTGGCATCGAAGTGGTCTGATTCCTCAATGGCATCGTTAACTGTTCTAGGAGCGCATCTGAACGACGTTGAGCATAAGCGAGCGCTAGTTTCTCATTGCTCGATGTTTGTGATGCAAGGGATGTGATAGAACTTTGAATTACTGAAGACTTTGTTGTTTGAGTTTCTGAAACATTTTTTGTTACACTAAAATAACTCTCCCAATGCTACCACTGTAATATCAAGCACATATTTGTTAACTATTTGTTATAAATTATCATGAACACAACGATATGATAGAAGGATATGTTGTTTAAAAAATAATATAAAGGATTTTAAAGCTGAATAGTTAGTAAAGAGCAATTGTAAATACCTATTAAACAGATATTATTAACCTTTGGCGTACCACGTTGGGTTATTTTAACCCCAACACTTAAAATCCAAATATTTAATATTAACCCCTCAGCCCCTAGCGGTCGCATGAACCCGCGGCCATTTTCCGTCAAATCCCTAGCGGTCTCATGAGACCGCACCCACCCACAGCACTTTAACTCATAAAAACTTATGTATAGAGACCACTTTTCTATGAAGAAGTTTGGCATGATATAATCAATATGAAATACTCTATCTTCTAGTGCAATAAAAAACTGTTATCTTATGAATATTTATTTATAATCTACGTTTATTTCGTACGCCACTTTCGCGTGAATGTTATTGTGTTGATTTTTGGATTTTTCTAGTGTTTTATTATAAAATTGTAATGCAAGTTTTTGTGTGAATATAATTTATCTATTTACGTAAATATTTTGAGTAATATATAGAAACAATTGTGATTTTCACGCTGCTTACATTCGCTTTGTATATTTTCTTTTTGTTATTAAATACAATAAAATCTTTTTGTAATGAAGTAATGACTGATGTATTGATGAATGACCTGAGTTTTGTTTAGACCACAAGATAGAGAATTTTGTATAGATTTTATAATGCTAGACTTAAGTGCTGTAGGTGGGTGCGGTCGCTTGCGAGCGCTCGGGATTTGCCGGGCGCATGCGACTGCATGGGATTTTTAAGGGGCTTGAGGGGTTAAAACAAACAAATGATTCGATTTTTCAGTAGCTGAAGTTTAGGACCTGCCCGTCGATTCACAGGGCTATCTCAGAATGAGATAGCGCGGAGTACTGAGAACTGAGATTCTCAGTACCCCGCGCGCCGCGGTCGAGTGTGCACGCGCATAAAGTGGCTCCCGGGCATTTTTAACCCCACATGGTACGGGACGTCGCTAAGAAGTAAATATATCTTTTTTCGGTTTTGTCAGTACTTATTATAGGTACAGATATGTGGTAAACCTCCAAAGATGAATGATGATAGCAATGCGGCATCGTTATTGGAGGAATATGAGTCATCGTTGGACAGTGACAACTTTCTCGCTAGTAGCAAGGACGAACCTGATCATATCAGCGAAGCCTCTGAAGTCAGTAATAATACAGACGTGGAATATATCGAGTTAAACGTTGAAGAAGATACAACATCGACATCACAACCATTTTTTCTGGGAAAAGATGGAAGAACAAAGTGGTATAAATTTTGCAGCTCAACATAAAAAAAACTCACTTGGTTTGCTTCGAGACATTCTTCAACGACGAAATTGTTGACACAATTTTTAAGAAAACTACCCAGAAAATTTCTATGAGAATGGAAACCTCTACAGTACACGCGGAAACCAACAAAGCTGAGATAAAAGCAGTGTTTGGGTTGTTGTTCTTGGCAGGTAAATAATTTGGGATTTGATGACTCGTCAACACATACAGGAAGAGCAGCTGTTGATCGCTTGGCACCCATTCGGGATATTTTTGAAATGTTCGTCAAAAACTGTCAGCAATCCTACACTACATTTGAGTACTTGACCATAGACAAAGAGCTCGTGGCATTTAGAGGAAGATACGCTTTTCGACAGTATATTCCTTATAAACCGGCCAAGTATGATTTGAAAATTTACGCTTTGGTGGATGCTAAAACATTTTGTACACTGAATTTAAAAATTTACTGTTGAAAAGAGCCTGACGACAGTCCATATGCAATAAGAAACAGGCCGTTTGATGTTGTAGATCGACTGGTGAGATGCGTGTATGGAACTGGTAGAAACATAACTGAACAATTGCTCAACAACCACAAATTGACTGCCGTTGGTACACTAAGGTCAAACAAAACGTGTATTCCACTCAGGGGCGGTATACTTCCATACTTTAGGTTGGGGTTCAATAATTTGCAGACACTAGTGCCATCTTGTACTATATCCACATAAACTTTCGAACATTAAATTCTAAAAGGTGCGCTAGATGGCGACTACACCAATTCTGGTTACTCTGGAAATGGCAAGTAGCAACTTTATATGACATAATGGCTACCGGCGCTGAGCAAGTTGTTGTTTTATTATAGTTTGTAAGAGATTTTCGGTTGTTGCTACAATAAGTTGGGATTAGCCCTCTGTTTCTTTGTTGTCTGTTTAGATTTTTATGCTGGAATTACATTGTATGTTTGTGTAGTGTTGTGCGAAATAGACGCTTTCATTTATCATTCCGGTAACACGGACATATTTAATTTGGTTTGATCTTGTATTTTGCGGAATAGACGCTTTTACATAGTGTATGTTAAATATATATAACAAAAATAAATGTTAATATTACTGAAATCTATAATACGTCTTTAATTGAACCCTAATCCCTTAAAATATAAATATAACCGCCTATAGTATAGATAGCTGTATATACATAACTACATACAGCTATCTATAGTCAACATGATATTGAGATTAGTTCAAGGGATATGATACCAGGCGGCGACACTATTCATATTGGGTGACAAAAAATCCTAGGAGATGGCTCTCTATTTCTGTATATATTACTCTACTCTATGATTCCACTTCAGTTCAAAGCTAGTTGTGAAGAAAATTCATCGTTATTCGGATTTCAGTAAGATATAACTATTGTAACTTATATACCAAAACCAAGGAAATATGTACACATTATGTCTTCTTTACATCACGATGATGAAGTGGATCCAGAAAATGGAGACAAAAGGAAACCATCTATTATAACGTTCTACAACTCAACAAAGAGCGGAGTTGATGTCCATAAACTTGCAAGAACATACGATGTATCCCGCAACTCTAAATGTTGGCTTCTTACCATATTTTTTTTCAATATTGAACTATGCTTGCATAAATTGCTTTATTGTGCATATGCTGAATAAGAACATTGAAAGGAATAAATCTAATGTTAGGCGTAAATTTATCAGTTAGGAATCTATTTGCTTGAGAAGCATCTTAGGAAACGAAAAGATAACCCACATGTACCACGCGATATAAGAAAACGTGTGCATGAAAGTCTGAATGTAGAAGTTACAGGACCATCACCAAAACAGCCAAGAAGGCCACATCGCAGTCAAATAAGGACTTCAAATGTGAAGCTGCTTATGCAAAGAACATGCAAACTTATTATGCCAAAATTGTACTGATTTAAGTAACAAATGATCTTACACAAATAACTGTGATTGTAGTAATTAGTTATATAATATATTAAGGCAGTTCTCTTGATTTAATTAATAAGTAAAATAATAACGTTATTGATTCAAAAATATTTTTGTTGCTTTTTTATAACAACTAATTGGAAATTCGTTCATGAAGTTTTCAGATTGTGGTTTTTTCTTAATAAATGTTTATTTTATACATTTTTGTGTATTGTTTATTCACTTATTATCATAAATAACTAAAAAAAACGCACATAAACTTATTAAACTTCATTTACACACAAACTAGAGACAAAGTCTTGTGGGGTTATTTTAACCCCACTTGGTAAAGGTAAGGAGTATTTTTCACCTTGTACGCCGAAGGTTAAAAAAAAGGATTTCGAAAAGAAATTTGCATGTCGTCACATTTTTATTTAGTCTGTATAACAAAAATCACATACAAAGATATTTATTTAATTTTGTTCAGCTTAAAGCAATTGTTTCATATAGTGATGGTGAGTGTAGAGAATTGGAGAACTGTGTATGGTACCCTTTTTACTGGTGATAAGGCATTTTAACTCAGTACGCCAGGTGACAAAGCATCTTTATTATGATTTTGATTCCTAATCAAGAATAGATGAAGATGTCTACGGACCGCAGCATGCACTTCCCATCAGATGGACTGTGTAAAAAGAATAATTTTTGTAAACATAAAGTGTATTAAACAAACCTGATACATTAACATGCGCTGGCAACTTAGCATTCTTCAACAAAGATGTCAATATTACTAGATCAGATTGAGGGTAGCCACCTCCGTCAATGCCACACAGTCCTACTATCGGTAAAAGTAACTGAAATAGAAATACAAACAATTACTATTGCACTTTCGCACTTTGACGTTATATTTGAAGTTATATCATGATAAAAATATAACCATGGTGTGCAAGTGTATACTATTTATTTATTTATTATAAAAACAGTAACAGCACCACAACATTACAGTTAATTAATTAATTATTAAGTTAATTACCTGCTTGACAGAAACATTTGGAGCAGCAGTAGTAGTGGTGTTCTCGTCATAGCTCAATCCAGCTTCGGAGAGCTTCTTAAGAATTTGTTGTAATATAATCCTGAATGCATCACATGCTGAACTTAGTTGGTCAACAGGTACTAAAAAAATGTTCATAAATATGATTGGTAACTAGCAAATTAATAATATAATATAATAATAAATACTTTTATTTCTCAAAAATTTAAATATACATGTCTGAGACGCCCGAGAGAGTAATTTCCATACTCGTATTGGGGATGCCTCGCTCTTCAATCCATTTTACAAATTTATAAGATTTAAAAATATTTACACACACACACACACACACAATATATATATATATATATATATATATATATATATAATAAAGTTAAGCTGAATAAACTTTACATACATAACTTATGAGTGAGTGTGTGTATGTGTAGTGTAGTGTATGTGATAAGCATAATATGTGTGTGTTAGGTGTATGTTACTTACACAATTGTATTTATAAGTTTCTCTGTTTCATCACAACTTAATTCCGATAAGAAATTAGTTAATATCCTTTTACAGTTATATAACTTGTTGAAAAACCCTTTAATTTCCTAACTGAAGAGTCCACAGATATTATAAAGTTCATGTGTTGAATATCTATATGGTTTAAAGTACATCACCTTTAAGAGTGATCTTTGACTTTAAGTGTAGAAATTTAGTTTAAGTCGCTCCACCCCACATAGGAATACAGTATGTGAGTATGGACAGAGCAAGCAAGAGCAACATAAATTTTGTTTAATAAAGTACTGGACATAACATATCTTAGATTTTTAAAGATCCGGATAAGCTTACGCATCCTGTCAATAATCGTTTCAAGTTGATTATGCCAGGAGAGCCTTTGATCAACCATAACACCTAGGTATTTAATGCAGCTAACTTTTTCTATACTTGGGCATGAACAACTACTGTCATTGAGACTCTCACAGGTATGAACCTTGAGCCGAAACTTAGCATCTGGTAGAGTTCTCTGACCGAGAGAAAAGCATACGTATTTAGTTTTTGTGGCGTTTAATGTCAGTTGGTTACTGTTCAACCAGTTGGCAAAAACTGCTAAGCCCTTTTCAGCGACATTTTGTACTATTTTCCAAATACACCCAGAGAAAAGAACTGCGGTGTCATCCGCGTATGAGAAGATCTGTCCTCCACAGCTCTCTTAAGTTACACAATTGATTAATATATATTAAGAACAGAGTTGGACCTAGAACAGATCCTTGCGTGACACCATAAGATATACATTCTTCTTGACTTATGCTAGTGCCAATTTTAACCATTTGTTTTCTCTCAAGCAGGTAGTCTTTGAAGAGAACAAGGCTCAATGCTCTCTAGCTTAGGAACTAGTGTGGAGATAGATTCCCCTTTCGCCTTGGACTCCGTTCAGTGAAGAAGTTCCGTTTGTTGAACAAAAATTATTAAAAATTTAAATTCATTTAATTTTATGCTAAATAATAGGACTGGAGAAAACTTGTGACGATGTTGAGATACTAGAAAGAGCCTGGTGAATGAGATAAACATACTTGTTAGCGCTTCCATTACTAATTACCGCGTTGTCATTGACTTCCGTTAGCGACGCCTTCTTGCGCTGGAGCACTGCTTGCGGAGGCATGTCAACTCTGCATCGCACATCTCAACCTAATATTCATCCGTCTTACTCATCAAGTTGCCGACGGAAACTTTTCACCGCGCTTGAATTTAGGCCTACTCGCTATTCTTTTATGCATACGCCAAGTTGATTCAATCTTTACCCGACTTTTGCTTTACAAAAATTGCATTATGCCGCTTCAACGTACACCACCGAAGACTCCTCTTTCAAATAAAACTAGTTGTTCTACGCTAGAAGTCCCTGCTACACCAAAAACGGAACAAATAAACTTACAGACAAACATCTAATCTCGAAGACACTTTTGTTACTACTAGGCGACAAAATGATAATTTAGAGTTAAATCGCTTCATAAAGGAAATGAAAGAGATGTTATCAACCGACGCCACGCAAATTAAACAAAAAATATCATCCTTAGAGTTGAGCATTAAGGAAGTAGTCTCTCAAAATTCTGAAATCATGGATTCGCTGAACTTTATATCACGTCAGTACCATGATCTAAATGATAAGTTCCAGTCGCTATTAGCCGAGAAAAAAAAGATTGCAGAAAAAAAAAAGAACTTGAAGATAAAATCTCGCGCTTAGAACATCTTTTGCATGCGACTAAATATGAATTAAAAACATTCCCAAAAATGACCGCGAGACCAAAGAGGAGCTATGCAACATTGTTCAAAAAACCGCAGAAATGTTGGATTTGTTAGTACAGCCCAGTGATTTAAAGAACGTATATCGCAAAACAAATAAAACCGATCACGCTTCGGCGATAGTTGTCGAATTCACTTCTGTTAGATCCAATAAAACACCGTAATTCAGCAAAACTAATGACAAACTGGTTGACTTAACTAACATTATTTCTTAACAATGTTATGCAAGTACCCACATTCGTAACTATTTATCACAATCCATGATATATAACATACCTTTCCCCCAAGCATGTACATACAATATTAATTTTTAACTCAAAAACTAACTTCTAATACTTAACATAATCTAATACACTAAATATATATTTATAATACCTTTAAACGAGCAATTCTTGTATATATATAATCGGAATCGGCTCCAACGATTTATTTCATAAAATTTAGTGTCCAGGGAGTTTCGGGGGCAATAAATCGATCTAGCTAGGATTTATATTTACAAAATGTCCTTTTGTCCGTGTTTTCAGGCAATAAAAATTGCTACAATATAAGAAGGTAAATTTTGACAGACTAGTAACGATGGTAATACCTCAGGTGAGATGTAAGTCGGGCGTGATATCGGAGTTCCGTGGTTCGCGTACCGTCTTAGGTCCGACTTTTTTTCCTTTTTTTTTTCAAATTCCCTTCTTTTGTGAGAAAATCTATTATTTCGAGATCTTTTTTTTAGTAATTTTTAAAAATAAGAAAAATTTTAATTAAACTAATTGCACCCATGATTTTCATTCAAATAACCAGTTCATTTTTTTCTATTATATCAATAAGATCAAAAAATATTATTCATGTAATTTGTATCTAAATATAACTTTAAAAAAAAATTCCTAATTTTTCCCCCAGAATAAGTTATTCCCGTGTTAGTTGGTACTTGGTATACCTAAAATTTCCGCCCATTTATCCTGACTAGGTATTTCAATAATCTCTTCTCTTACATCATTATCAGACTTATCTTTCCTTAAGTTATAGTCAGCTATTTCCTCTGTTAAGTAATTGTCCAATAGTTCACTATTAACTGCAATATCTTGCTCTTCGGACATCTCTTCATCCTCTCTCGCACTCGTGTCAGATTGCCTTTTGTTAATTACTTGATCAATATGCCTATTTATTAAAGATCCATCATCTGTAGCAATCTCAAAACTAGATGGTCCATTTCTATTTACCACAGTTCCTGGTAACCATCTTGGCTCATTACCATAATTCCGATACATTACATTTTGGCCCGTCTTTGATTCCCTGTTAATTTTTTGAGCGTTACTAATAATTTGTTGTGTTCTCTTTCTTTGCTGGCGATTATCGGGATGTATTTATCTAGCAAATTTCGTAGGCGTCTTTTTATTTAAAAGTTATGCTCGACTCTTTTTAGTGGCTGTACAAGATGTAACACGCAAACCTAGTAAAATGTTAGGGAGTTTGATATCCCATGGAACATCATCCATCTTGCGTAGTTTGTCCTTAATGGTTTGGACCATCCTTTCAGCCAAACCATTGGTAGCCGGGTGATAAGGTGCTGTAGTGACATGTTTAATTTTATTGGATTCAAGAAATATTTTCATTTCTGTCGATACAAATGGGGTTTCATTATCTGAAACCAAAGTTTCACACAATCCATGTGTTGCAAACATATCCCTTAAATGTCGAATAATTGTTCCAGAGGTCATATTGTTAACCATAAAAACCTCTGGCCATCTCGAATAAGCATCGACGACAATCAGAAATGTCTTATACTGAAAAGGTCCTGCAAAGTCTACATTAAGTCGAGACCACGGTTTAGTTGGTGTAATCCATTCACAGCTTGTTTTAGGGGGCATATGCCTGTTTTCTTAACATTTTGAGCATTCACCCACTAAAACTTCAATGTCATCATTCAATTGTGGCCACCAAATGTAACTTCTTGCCAATGCCAACGTTTGCACGACACCAACGTGTCTTATGTAAGGCACCTAGACAAGGCTTACGCAGCGATGGCGGCACCATTACGCGACAACCAAATAAAATACATTCCTCATGTAATGAGAGATCGGTACGTTGTAACCAATACGGACGCAGTTCACTGTCCGTGACTCTGTCTGGCCAACCGCTTAGTTATATAGTGACTTACTCGTGATAAAGTTCGGTCTCTCTTCGTTGCCGATGCTATGAGATCAACATCTACTGGAAAATCAGCAGGTGTCTCTGCCATAAGCAAAACATCACAAAACTGTTGTTCTGGTTGATCTGGAACTGTCTATGGCCATCGACTTAAACCAGCATCAGCATTTCCAATTTCTCTACCTGGTTTATAAACAATTTTGTAGTTGTGTAACGTAAGTATTAACGCAATTCTGGTTAAGCGAGGTGACACGATCGCTGGCATTGGCTTTTGAGGATCAAATATACCAAGCAAAGGCTTGTGGTCTGTGATTATTGTGAAAGACCTTCCCATCAGGTAATTATGAAATTTAACTACCCCAAAAATGGCCTCTTTATCCAATTGGGAATAACGCCTCTCATGCGCATGTAAGGTTCTAGAGCCCATCGCAACAAGCCACTCTGTTCCGTCCTCCATAACGTGTGACAATACAGCGCCGACGCCGTATTCGGAGCTATCACAGGTAAGAACCAATGGCTTATTAAGATAGTAATTGACAAGAGTCAACTCTGAAGAAAGTAAACGCTTGGCAGTATCGAAACTATTTTGTTCTCGGTCAGTCCATTGCCACATTTGTGACTTATCAAGTAATCTATGTAGAGGTTCAAGTATAGTTGCTTTGTGAGGTATGAACCTCTCATAAAATTCGTAGAGGCCTAAAAATGCTTGTAACTGTTGTATATTTTCAGGTTTTGTAGTTTTAAGAATCGATTCAACCTTCCTCTGAGCTGGATGAATACCATCCGCATCGATTACAATACCTAAAAATTCCATGCGTCTTTTAGCAAATTTACATTTGTCTTTATTAAGACATAATCCTGCTCTTTCAATGCGGTCCAATACTGTTTCAAGACGTTGAGTCATTTCTGTCACTGTGCGACCGCTGATGATGATATAATCAATAAGCACAGCTACACCTGGTACGCCGGCCAATAGTGCGGTCATCAGGCGTTGAAATATTCCCGGACACGCCTTCACGCCGAATGCGAATCTGTGTACGGCATACAATCCTTTACACGTATTTAAAGTTAAGAGCTTCGCTGTGGCATCTGTGGCATGCGCTGTCTAAATCAAGTGTAGTGTAATAAGAGACACCTGCAATAACTGCAAAAACTTCACTAGCCGTGGGCATTGGGTACGTATCCGACTCAGTAGCTTGATTTACCGTACTTCGAGAGTCTCCGCAAAGTCGTAAGTCTCCATTTTTCTTTACTATAGGAACTACTGGTGCCACCCATTCTGAAAAAGATAAAGGGCGCAGTACCCCCTCCCCCACTAAACGATCGATTTCTTTTTCAATCCTTTCTTTTAACGCGAATGGCACTGGTTGAGCTTTTAAAAATTTAGGTACAGTGTTAGGCTTAATTTGTATGTTCACAGGCTTCCCTCTATATGTACCAAGCCCTTCTCTGAAAACTGTATTATATTTAAACCAGTTTCGACCAATAAGATTTGGGCCCATGCCCTTCGCTATAACAATATTCAAATTACACTTAATTTCTTTAAATTGCACTTGCACTGTAGCTTGTCCCATTACTTGTACCGGTGAGTTGTTCCACGTACGTAACTTATTGGGCAGTATGTCTAGTATAGTTCTAGAGTGTAATTGCATCCATGTGTGTTCATTCAAAATTGAGAAAGCAGACCCAGAGTCCACCTCCGTGATCACTGACACACCATCCAATAGAAGTTTTATTCTATATGTCGGTACCTGTGGAGTCAAACTGTCCAAGTTATAAATGCCATTTAGATGTGTACCTAACTCTTGTGTATAATTCACATTGCCCCTACGGCTTTTCTTTTTAGCTGTGCAAATTTTTTCAATATGCCCCTTTTTCTTGCAAAAATTACAAACAGCATTTATGAAACGACACACACCGCCACGACGATCGCCACATCGGTAGCAGAATATAATAATATTTTGAGATTTCATGGCATTGACATCCATCGGCTCGCATGATGATGTTGCCGGTGAAGTAGTGGAAAATGAATCCCTGGAGATGGCAAAGTTAGTGCTGGTCACACTTTGCATCATGAGGACATCCCTCACTGCACTTTCAAATGCACTACATCCGTATACTGTAAATTGTCTTTTTTTAGCAATTCATACTGCAATTTCTTATCACTCATACCACACACAAGTCTGTCACGAAGCATCTGTTCCAAGTCCATACAATTGCACCCTGCACTTATTTTTCTAATATGTGCAATATATTCTGATACTGATTCATTTTCTTTTTGATCACGTTTATAAAATTGGAAAGATACTGAAATCTCGTTTGGTTTTAGACTATAATGCTTCGTAAGAATTGTTACAATTTCTGCGAATGTCACATCACTAGATTTTTTAGGCGTAATTAATGCCAAAACAGTCTCATATACATTTGCGCCACTAACCGTGTAAAAATTCGCCCTTTGAACCGCGTCTGAGACGACTCCGTTCGCCTCAAAACAATACTTTAATCGTTCTATATAATTGTCCCAATTATCACTTTGTAAATTAAATTCGTGAAATTTCACTGATTTACGTTCCATTGTTCCACTTTTTACACTACGTCGCCACTGTTAGATCCAATAAAACACCGTAATTTAGGTAATTATACATGTATTGTGCTAGGTAGCAAAACTAATGACAAACTGGTTGACTTAACTAACATTATTTCTTAACAATGTTATGCAAGTACCCACATTCATAACTATTTATCACAATCCATGATATATAACAACTTCAACCCTTGCAAATGAAAAATTCATAAAAAAACGCCCATAGATTCAGCAAAACTAATAACGGAACTTCTCTCAATACTTCACTCATTGGTCTCACTGGCCCCGCAAAGCCTATATACATCTCTGAATATCTTACTCCATATGCAAGAAATCTTTTTTACTTATCTAGAAAATTTGCCAAAGAAAATGGATATACCTACTACTGGACATCCTATGGAAAAATCTATATGCTTCAAAATGAGGGAAAACAAGCACTAAAAATAGATATTTATTATCTATTTTTAGTGGAATTGAAGAAATTATTAAACTTACAAAAGTGACTAGTAATAAGTGTCTTGATTTTATTTTTATTTAAAACTAACTTAATATTTTTAAATAATGTTATGTAAACATAATATAGAAATTCTTGCTGTGTATAAATTGTAAATCATTTTTAACTATTCAGAATACTCACCTCATACTTATTCCACTCATTCACATAATACATTCAAACATAACACAACTCAATCACTCACTCAGTCATTTTCACATTTACTCTTTCACTAGATTATTAGGCCATAGACCATATGTATATTATTCTAGTGTAGGATTGAACTTTGTATTAAAATAAAATACGATAATTACAAACAAATCCTTACAAATCTTGGTAATACTAATATTTATGCACCCGTTTTATGTGAACCCGAATCATGCAATAATATGTCACTAACTCTCGGCACAATATAAATATACTGCAACAAAACATTCGTAGCATAAACCAAAATTTTGATAAAATATCATTACTATCATTACTCTTGAGATATTATTGTATTGTCTGAGTGCTGGCTTTCGTTAGTTCAAAATTTGCCCCAGTTATAGTCCGTTCGCGTTAAGAAAAGAGTGAGTCATCGTTGTCCACCAGCCTGGCCACGCCCCCCAGCCAATTAAAATGCAAGAAATTAGAAAGTCGAGTTCACAGTGACCAGTTGAAGTCAGGCCTTCGAACTAAACGGTTATGTATTTTGCAAGTTACTCGTACAACATTAAATTTTAAAAATTTATACCTCACCTATTCGAAAGAATAAAAGTGAATCAATAATCCATAGCGGAGAGACACGTAATTTACAATGTTTATAAGTACTTTAAACTGTGTGATTTAAATACGACTGTGGAGAGCACAGTAATAAAAACAGCAAGTGCATGTGGTGTGTCCGAAAATACTGTTTATAAAATTATTAAAGATCAAAAGGATACTAACACATTAAAATCACCCATGAAAAAAAGAGCTCGACTATCGACGGTCGATAAATTAGATGAACTAGACAAATATGCAATAAGGAGAAAACTTCACTCTATATATTTAAATAACGACTACCCGACATTGGACAAAGTTATGACACTTTGTGAAGCTGGCGAAGATATTCCTGTTTTCAAACGTACCACACTTCATAAAATAACGCACGACCTTGGTTTCGATTTCAATAAACAGGATAGCAGAACATTGTTAGTCGAAAGAGAAGATATTGTTTTATGGAGGCGTAAATATCTGAGGCAAATAAAAGAATACAGAGCCGCTAATAAAACCATTTACTATCTTGACAATTTGTTTCCATTAAACTTAATTAAATGTTTGAAAACAAAAAATAATTTTTACTCCACTGTGAATACACCTTTACCCTGTAGTTGCACTGATGACTCACTATTTTCTTAACGCGAATGGACTATAGTTGGTTACAAGGCGAATTGCTCAACAGATAACAAAATGATAGTGTTTCCATCTATATTAGAAACAATCTAATGGCAACTGTAGAGGAACCATTTTTTTATAGAAGAGGTAGCAAACTAAGTTTTGGGTCCTGGGACGTCCCGTGTCTCGAAGTCTCGGTACTCTTGTTAATTTAATTTTCACAAGTCCCGGGACTTTCAGGTCGAGACTCGAGACGAGAAAAGATTGTTGAAATTGTTATCATTTTTATTTTCAAATAATTAAAGGACCCTAATGTTATCCACCATCTGTTAGGTAAATTTAAAAAGGAGTTTCAGTAAATAAAATTTGAAAAAGTATCTCTACGAGATAATATTGAAAACAAAAATGTAATTTTTATATTTTCTTAAAATATAGCCCAATTTTAATGGTATACCATTTTCCATTCAATTTATTTATAAGTCCTTAAGTATATATTACACTCCTCAATGAAATTAAAACGTTATTTTTGAGGTGTGTCAAATTTGATTTTAGGATTTTAACAACAATGCTGGAGAGAGATAATATCAATAATTTATCACATGTACAGAAATATTAGAATGTATACAAATTGCATCAAACTATACTTACAATTGTGTACATTGATGCTGATGAAATGAGCAGAAAGACATGCAAAACATGTATAAAATAAATCATATATATCTTCATGGTTCTGAAACTCGCTTTCACTGAAATAATAAAGAAGTTATTGTTACATAATTTCTCATTTGTTTATTTCATTACATTTATTGGCTCTCAGTAGAAAATGCATAAAATCTAAGTACAATACCTCCTAACAATAAATTTACAAAGTATTAAGAAAAATTTAATTTATTATGCATTATATACATACATAAACAGACAAACAATTCAAAAAGAAAAAGAGAGAAGGATTCAGGAGGGTAGGGGGGGGGGGTGAAAGAGTGACTCACCATATGGTACAGACAATCTGGAAGTAAACATTCTAAGTAACCAATCTGGAAGTATCTATTCTAATACAAAATATAAATTAGGTATTTTAAACCATGAAACTAAAATTATATAAAAAAAGTAAAGATATATAACTCATAAAAAGAGATCTTTTAAAACATGTTATGACAGCAAATATATTTGATTTATTTTTCAACTGTATGTTTATGGAAGCAAATATCATAGAATAATTATTTATATGTGATATTAGCGTAATAAAAAAGAATATAAAATGGGGGTATTTACTCAATATTTCTATTGTAATACTTAATAGATCAATATCATTGGAAATATTTTAGCGTAGGTTAAATTTAAATGATTTATTGATTAATTTTTAGTGTAAAGTTATGAAATAAGCGAATTGGGGACAAATATAAATACAACGTAGTTCAATGAACAAAACAATAAATTTCTCACAATGATTGTCAAAAATAAGAAATAAATATTAACATCAGTCATTATGTTGTGATTATATGATATTAAAATTAAGGTTTACACTTAGATTTTTAGCAAATAATTACGGAATACAACGAATATAATCCAATAAATGCTGATTAACGATGAAATAGACAGCCGTCATATCATTAAAAAAGAAAGTATATAGTGCAGATGGATGTTACCTTTTGATAATGGATTGAATAATTTCCAGTGCATCATTTCTGTCGAAAAATGGACCATAAAGTGCCGTTAAAATTGGTTTAACAGTAGTAGACCATTCGATATTAGCCCCCGATGCGGCCATTTTCGAGAATGATAAATGATTATCTATCGCAAAATGTCAAAATATTAAAATGGTTTTCAATGTGACCAGTCTTTATTTGATAAATTTACTAAGCAGAGCAGCAAAAACCTATCAAATTCTACCAGCGGTATTTTAAAATAAGTAGCTTATATTATAATATGTTTTTTTAAGTTCTCAAAGCACTTCACTTAATCACATCGCAAAACATAATTCGTGTGTAATTTGGTAGTTACAAAATATGAAGCCTAATTTACACGTATTAAGTAGTCAAGTAATTAAATAAATAACTTTGTGTATAACACACATAATGTATGTACACAATAAGTATGATGATAAGTTAAATGTTCAAATTTTAGGGTGCAAAATAACAAGAAAATTTTTTTGAGTTATTAGGTGTGCCTATGGAGTGTAGAAGTAAGGAGTACCAACTCCCATAGTAGAATAGTCGAAAAAGTTGGTCATCTGCAGCAGTAAATAACAGCTCAAAAACTCTCCACAATAGCGCTGGAGTAGCTACTGGGATGAAATGAACTTAGCAGTTGTCGCCGGTTTAAGTGTGCAGCACACTTAAACCGCGACAACTGCTAAACTGCTAAACTGATCAGTACCTCTAAAATCTAAAATAATTTTATTTGGTACATATAACCTCGAAAAAGTCGTCTATCCCACTATAATATTTACTTACTTACTTAAATATTTTTCGGTGCGTTCTTTAAAATTTACCCCGTAGCTATAGTGGCGCCACCCTTATTTAAAGGTTTTTATGGATACTTTTTAATACACAGTCTGTACTCCTTATTCCTACACCATCCTACACTCCATAGGCGTGCCTGGGCGTGCCTATAATATAATTATTGTAATCATTTGACACATTAAGACATTCACGAGGTCACGAGTTGATTAAATTCTTAAGCCGGGGAATCACATTGAAAGTTCATGTGTTTGAAGTTTTTCTTTAAAAATGACGAAGTGATTGAAAGATAAATATTATGGGTACTACAGATAAATTATTTAAATACTTAAAGAAAAAATAACTATTTCCAGTTGTTAGAAAATATTACACGATATGTAATTTTGATTTTGGTTCCTCTCGCACATTTCATTACAGTAAATTTAATTGGATACAGTATATTTAATCGGTGATCCATCTAAAAAAAGCTTTTAAAAGTCATGTGTTGAATATAGGCCTCTCATATTGGACTGCTTTATATTAGGAATTGTATTTCCAAAGTTGCCACGCTTGACAGCACAGACTACCCAGCCTACGGGACATGAAACCATAACGATTCTCTAATTAATTTAGTCTGTCAAGGTTAGAAAAAGAAAGATGTGCGGGCGATGCGGTATACGTAACTTAGGAGATGTGTCACATCCATATATCGTACGCGTAAATATGGGAGACTATGAAAACGTAACGTAATTATAAGCAAAAGAATGATGCGTAAAATACACCGTTAAATACATGTAAAGTTCTTTAAAATATATACATGTATTTACATGTCATTTACAACGTTAATGGCTTACCATAAATCCGTTAAGAGCGGAATGTGCCTAAGAAATACACAAACATAATACATACTCTGGAAAACCATAACTTTGCTTCGGTCTCAGCCACGACAGTCAGACGAAAATATCTACATTAGGTAATCTTAACGTAATATAAAAATGTAAACGAAAATTACCAATTACGCTTAGCACGCACTGCGATTAAACGCCCGCGTTTAACCGCAGGTCTGAAACCGCAAAAAAAATGTAACACATAGCTTTCTATACAAGCGCACGCATTAGTACCTTATTTCAGTGACTGATTTTAAAAACGCAACCTGTTACGTTTTTACCGCGGTTTGAAAACGCGCGGTTTTTTGTGTCCCATAGTAACAGTACTGTGGCGCACGCACGGCGGTTAATCGCATTCGGTTTTTATTCAGTCTCGACTGTGCGAGTGCGGAGGATAGACGTTTTTGCAGAGTCATGTCGTCCGACTCAGAAACATCGAATGTAGACTACGACAATGTATCAAAAAACATTATTATTGAAGTGGAGAAAAGGCCCGCTTTATATGACAAATCGTTAAATCAATATAGAGACAGAAATATTAAAGCCCGGCTTTGGCAGGAGGTGTATCAAAATGTGTGCAGATATTGGACTAGCTTGTCGGAGGCAGAAAAGAAAAACAAGGGTATGTGTTGTGTTTAATTTTATTATAAAAAGTTAGGTAATAGCATAATACTGCCAATTTAAGGCACCAGATCGAGATGTAAAGTAGTCGGCAAATAAATTTCAGGTTTGCATGACGTCACTACTAGGACCAAGTCGAGTTGGGTGCAAGCTTCTTAGTTCCAATTGGTCACATAGGCCCAAATTTTCTGGTAACTCCTTGCCATCGTATTTTCGTACGAAGTTGTGCAATATGCAGCACGCTTTGACTATGTAATCGCAAAGTTCAAGTTTTGTATCTAACGGCCTGTGAAAAATTCGCGAATATATTGGCCATAATGCCAAATGTACATTCAACTGTTTTTCTGACACACGAAATTCGGTAGTTATAAAACTTTTCTTTAATAGATATATTTCTGTTTGGGTACGGTCTCATCAAATGTTTTAAAAGTGGAAAATCTTCATCCCCGACAAATACAAATGGCATTTCAGATCCTTCATTTTCATTCGGTAGTACTGAGCATGGTGGTAAATCCAATTGGTTTGTTAAAAGTCTTTTACCAAAATTTGAATTTCAGAATACGTTGGCGTCACTATTGGATCCGTACGCACCCACCTCAATAGCTACGAAGCATTAGTTAGCATCGGCAAGAGCAAGCAGAATAATCGGATAAAACTTCTTGCAATTAAATGACTCTGAGCCGGTATAATCGGGTCTTTCGATTCTTATGTGCTTGCCGTCAATCGCGCCAACACAATTTGGAAAGAGTGTTTGTATGAAAATCTTTCGTGCTATGTTTAACCAGTCTTCTTTTGTCATTTCTTTTAAATAAGTAGACTGCAAATATAACCAAAACTGCATGCACATATGATGGACAATTTCACTGATAGTCGTAGCGCCAATCAGGTATTCAAAATGCAACGACTTTATGCTATTTCCCGTAGCAAGGTATCTGTGAACAAGATTTTCATTTTTTTTATTTGGAAACTCCTCATAAAAAATGGAAAAACATGAAAGATTGTTTCGCTAAAGAATTGGCAGCATAACAAGGCAAATCTGGACAAGCTGCTCCTTCAAAGAAAAAGAAATATATTCATTCGATTCAATGCTTTTCCTAATTCCTTCCATGCAGAAACGGGAAACGAGCGGTAATCTACCATCGCCTAATTTTACTCAGGATGCGAATACATCATCGGATTTTTCTACTCAGGGTATAACATTGTCTACTACAGCTCAGAATTCACAACTAACTAATAACAATTGAACACCACTGCGAAAGAAGAACTGTTCTGGAGACAACATCAATTCAACAGAAATAGACAAACAATTAATTGATATATTAAAAGACAAACAAGCACAGGAAGAAGAGGATGAAGAAAAACACTTCGCGCTTATGTTAGTTCCCATGTTACGTAGATCAAATGAAGACCAAAAACATTATGCTAAGATTGAAATCCCTAATGTCTTAAAAAAAGCACGTACTCATCCATCTCCGCAACCATTACAATACGTTATCAACCAACCAGCTCAATTTCGAGGACCAAAAATAACTAGTTCACCATTGTATCATCAAACATAATACCCAGCCACAAACCCCCTATCAGTATCAGTATTCTCCGCAATCCTCATCGATGTATACAATATATTCCATTCAATCACCATCACCACCAATGTCTCCACCAAGCCCATCTCCACAGTCATCAACTACAATTCAGCAAGCGCCAGCTACACATCCAACGATGCTGCAAAATCAGATACAAATTATCGACCAACAAATTTTGAAACCAGCCAATGAGACTACCGATTATTTGACACAATTTGTAAACCAGTTACAAGACCAAGACCATGCCTAAGAGTAACTAGAAAAGTTGGTTACATAATTATATTTTAATTTACTTGTTGGGAAATAAAGCTTTAAAAAAATTAAAATTGTTTTCTTACTTTAACGTAACTGAAAGTCGCTCTTCAGGTGATATTGCATTACGAAATGAAGTGTCTTCAAATTGTAGATACTGGCCCACGTCTTGTAATAATTTATCAAAAGTGCCAATCGACATTCTGTAGTAATTAAAAAACTTATCGGGATGTTGACACACGTTGTTGTACATTTTGCAAAAGTATCCTTTCAAATGTCTTTGATCAGTTAGTGGAGGGTTCTCCATACTTACTGTCACCCACCGATAAAACTCCCCATAAATCATTTTTACCGCCGACGGCTCCTTCATGGAGCACAATTAAGTCAATGAGTGAGTCAGTCGGTCAGTAAGTGAGTGGGTTTTGTAAAATTGTAATTTCGATTTCAAATTATAATTACAAATAGATTAATACACAAATATAGTAGAAAGACTGTTCGTCTACACAAAAAGTAATAGCACAATAAATAGTCGATAAACTTGCATCGATCTTTTTTGGGCATCTCTACTTACACAAGCCGCCTGCAGCAACTTTGAATGATAGACAGAGACGCAACTATAATATTGCGTGCTTGATAAGGGCAGCCACAGAACTACGATCAGAACAAGTTGAACTCACACGTTTTTAGTATTTTAAGATTATTAAATGTTGCCCTTACCGGTGAAACGTGATTTTATCCTTCGTGAAATTATGTTTCCTGCCATCACTACCACACCACTTTACTGTGCAAGTAGGCACGTTTTACCGTTTTTTATTATTATAAAAAATTGTAGCGCTAAGGACGCAGTACACAGGTCTGTTGTCCGGTCACTACTAAATAGGGTTACGTTCGTGTTCAACTATATGGGCTCTGGTTGAGCAGATGAAGTACAGAAATTTGTCGCCTTTCGTTACATGTCTCGTAGGCTGGGTGGTCTGTGCTTGACAG